TCTGTCGATGGTTACATAATACTTTGATGTCGCGCATTGCATGAGGGAAGCTAGTTTTCAAATTCATTCTGACTGGTGGGTGTCTACTAGGAAAACGATGGTAAGAAATAGATCTTAGAATACGTGGTTCGTGAGCTATAGGTCAAAGTTAGTCCGTAGATGAAAATGCTGCAGTGAAAACGTAAATGTATCAGTTGCAGTGCGAAATATTTAAAACTAATTCAAGGTCGGATGGGTCATTTTTGTAAAGGAAAGTTTAATATCAATTTTGTTCAACATTTAAAAAATACTCATAAATGTCTACATGGTCCCAACGCATTAATACTGTTTAGAATTTTAGTGAAGAAGAAACAATGCCGGTGAAGTAACTACTTAATCATATATCTTAATTAAATTCATTATCTAACAAACAACCTTCAGATCTGCGCATGAAACCTTTTAGGACCATTATGTAGTTGGTTTAAGATAAACCTGTCGATCAACTTTTTACCCATCATCTTTTGATGCAAAAAGAAAGAGACATACAATAACTGTATTTCTTATAAAAACAGGCGTTTTTAGAGTTGTTAAACATTTAATTACTAGTATAATATTTATAACTCCCTCATATCTTACATCAGATATCCGTGTTGAGCTATACATCGGACACCTCTGCGTTTAGGTTTCCCAGAAAGGTGATATGTTTGTTTCGGAGTAGCAATGTTGAAGTAATAAAATAGTTGAGATGTTTAACCTCTAGCTTTAAATACTTGTGCATCAAAAGAACACTTAGATAGGGCTTTGCCTCAAACACGCCATTCTGTGTCTAACACTATCTGATGCCAGTTCTGTTAGAGCTGTGCAAGGTGGCAGTGGAAATAAAAAACCAAAAATGCTGAGGGCGTATAAGTGTGTGTAATAAGGGGGTGTTTTATTACCTTATTAATTAACCATACAATTACAAAGATAAGATCACAGATATACATGTATATTTCGGGTCATGAAAGGCAACGTTTATAAAAAAAATATAAATAAAATGGTTAATTCGATTTTGTTACACCGACTGTCTGATCACATTGGAGCCAATCACCTCTCTCATTTTACAAGTTTCTCAATTTATCAGACTATTACCACCCCGTAATAGAAATGTTGGCACTGTGCGAGAGCGCTTTCAGTACAAACATATGTATCGTGTATTTGAGTGCACAAAATGTTCTTATCCAGAGTACAAATGTAAAATGTCTCTCCATGAATCGGATCATTGAATAGTACAATTTAGAGGCTCGCGTTCTTTCCTTTTCACACCAGAGCTGACTTTAAATCCATGTATGCACTCTGCTTTAACTTCAAAAGGGTCAATTAAGTGTGTATTGATGTCAATCAATTGATCTATCAATCAAGGTTCACGATATGACATTAGACTAATTCTTGTGAAACAAAGTGTATTTCAATACCATTTAAGTTGCATTATATATGGTTATTTTTAATGATATTTCTTTTTGATATAAATATTTCAGTACAAAGTTGATCTATAGCTTATTCAACGTTTGTTGAGCTTCGTCATGTCATTTAGATTTCAGCTTCATCAACTGTATATTCCCTTGATTATATATAACATTATTAAAATTAATTTTACGTCACTTGGAAAAGTGCAGTGGTATGACGTATCCGTTCTTTGTAACGTTTGGGCATCCAACCGACTAAAGTCTACTTCATCTGTTGAAGCAATTGTGCAATTTATAATATATCAAGGATAATAAAAATATTGATTCAATTGTGCAAATTGCCTAATATTGCAGTGTTTCTCTATTATGTCTTTTTTTTATTGTGAAAATGATAAAGCAATCATTAGTGGAGATTGTGCGACAAGAATCGGGGGTGTTCCAGTGCAGTACTTGGCTAAGATTAGAGCCAGGTAACAGGGTACACAAACACAGGTTTGACGACACTGTCCGTAACGGCACCTGTGCTATCAGAGACTTTTATATAAACTAAAAGGTCAATCAAGAATACCTGGTCGCAATTTCATTTTTGAGTGAAGACCTGTATATTACTGAAAGGTAACGAGGTCACAACCCAAAAGTGTAGTGTACACCAAAGTACCGGTCTAACAAACCTGACCAAGTTTTATGGTACAATTGATGTCCAAAATTTCAAAGGTGAAAAGTCGTGACTGAATATTTACAGAAGAAAGATTGAGAGAAAAAAATGAAGTAAACATGACCTAGCTTGAACATTAAAAACACGTGACATACTTGTAAGTAAAATTCCATACCGTGCAATTTTAAAGCATTTAAAAAATATGAATTAATTCCATATATGTATAGATAAAACGCTGGATTGTACATGAATGTATTTTCTTTAAACTACTTCGTCATTTTTTTAAAATAAAAATTATGTTTTCTTGTAAATAAACCTGTCAATATTCCTCGAAAGATACCTAACACCGCCAACTTCTAAGAATTTACGGTTCTAAATCTCATTAAAAAAGTCACTACCACAAGAATTCATACTTTAAAAATGTAACGCTTTTAGCATTTCTTAAATACCATTACAGATCAATATAGCGAAGGAATTTTTATTTATAATTACTGGGAAATGATGAATTCTCAGGGGTTTATCAACAAACAAATAATCCGAAAAACTAAAACCCACAATACATATGTCAATAAGCGTAAGAGCTACGAATTTAGAAAATCCTAAAGTAGTGCATAAAAGTCCGCCATATAATCAATCAAGCCAAAAATAGATGCAATAGCTCGCAATATTGTTGTGGGAGGATGCGTCTGTTAATTAATCAATATTTAATGACTTCTTGCCCAAATATATAAACTCATATACCTTGTACATCGTAAAAAAATGAATATAAAAATCACTGACGTTTTTCAATATACGTATTTGTTATAAACACAACTGATTTTAATTTTCAAACACACCTAGATTTAAAAAGTGCTCAATATTTATCATCCGATATCATTGTTCAATGAAACTATAGCTTCCAAGGGCGTAAAATATATATCTGTCCCTGCGTACTTCACAGTTTTAAAACAGTAAAAGGTGTCATCTCCATACGAATTTGATCTATATAATTCGGCTTTATTAATAATAATTGTGATAATTTATAAAATAAAGTACTTGTCACCAACTGTCAACCTGAAACTGAAAATAAATACATCTACAAGTGTTTATTGGTTTTATAATCTGTTGAATATATGTAACCATTCTAGCGGCGAACCAGGCCCTAAGACTGTGAGGGTCAAATGATAGGTAAAAAAGGTACATTAAATACGCAGCTACCGATATTTAGCCGACATAGGCAGTCTTGACATTTTAAATAATTACTGTCAATGTAGTTCTTGTTCTGGGTCGTAATTTTCAGCAATATAAAATGTGTTCTTTTCATATGACAATGAAAAGAGAGCTTCCCTAGCACTAAATGAAAAGAACCTTTTAGTATATATTACGGAAATAGTGCAGATACAAAATTAAAATTTTCTGATTATCTTCATTAAGGTTTCTGTTTATGAAAATCGTAGAGCAGCATTTCTCAATGAATGACGTCCCCATCTTCCCACTCATCTTTCTTTTTCATGGCGTTACTTAAATAACAGCCTAATTAATCGTGTGTTTGGTGTATGAGACTGTAAAATGTATTGATGAATGCATGCGCATCCTACATACTTTGGAGAGAAGGTAGTTATTTAAAGAGTATACCATGAAAGCAAACACAAAATGCCATTCAAAGGTCAAGTCCGGGCCTTTAAAAGTTTCTTTATGCATCTGACCGCAAATAAGATTTAAAATGATTGTTCAAAATGGAATAACAATACTACCTCCTTCGTGCAAGTCGGCACATTCTTAGAAGTCATTATTGAGCCAAGTGTTAACTATGAACAAACTGAAAAAAAAAACTATATACTAGTATTCCCAATTTGAAGTAATCGTGATTTGTTAATCGATATTAAACATATAACAGAATAAATTAATCCAAAAACGATCGACTCACCTGGAATTTTCGGCAAATATATTGATTATTCCAAATACAGTGAACATATTCTTCTGAAAAATTAAGGAAACACTCTATTAAAAACTTTGTAAAATCTGGCAAAACAGCAAAAATACACCCGAGAGAGAGAGGTTAGTGGGGATATATCAGTATCGACTTCATTTTAATGTTCAGTGACTTTAATATGAATGAATGCCATTGAATGTTGTATTTTATCTTGTCCAAGAAAACAAACAAGACCCCCCCCCCCCCCCCCTAAAAAAAAAGAGAATAGCAAACGAACTAAATTTAAAAAAATAAATAAATAAATAAAATAAAAACAGACCCATCTTTCTATACATATGAATTCTCATATGATGACCTTGAAATTCAAAGTTACCACACACAGAGAAGCTTTCATTTTCAACTAAATACTTACACTATACAGAGCCAATCCCCGATTTCAATCAATTTGTCGCACAAACATATTATACTAAAAATAATATGGCAGTTTCTCAGAATATCGTAAACAAGGGTGTGTATAGTTGACTATACCTGAACATTTTTAGAATTTTGAAAAAACACTTATCTGTGACAAGAAAATGTTGACGTACCCTACTGGAAAGCTTCAGGTGCCTGATAATCATATATATATATAAAAATAAAATTTGGGCTGCTGAAATATCTTGATCTTAAAGTAGCTGATTATTCCCTGCTATATTCTTCTCATGTACTAGTACTGTTTTCTTTCTTTTTGTTTTGGTCTCAAAGTTATATCAAGAAAAAAAAACGTTTCTATTAAAATGCATAATGTATAAGCTGAATGCATACATGGAGACGAACTTCGTGTTGCGTGGAAGAATAGAACACCGTAATCTCATCTATTTATTGTTAAAGAAAGGTAACTCGTAAATATTTTATATGTACAATATACACAAACGATGTGGAAAATACTCTAAATGTTAGTTAAACCACAGGTTTTCTTTAAATTTCTTATATGCATACTATGAATTAGAAGCAAAAAGTATATAGTACATGTATTTTATTTTTTATGTGACATTTTTCATAATTTTTTCCCGCAAATGAAATGCTTTAACTGAAAACACTGAATGAATGATAATTTTTAATGTTTTTTTTTTTTAAGATTTAATATGATGTTCATTTATCATGATGAAAAGCACAACCATTACATAAAACTGAAGACTAAACCTAAAAAGACAGTGACCAAAAGAAAACCAGGCATTTATCATGATAGAATCACATGGGCACATTCAAATATATCACTGTGATAACTCAATAACTGCTTCTTAATTAATATCTCCAAAATAACAGAGTTTCTTAATTATCTCCAACATACACATCAAAACTGTTATAACATTCATTTAATAGCAACAAAATGGGTTTCCTTGAAAATGAAACTTTTTCATTCGCAGGTATCTATATTTCTGTGTGCAAATGTTACCCTGTAATAACTAGAACAAATTTACATCTACCAAAAAACCAGTAGAAAATTAGCTCATTGTATTTGTGACTAATAAAAAAATAGCTTATATACTTTCTAAAACTTGTTTGAAACAATGACTGAAATTCATGGTGTGCATTTTCAATGAATTAACTAGTACACATACATTGTATTTTGCGCAACTCTATTGAATACACATACAAACATGGTTATGATGTATTCACATTCTACCTTATCAAATGAGATTGTAATTCTAAAATGTACCAAAATCAAAGAAAAATTCAAACGATGCTACACAACCACTCACAATGTCATCTTTTCTACAGTGCCTGGTTATTGAAAAAAAACGGAGAAATTGCATAAATAAATCGAAGAGTTCAATGCACATCTTTTCGTACAGAAGACTTTCAGCACTGATATCCATTTCAGTAAATCTCCAGAATCTCTTCAGTTCTTCTTCTTCTTCTTTTTCTTCCGTTCACCAGATGTCGATGGCTGGGTTTGCTGCTTCCCAGGCTCTTTCTTCCTTCTATCTTTCTCTGCCTTTAGTTCTCCTTTATCAATATTTTTATTTACTTCCTCAAACAGTTCTTTCTTGAAGTCTTTTTCAGATGAAGTCCAGCTAAAAAATGAAACTTTCTTCATTATCAAGTTGATAAATGAAGACTCCATTGTTGATTTTCCAAGAGATTTTGAATGTAAGTCTGAAACATGCTTTAGCCTTGCATTATACTGTATGCGTACTTAAAAAAGCGGGCTTCATATTTTAGTGGCTTTGGCGCAGACAATAATGCGCTAATTCATGAATACCACTAAGAAATCCTTTATAAATACAATATATGGCACGGACATATGTAGCGCTAATTCATGAATACGCCAACAACTCATACCCAGAGACTGGGCTAAATGTAATACGCCAAATTATGTACACGTACAGTAATTTCTTCTTAATTTTAGTACATGTAGCGGTAATAACTTGCCTTGACAATGCATCATATGCCTTTAATGACACAAGACACTTCTCTAATAGCTGAGGCCCAGGGTCCAAATTTCCCCAGTCCTTGTGGTCAAATCCAGGTGGAAGATCATTTACATTGCCAAGTCCTTTATCTTTGATAAATTTGAAAGCAACCTACAGTTCAGAAGTCAAACAATAAAAAAAGAAGGATAATTCACAACCATATCATTATTTATGAAGGTTTAAAAATACACCCTAGAAGTAGTAGTTTATCATGGTTCTTTGAAAAGAAAAAAAAGGAAGGGGCCCATAGGCCACAATACTCACCTGAGTAACTTTGGCCCTGCTGTTCTTCACAAGATTTCCCCCCTTGTGGCCCACCCTACCCCAGGGGGTCATGATTTGAACAATTTAGAATCTACACTTCCCCATGATGATTCAACATCAGTTTCAGCTTTTCTGGCCCAGTGGTTCTTGAGAAGAAGATTTTAAAATATTTTTTCTAAATATTTCAATTTAAAACTTGGATTCCCTATTGTGGCCCCGTCCTATCCCATGGGGTCTTGATTTGAACAATTTAAAATCTACACTACCCCATTATGCTTCAATATAAGTTTCAGCTTTTCTGGCCCAGTGGTTCCTGATAAGAAAATTTTTAAAGTTTTTTTTTTTTTTCAAAATATTTCAATGTCAAACTTGGATTCCCTATTGTGGCCCTGCGCTACCCGCGGGGGTCATGATCTGAACAATTTAGAATCAACACTACCATAGGACACTTCCAATCAAGTTTCAGCTTTTCTGGTCCAGTGGTTCTTGAGAAGACGATTTTTTAAAATATTTTTTTCTATATATTTCAATGTTAAATATAGATTCCCTATTGTGGCCCCACCCTACCCCCGGGGATCATCATTTAAACAATTTAGAATCTACACTACCCCAGGATGCTTAAACATAAATTTCAGCTTTTCTGGCCCAGGGTTCTTGAGAAGAAGATTTTGAAAGATTTTTCCTATATATTTCAATGTAAAACTTTGATTCCATATTGTGGCCCCACCCTACCCCAGGGGGTCATGATTTAAACAATTTAGAATCTACACATCTCTAGGATGCTTCCACATAAGTTTCAGCTTTTCTGACCCAGTGGTTCTTGAGAAGAAGATTTTTAAAGATATTTCCTATATACAGTCAAACCTTGTTATCTCAGACTCCATGGGACTGATTAAAAAATTTGAGATATCTGAGGATTCGAGATATCAAGGGTAAATACTTAAAAAATAAGTAGTTTGGACTTCAAAATCACTTCAACATATCCATGGTATTTGAGATATCAGTGTTCGAGATACTGAGGTTTAACTGTATTTTAATGTAAAACTTGGATTCCCTATTGTGGCCCCATCCTACCCCTGGGGGTCATGATTCAAAGAATTTAGAATCTACTCTTCCCCAGGATGCTTTCACATAAGTTTCAGCTTTTCTGGCCAAGTGGTTCTTGAGAAGATTTTTTAATGACCCTGTCCTATTTTTATTTGTTCTTGATTATCTCCCCTTGTAAGGGAGCTTGGCCCTTCATTTTAGGAATTTAAACTCCCCTTCACCCAAGGATGCTTTGTACCAAGTTTGGTTAAAATTGGCCCAGTGATTCTTGAGAAGAAGTTGAAAATGTGAACAGTTTACAGACGGACAGACAGCTAGACGGATGGGCGACGAACAACAGGTGATCAGAAAAGCTCACTTGAGCTTTCAGCTCAGGTGAGCTAAAAACACAATATGAAGGGTGTAACCAAATCAGATTCGAAATACTACACTTTGAAAAGAATGGCAATAAAATGTAAATATTTGCTCTAAATTCCTGAGATAGCATTCTGAACTTATACGGTACCTTCATTAATTAATCAATTTGTAGATATCATAATATTTTTCTAAATGACTCTAGTAGGAGATTTTGCCATCACAAGCAACCTTGTGATGGTACATGTACACACTGTCATCAGCGACAATATGCATTTACCCTCAATGCACATATTATCATCTACATCTAAGGGCACATAATGCTGTCAGCTGCAAAATCATACATGTATATATTGTTGATGGTGACAATATATACCTACCCTCAAAGAGCATATTGTTGCCCCATGGTTAGGGCTTCCAGTAATATGGATGCTGATGATAAAATATCATATATATCATCTTCATGAGATCAAATGTTCACTTAAAGACAATTCAATGCCTTTTTGTATGCACAATTGTCATTTTAAACTCCACTGACATTTATAATTCATAGACATGTACAAGCTACACTATGAAGAGGGTGAATGGTGCAAATTGCACGATTTAATAAATTCATAGAGAAGACTTACAATGTCTAGGATCTCTATCTCACCCTCCTCCCCCCCCCCCCCCCCTCCCCTCCATGCCCCCAGGAAATTTTTCTTCAGGACTATATAAAATATGGCAATGAAATGTGCAAATATGCACAATTTTATGAATATATGTCATCTGCAATTACAATATGTGCTGATTTGCGAGGTACATTTTGTTGCCCTGGAAAAAAGGCTTGTCTCGGCACATATTGTAGCTGGTGTCAATATGTTCTGATGGACGACAATATGTGCAGTGAGGGTAGGTACATATTGTCATTGGGAACAATATGTACAGGGTGACAATACCACCATAAACTTTTATGTAATGTACAATTCTCTGAATAACAATCCTACATTGATTTAGTACAAATGATCATGCTTGGAGATCAAGTCAAACTCTTTGCTTATATGCTACTTTTATGTTAGTGTGAATTTTTTCTGTCCCTTCAATAAAAATTCATGGTGCTGAATTTCAAACTGCTGATCAATTACACTCCCAGCTCTAAATCACTGTGGTAGAGAAACATGGTATCCAGTATTTATAAGTTTTGACAAGGCTTTACAAAATGATGGATTAAATCTACAAAGACTTCACATACATGACCTTGACCCTTTCAAATGACCTCTTCCTTGATTAAAAACAAACCTCTGGTCATAAGCAACCATTTTGCTAAGAGTGAGCTAGCTGCCATTGTTTCTCAATTAAGAGGACTCAGTGGTCATGGCCATTCTAAAATAATTTTTTAACCCTTCAGAAAAAAGAGCTAAGTATAAAAATATACAACATTGTATTATGTTATAGCTGGAACATATCGTTTTTTCTTTACTTAACAATAGTTTATGGCTAGAAGATTATATTTCATATTTTTAGGCATCGTCACAAACCACGGTTTTGAGTCCACAAGCTCCTTCAAACCAGGTGATGATAGAAAGAATCAATGTGAATCACCTGTGGGTTACAGACAATGATTTTTATGTGGATCTTTTGGGTAATTTGTTGACCACTCAGCCTTGATCCTTAAAGACTCTGACACTAAAATTTATGTTAGCTCATAGCAACAAATGGACATGGTGATTCCTGTATTAAACATTATTTATATTGAGTATATATGTAAATAGTTTACCTCATTATCATAAACATCTGTGCCATCCAAGATAATACTATATTGGTCAAATAATGCCTTTGAAGCATCTGCTATATTGTGAAAAATCTGAAATATACAAATAATGTATATCACAATAAAAAAAATTGTTCAATACAAGTAAACATATGCCCCCCCCCCCTTTAATTTTTCAATCTGTCTGTTACATTTCTCTAATGATAGAAATTTGACTTGCTGGAATCATTTGGGGGTTAATGTTTGTGGGGAATGAAAATTTTACTGGTTTGTGGGGATGTAATTTTGTGGATAACACATACAGAAGATTCAATGGCCGAATATTACAAAGTTATTGTTGAGTCATTATAAAACCTCAACAACAAAAAAATGTACATATGTACTAGGAAAGATTAAAACCTTAATGCCAAGAATATAATATTTATATACATTGTATATACATATAAATCATGATGTCCACAGAACTAAGGTGGGGTCATAACATTGGGTCAGAGTTGTGGAAAACTGTCGGTCATACTGGCAAAAAATATGTGTGATCGGAAAAAATGCTATCGATGTTGGTCCAAATGACCGGTCCCTTTTTTGGTTAAAGTTTTTTGTTTTTCCATTTATCATCAGCACACTTCCCAGCTTAATATTATCGTACCTTATATGCGATTGCATAATACTTTTTCTTTACACTAGATTGAGGCTATAAGTGAAGTTCTCGTGACCTATTGAATTTATAAACTGGGGCAGAATTAGGTAGAAAACATAAAGAAACAGATAAAGACAAGTTAATATGAAAAAGGTCGAAAAAGAATTCCAACACAGTTGGGGAAAGTGGTAAATCTAGTACTTTTGACTGTCCCGGATTTCGTTTTTTCATCTATCGTGTTGATATCTTTATTATTGATGCACAGAATTTCTACAATTTTTAGACTCATTTTCTAGGTTAATATTATTCCCAAATGCATAAATGTTTCAAAAAAATGTTTACTATGCTGAATTAGCATTGTCACCTGCCCAAAAGCGGTGAAATCTGGTATTGTTATAAATGCAAAAAAACGAAAATGGAAGAGGATTTGGAAATGGAGACTGAATGTTATATTATTATTAAGTAAATAGATGTGTGTAATGAAGTAAAGAAATGTTAAGCTTTTTTTTTTTAAATTTTGCAACTATTTTCAACTATTTCAGATCGGCAAGAATCACTTCGGACCGGCTTATTTTGTCTTCTTGCCAGTCCGAATGACTGGGTATCTGAAAAAGTTTTCCACAACTCTGTTTGGTCCAAGTTTCAGATAGATATTTGTTTAAAAAAAAATCATCCCAAAATTTATCTTTAAGAACTGTTGAGCTATATTCAAATTATGAGGAACTAAAGTCATCAGTGGAATTGAAGAAATAACTTGTTCCATTGCTACATTTACCTTAACTTCAGGACATTTAGTGTTCAAAAAATCTCTGAATTCTCCATCAGTTAGTAGCTGCTCAGTAAAGTTAAAAGCTCCTGACTTAGTGACACAGGATACAGATTCTATTTTCCCCTCAACCATGTGGCAGTACACAAATACAGGTTCTTTAGACTTCAAATCTTCCATATCAATATTACAGTCATATCGGTTATTCACCACCTTGAAGTCTACAAGTACAGTATTTCAAAAGAAATAAAAGGCAACTCAAATGACATGAATTGTACAGTTTTCTAACAGTGTGATATAACAAGCAAATTCCTGCAGCTATTTGTTTAAAAGACAACTTATCTGAAAACTTAATGGACAACAGAATACACAAGGGCACTGTAAACTGAAAGATCTTAAAATTCTCACAGCATAATTTCATAACAAACACAATTTCTGAAGTATTGAACAATAGTTTTTGTAACAGTATCAATACCTATTGCTTCCTTTTATCTGGGCATTTTTCTTGCTATCTTGCATCTTTGTATCACATGTACCAAGGAAAGCACATAATTTAAAAACTGTGTCAAAATATACCGCAAAAACCTATCATTGCATTTGACCTTTTGACTCTAATACATGTAGTAATCAGGCTTCTTTGACACTGATCATCTACTTGTAGAGATCTCTTTGGAAAGAATTAGACTGAAAGTCATTGGGAACTTTTTAAAATCATGTCTACAAAATCACTCATGTCATTGACTTTATCCTTAACCTATCAATCATAGATTTCTCTTCATGGCCACCTAGCATGAAACAAAAAGATCAAATAGTACACTTCCCCATTGATTTCACTACTTAGTATGATTGACCTTAACCTTTCCTTCAGTATTAGTACCATAAAATCATACTTCTGGCCACTTAGTATCTCTAAAGCATTCAACTTAGATGTCAACATCAACTTTATTTAAAAGTTTCACCTTGCAAGACTTACTGTAAAAAGTATTACATTTGGCTATGTATTCTATTTAGAGCCTTTTGTGAAAAGCAGCTTCTGCTAAATCAAGTACATTGCTAAATGTCTTGTGCATATACACATGTATATTCATATAAAGCACATTCAGAAAGAGATTAATCAAATCTTAATGCTAACTTGTTTAGAAATGAATTTCTGCCAAATATCATATTTGCCAAATAAAATACATTTACAGTATTTACTTTGAACCCTAAAATTAAAATAACTTCATGTGCTGTCCATGTAGCAATGTATCAGGCATGAAACTAAAAGATGATGTGGTGTGCTGTCATTTACATGCATAAAATTGATTTAACTATTACTCCTTTGACCTTGATCTATTGCATCTACAATCAATAGTTCATTTCTGGAAATGACAACATTTTGTTAATTAATCACTATCTCTGAACTTGCATGATTTTTTCCCTAAACCAAAAGAATTTTTTCCAGCTACTTAAAGCTTTTCTGTTACAAGTATGAAACTCAATGGTCAAACAGTATTCTTTAATTTGTATTCACCACAGTTTTTGAACCATTATTGCCTTTAACCTTGTCCTTTTTAATAACCAAATGTCAGTAGGTCTCCAGCCACTTGACATATTTACAGCAAGTTTGAGAATGACAAGTCAAATATTATTATATCCAGAAAATACAGTCAAACCTCGTTATCTCAAAGAAGATGGGACCATAAAAAAAAACTCTGGATGCGATATTGAGGGTAAATTATGTAAAAAAAAAAACAAAAAACAAAACAAAACAAAAAAATGGTGATGGAACTTTCAAATCACTTTGACATATGCATAGTATTCAAGATATCAGAGTTCAAGATAATGAAGTTCAACTGTAGTTATAAACATAAGAATGTACTCAAATGTCAAACATTTATATATTCCTGTGACTTTGTTGTGAGGGGTAGCAATGTTTGTGAGCATATTGCAGAAGCTTGTAATTATTATCACATATGTACCTTGTGGTTCACTAGAGGATTCATTCACAGCACCATCACTCTGATCTGTGGTATCTTTGTCCCAATCCTCAGGAACAGCATCTAAAAGAGACAAGTACAAGTACTGCCAAAGGGGACCTCAATTCTTACTTCAATAGATGTAGACTTTTTTGACATGATTAACAGCTCCAGTTTAGAGATTCTTGATCTTTTTAATTACTTTACTGAATCTATAATTTGAAAGATATATTGTGCTCATACTTTAAGTATTACAATTTTAGATATACATATACCATATTTACATATTGTGCTTTTTCTATGTGGATTTCTTCCCTTGCCCACTCAATTTCATTTAAGTTATACATTTGTTGATGTAGCTTTTGTGTTGATGAAGCTTTTTCTATGTGGATTTCATCCCTTACCCACTCAATTTCATTTACGTTATATATTTGTTGATAAGGGAAACACTTGAAAAGTGAACCCAATATTTCCACAGTTTCAGTTTTCAGTCAGATATGGTGTAGTAAACACCAAGAACAGCCAAAAAAACTTTTCATTACTGTAAACATGGCTATATCCAAGGTTTGAATGTTAAATGATTTCAGTATTTTAGAAATATAGGGAGTCAGAACTTTAATGATCTACTAGTATTTAACATTGACTTTTAACAAAAATGAGAGTTTACAAATGGAAAAACTGGAAGATTAGCTAATTGTTAATTTCAGAATTGTTTCCACACCATCAAAGTTTCCAAGTTTCCAATTTATATCAGAAGTTCGTAATATTGGATTGCTATTTCATTAGCTTGAACAACGTGGTGACAAGACTTCAATTTAGGACGGTATTCAAGTTACATGTTTCTCTAATTGTGTTTTACTGTAATTTTGTTATATTTGAAACAGTAACTAAACATACAGATCATGCCTTTCAGTAAATAAGCAGTTAAATTGTGAGCTTTTAATAACAAACGTTCAGAATATTGCCATGTCACAGTATTTGAAAAATGGTATTGTTACCACTTGTGATTTTTATAATGGTCCCTACCAGCATTTTGTGGTAAACTGTCTTCCTCTTCCATTTCATTCTCCTCTGAAAACAGAGCTGTAGCTGCCTCCATATTGGACTCTCTATCTCCCTGGTTATTCTTCTTTTCCTTTTTTTTGTCCTCTCCCTGGTTTTCGTTGTCTTCATTCTCTCCTCTCTGTTGTTTATTTTTCTTCTTCTTCTTCTTTTTCTTTTCCATTTCTCCAGAAAGCCCAGGAATTTTAGGTCCATCTTTGATCTGATCATTGAAAAGGAGGCTCTGTCCTAAGAGACAAAAATGTGCATATTATTTCATTTCTTTATATCTTTTGTTATATGTTGAAATTCTAAAAGTCTCATAAATAAAGCAACAAACTGCTGTACTGTGAAGTTTCCACTACTATATCTGGACACTTATTGATTTTTAAGAAACAATCTCATATTTTGAAATGATTCAAACACTTGTTTGACAAAAAAATATTAATCCATATTATACAAGCAATAAACATACTTGTGCGTCTGTTTAAGACCGTTTCAAAATGACATGGCCTGATGAAGCCGTTTTCATCTCCAGAACACAGAATCACATTGTTGGCCGATCTAAAGAACTTCAAGCCACCTGTCAAAAGTTATTACAAACTTCAAAATTGATATTAAAAAGGAAAATATTTTAAGATTTACCTTCACCTTAAGGTTGTGGGAGCATAAAATCTAAAAAGCACAAAGAAGTTGAATTCAAGTCAAATATGGTTTTTAACTAATGAAGTTAAGATTAAACATTGGGAAGAGTTTTAATAAAAAATTTTACAATCCTACCAAAAAAAAAAATACTGTCAAAGAAATTATATTTCGGGAAAGTGAATACTCTTACTTTCTAATGCCTTTTCCATATTTATCTTGATAATGACTTCACAGCTACTCCTCATTCCTAAAACATTCAAGTAAATCACTATGAATATAAAAACTACATTGTACTACATTTCATACTGTAACCACTGAATTGTGATACGAGGGGTGATCAAAAAGTTTGCGAACTATCTCTATATTTACAATACCACAATTCAGATCAGAATGAAATTTGGCACACGTATAGTCGTACAAATGCTCTATAAATAGCAGATGCTACGTAATGTTTTGCTCCATGTTTGTGACGTCACAATGGGAAAATGATGTCTATATGTAGATGACTTGTGACAAAAAATGGTTGACTCAGTCGTATTCGAGCAACAAAGGGCTGTAAAGTTTTTAGTATATCTTGGAAATTCCTTTGCAGTAACATATAATAATTTGTACAAGGTTTATGAAGACAAAAGACTTGCCAGAAGTTCAATCATTAATTGGATTGATTGTTTTAGTGAAGGAAGGGAGATGGTTAAAAATGATGTTTGTTCTGTTGCCCAGTGAAGGCAAACTGGGAAAGCGATGTGTCCTTAGTTGAGCAATTTGTTATGAAAGATCGCCAAGTTACGATTTGAAAAATAGTTGAATATCTTAACAATAATATAATTAATAATTCCCTAAAATATCGTTTAATTTAGACTTTAAACATATCAGAAATGATAAAAAGAATGTGCCCATGCTTTATCCACATTGGATAAACTATGCTCCCAAGACATATACACTCGGGTTTTGAAGGTCATAATGCTCATTCTGGAAAAGGATATCCTTATCCACCCATCCTATTGGCGAGATTTGGCCATTTTTGACAAATGGACTGTTCTTGTTATAAAAAATAACTTTCATGGTAAGAAATACAAGACTCGGGAAAATCTTTAAGCTTCTGTGAACAGAACGCTTCGGAGCATGTCACGTGACCGCCTGGATCACGTGATTCGCGCATGGGCAGAACGGCAGCAGATGTGCATTAAAATCGGAGAGGACTACTTTAACAAATATTGAATGCTGAAACCTAATTTTATTTCTTCTATGAAAGCAATTCAATTAGTTCGCGAACTTTTTGATCACCCCTCGTATTGTATAACAGGATAGATGTATCATTCGAGCCATCTTTAACCACCACTTACCACTAATGACACCATTTTCTCCTGGTTCTCCAGCAGCAAAATGTATGTGATTTCTGTTCATTTTATGTAAACCCTGAAAAAAAGCCAAACAAAACATACATTGTAAGTTATAGAGGTTTTAAGGCACATTTCACTTTCATTTATTTTAAAAAAAAAAAGCAATGTCTCACACATGTATCAAATAAATCAAATAAATAATTGATAAACATAGGATCTTCCATGGTTGTGGTTGGATACGATTTTTATCCAAAGAATTGTGTAGGTTTTTTTTTTATCCAAAAGCCCTTGAGAGGAGATGTATGTTGTTTATTTTCAATCCCCTAGCCTTGGAGAGGGGATAAAGATACACAACAAGTTGGATAAAAATCATATCATATCAAAATAGTGGGTCTCTGTACTTGAATCATCCATGCAAGATTGGTCCAGGTAGGTCTTACAGTTATTTGGGAATGGAATTGCTTCATCCAAAGCCTTTAATCTGACCATACATCCAAAATCATTGTACAATGTATATCAATAAAAAAAGATCATCAGAGTGACTGGTAGAATGCATTCCTAACCACTCAACCTGCATTACCCATGCAAGCAAGAACTGATTCAGTTAAGGCTTAATTACTTCACTTCAGAATAGACCTGCTCTAAAAACGTTTAATTCAAAGCCTACATTGGGGTAGGGGTGGGGTGGGTGTATTGGAATAAAAAGCAAGCATTCTGTATAAATAAGGCTTAAAAAAAAAAACAACTGATATTATACCAGAAATATCAATACCTGTTCTTTAATAATTTCCCATGAACTGAAGTAAGTTCCATGTATGACATCTGGGGCTTCTTTAGCATTTGTTATGGGTGTCAACTCAAGACCCTCCACCTGTAAAGAAATTTAGAAAATGCATCTGATCCATAAATCCAAAACATTTCTTAGCACTGCCTAATTCATAAAATTTTAGACCATAGCTTGCTTATTTTTATGTCTATTGGTACCATTTCTATGGAGGAAATTAAATATTTCTGAAACACCATAAAAGAATTATCTGATGAATTAACCAAAAGTCTCTGATGAGACTGTAGCTCTACTGGTCTGTACGTATAGCAAAAGAAAAGTAGCACTTGGATTTGAAACTTTGCAACATGCAACAATAAATAGAATTATGTATCTTAATGTAGTCTACTTCTGTGCCAAGTTATATTGAAATCAAACAAAAACTGTAGGAGGAGTAGTGTTTTGAAAATATTTCACGGAAATTTCTATTTTTAGTAACCATGACAACACCATTCACCGAAATAAAGAAAAAAAAAAAACAGAAATACATATTATGTATCGTAGTGTATTCTATCTGTGTGCCAAATTAGATTGAAATCAGACCAAAATTGTAGGAGGAGTAATGTTTTATGGGAATTTCACAAAAATTTCTATTTTTAGTAACCATGGCAACACCATCCATCGAAATCAAAAACCGATGCACTAAATTATGTATCTTAGTGTAGTGTACTTGTGTGCCGAGTTATATTGAAATCAGACCAAAACTGTAGGAGGAGTAGCGTTTTAAAGGAATTTCACAGAAATTTCTATTTTTCGTAACCATGGCAACACCGTCCATCAAAATCAAAAACCGATGCACTAAATTATGTATCTTTGTGTAGTCTACTTGTGTGCCAAGTTATATTGAAATCAGACCAAAACTGTAGGAGGAGTAGCGTTTTAAAGGAATTTCACAGAAATTTCTCTTTTTAGTAACCATGACATCACCGTCTATCAAAATCAAAAACCGATGCACTAAATTATGTATCTTTGTGTAGTCTACTTGTGTGCCAAGTTGTATTGAAATCAGACCAAAACTGTAGGAGGAGTAGCGTTTTAAAGGAATTTCTATTTTTAGTAACCATGGCAACACCGTCCATCAAAATCAAAAACCGATGCACTAAATTATGTATCTTTGTGTAGTCTACTTGTGTGCCAAGTTATATTGAAATCAGACCAAAATGTAGGAGGATTAGTGTTTTAAAGGAATTTCACAGAAATTTCTATTTTTAGTAACCATGGCAACACCGTCCATCGAAATCAAAAACCGATGCACTAAATTATGTATCTTAGTGTAGTGTACTTGTGTGCCAAGTTATACTGAAATCAGACCAAATCTGTAGGAGGAGTAGCGTTTTAAAGGAATTTCACAGAAATTTCTATTTTTAGTAACCATGGCAACATCGTCCATCAAAATCAAAAACCAATGCACTAAATTATGTATCTTAGTGTAGTCTACTTGTGTGCCAAGTTATATTGAAATCAGACCAAATCTGTAGGAGGAGTAGCGTTTTAAAGGAATTTCACAGAAATTTCTATTTTTAGTAACCATGGCAACACCAAAACTGTAGGAGGAGTAGCGTTTTGAAAAATTGTTTACAGACAGACGGACAGACAGACAGACAGATAGACAGACAGATGGATGGACACCTTACTATCGCATAAGCTCTTCTGGTCTCTGACCAGCAGAGTTAAAAACTCATGTCTATATTATAATTCTCACAAGATTTCAAACCATAACATATGCAATACCCCCTCCCTATGTGTAGTGTGAAGTACATTTATTTATTATTACCTCTACTGAATGTCCTTGGTTTGCCCTTATTTTTAGATGACCATTTTCTTCCTCCAGGGTAAATCTTTTTTTATCATTTGTTGCCACAACATATTTCACATCCTCTACCGTGAAACGTTGATACTCATTTCTGCGAAGAATATCATCCACCCACAAAAAACCACCTGAAATAAATAATTTCTGTCACTAAATTATCTATTATACATGTACAATCTTCTATTTATTTTTATTGTATTTTTACTTGTAAACCTGTTTTCATAGCAGAATCAATCAGTGAAAATAATGTACTTGCGAAATTAAATAGAGTAATGACAAGTAAAATTAAGAAAACTGTGGTTCCCCACTTCCAGGGTCTTCTTGGTTGGGTTGCAATGATTTATGGCATAATTAAATGTCTTGTCTATCCATCATACAAAAAAAGCTTTTACATTTTTGAAGTAAGATGTTCCAGTGCAAAATTTACAGAAATATTAAAGTTTTTGAAAAGTATGTCAAACTTCAAGGTCATAGTCTGAGGTCAGAAATCATAGTACATTCAGAGAGGCCTTGTCAAGGGTAATGCATATGTGAAAAGTATGAAAGCCCTGTCTCTTCGGGTGCAAAAGCTTCAGCCAAGGTTAAAACCCTCTCTCATTCAAAATTTGTTTGAAGTTTTTTGACAGACAGATAAACAGATGTAGAGTTGTATACACAAATAAGATTTGATTTCCCTCACCTTTGTGGAAGCTGGGGAAAAACATTCAATAATGGTACACTCACTTGTACTACAAAGCAGAGGATTCTCTCACAGCTTTTATCTTGTAATTGATAGGGTAGTAATAACATAATGAATACCAATCAATGTCCTTGACCTTTGATCTTTTGACTCAGGCATTCTCTTGTCAACTCAACTTCCCATTATTTGTGTGTGTATAGGGGTGGGGGGGGGGGCTGTTAGAGAATGAAAGATCAAATGTATTCTACAAATCATACCCACAATACTGTTAAAGATTTTTACAGTTTCTTGTGTTTCTCTGTCATAAACTATTGGCATTTAGAAATAATTTTTTGCTCTTTGCTAAAAATATCAAAATGACCTTGGGTAGATTTATCAGACAAACTTTGAAAGCAGCATATTAATTTAGGAATACATGTACATGTTATGCTATATTTTCTATGTGTCAGAAGTGATAACTAACATATCATCTTACCCCCCCCCCTTTGAAAATAAACCCCTATTACTTAAAATACAGTTTAACTTCATAATTACATGTACTTTAACCGCCTCTCGAGATCCAACTGATAACTTTTAATATGTAGGTTGGTATACTACACAGAAACTATAAGTAAACACTTTCTATATGAAACACAACTCTCTCAGCAAGTCAAGCATATTTTACAATATATAGAAATGTCAGAAAGGAATATGACTTTTCTTGGGAGGAAAAAAATTAGACTTCAGATTTCTTTCACTACCTTGCCATATTTTTGTTGCAATAATAAAGCATATTTCTTACCTGGCATAAATTTAAATCCCATCTTTTCTGCTCCATGTCTAAGTATGAATGACAACTTTTTCGAAAGAAAAACCACAGGGTCTTCATCCTAAATTAAAAAAAAAACTTATGTATGTATCTGAAATCTAAAAAATTACACACCCCAATCCAGAAAATCTAATATTATAAAAACCATGCTTAGTGTGGTCTGCGTAAAAGAAAATAAATCACTACAACTTTATGTGTACTCAGAGGTACATGTATTACCTTTCTAAAGTACTGATATTGCCTCTTTTGATATGGCCTTTCAAAATCAAGTCTGCCCCTTTTACTTCTGGATGTATCATATGGACCTCCAGAGCTGCCATAATTATATCTCTGATACCCTTTGTTTGGTCCATAATCCAATCTCTAATTTATTTATGAAAATTTATATGCTTAATTTTTTTGAATTTCTAGTATTGTTAAAAAAAAAAAATCTGTCACAAAATTGGTTGGTAAACTTAAGGATAAATTTAAAGGAACCAAAAAAAAAAAAAAATTCAATGTATATGCATAAGCCAAATTGTGAGTGTAAATCAGAGAAGTGTAACAATGTTCCCATCTGCATCAGATTTTAGCTTTGGTATGGGTATAATTCAGTGAAAAAAAATGAGCAAAATCCTAAAGCAAAAACCCACATGTTCTGCACTTAACAATGTCACAGTGATAAGCACTATATCAAGACATGCAGTGGCAATCTAAAATTATGACCAAAAATTCAATATATTTCTAACAATTGTTTGGAATATTCAGCAAAATTTAATTAGACCCATTTTTTTCAATGTAACTCATGAACTATACCACGAAGCAAATCACATCTTGGAGAAGTCTTACCAATAACATTCTGTGAAGTTTGAAACTCTATATATGCTTCAAAGTATACTGACAAACAGTTTGAAAAGTTTAAAAATAGAGAGAAAAAATTATCATAACTTCCTCAGCAGTAATTTTCTAAGTAAGACCATTTATTCTTATTTTAAGCTCACATACTACAGGTACAGTCATTATGGGCATAAGTATTCCTCACTGATGTCAAAATGGCGGCATTTGTTTACATAAACTACTCACCAAAAAATGCTCTCCTTACCTTAATATTTTGAGAGATGAGTCTCCACTCTTTTTACTTCTCATAGTCTTGAGGGAATTGTTAAATAAGCTGCTGAATATAATTTATATTTACCTTTTTTCCAGAACCCTGTTACTTCCCCAATCAGCTGTTCACAATTTGAGATGGTATTTTTGATGGCCTGTAGATTTCTTTTCAATCATAACCAAATATTTTCTATCTTTACAATGTACATGTATTTCTAAAGACTGTTTTGTTCAATGGGGATTGATGTATGGAGACATTGTCATTCTGAAAGATGTAACTTCAGTCAGGGAATAATCGAGCAATATAAACTGGTCACAAATAGTTTTCTAATATATCTATATATTTTTCAGAGTTAATATTTTAATTAACACTTGTCAAAGTTCCTGTAACTTTGTAACATATACAACCCAATATCAGAGTTGGATCTTCAATCGCACATAGACGAGATAGGGGTTGTCGACTTCAGCTGCCTTTAACAAAATGTACAAATGATTATAATTTTCAATAATCTGCTGGCTTACATTACAAAATACCTAGTTTTTCCAATGATGATCCACAGTCTCACTCCATGAAGTGCATGTTTTTTTCTGTGGCATATGGAAGAACAAGAATCTGCTTTTTCTCTTACATGTACTGTCTTTATTTTGTTCTTTCCATGGTTTAAGAAAATAAAAAAAATTCCCTTTCGTAATTTTTAGTATTTGTAAATTTATCTAAAGTTTCCCTCCTGCTATTTTTCACCAGCCTTGAAAGTTGGTATTTGTCACACACCTCACATCCTCAGGTTTTCTCCCAGATCTATGGCTGTTTTCTACACTGCCGAAATCTTTTTTTTTCAAAATACTGTACAAAGTATTCCTTGATATTCCATACAATCACCAATAGGATGACTTCACCATGCATGGGACACATACAAATGTACCTTGCTTCGGACAACTTTAAGCAATAATCTTGCATCCAACCTGAAGTTTGTATTAATTTTCTTAGAGCTGTTTTTAACTAGTATGTTCATTTCACCATGCATCAGACACAAATTAACCATTCATTGGACATTGTCAGCTGGATATAATTATAATGTATTGTACAGAGACCCATGCATATATGTAATACCAAACCTGATGGCTGTTTTTGCAAACAAGAGGCCCAAGGGCCTTAACGGTCACCTGAGTTACAATATAATTCAGAGGATCCATAAACTGATAAATGAAGCTGTGTTGCCCAAAAGCAAGAAATATAGTATGATTAGCATCTACAAAATAATTGGTCTAGTATCTAATCTGTCCCCCATTTATCACTATTACCATGCAGACTTTTTAGCAAAATGTCTATTTTTTAACCCCATATTATTACTTCTCACATTGGCCTCTCTTGGCCTTTGAAGAACATTCAAAAAGATAAGTTATTTTGACACAATTTTATTCATCTTTTATTTCCAAGTCTATCTGATCATTAAAACTGTGAAAGTACTTTTTGTATTTTACAAAAAATATTCTTGCACAATTCTCGTATTCTATTAACCTTTCAAATACATTGTTTACAGTGATTAATTATCAAAGGTGAATGGCAAAGGGAAATAACTTTGCTCAGCAGAATAAAAGTTAATAGAGCACTGGGCAAGACCAGAACACTTGACTAAATGGTCCAGGTGTTCAAAATTCTGGTACAAATACCTTTGCATATTAAAACTTCTACTCTGTTTGCCTCGAATATGCCCAGAAGCATAGAAGATTTTCAAAGAAATGCATTTTCACTATATTATTAAATAAATAAAGCCCCACCCTTAAACCAGAACATCTGACCCAGGGGCCATGAACTCACAATTCTGGAAGAAGCACCCTTGCTCATCTTAACTATACACTTGTTTCTTTGCTTTATAATCAGTAGTAGAAAAAAATATTTTGAAAGAAATTATGCATTTTCAATATATAATCAATAGATCCCCCCCCTCCCCTCTTCACTTAACCCCTGACCCAGGGGCCATGAATTTCACAGTTTGGAAGAGGCATTCTTCTTTATCATAACCATGCACTTCCTTTGTTTGAATAATACCAAGGAGCAGAGAAGAAGATTTTGAAAGAATTTATGCATTTTCCCTATATAATCAATATAGCCCCTCCCTAACACCAGAACCCTTGACCCAGGGGCCATGAAATTCATAATTTTGGAAGAGGCAACGATGCTCATCATAACTCATCATCACTATGTACTTAGTTTATTTAATATCCACGAGCATAGAAGAAGATTTTCAAAGAATTAATGCAAATTTACTATATAATCAATAGAGCCCCACCCTAACACCAGAACCCCTGACCCAGGAGCCATAAAATTCACAATTTCTGAAAAGGCAGCCATGCTCATCATAACTATGTTCTTAGTTAGTTTATTTAATATCCAGGAGCAGGGAAGAAGATTTTCAAAGAATTAATGCATTTTCACTATATAATCAATAGAGCCCCATCCTAACACTAGAACCCCTGATCCTGGGGCCATGAATTTCACAATTTTGGAAGAGGCACTCTTGCTCATCATAACTATGTACAGTGAACCTTCAGATATCCGGACGCCAGATATCCGGACGCTTCAGTTTCCAGACGATTTTTAATGGGAACAAAATTTTTGAACGTTATTTTGTCTCGTTTAACCGGAATTCTGCATTCCGTATACGGACGGTCTTTTTTCACCACAAAATGAATTTTTACGTTATATTTTGGTTCATTTATCCGGACGATAATTTTTTAACTGGTCTGTCAAGTCTGCTCAAATTTCTTGATCTGGGTGTTAATTGTTGTAAAAACACTGGTCTGGCTGTTTGTTTTTAAAGATGATCACCTGCGACCTGTTATCAATGGCTTGCGGCATCGTTAATTATAGGTCGATAGGTACGCATGAGACTCTCGCTTCTCTAACCTGGTTTTGATACGTATTAAGGAAAATAATTTTATTAGTCTAGGATAATTTTTTCGTAGTTGGCAAATATTTTTTTTTACTGTTAGAATACAGTCGTAACATGGTTTTATGTGCATGTATTTATAGACATGACATTGGAGTTTTTTATGCACTGTATTTTGTGCGCAAAACGTATTTTATGATTTGGATAATTACGATTAGCGTTCGTATACATATGCAGATTATGTCACATTTAGCATCGATGGGTGTTCATATTAAATAAGACTCTACTGACAGTACCGTACCGACATAGCTACTAGGAGAAATTGATTCATTAGACTCTGGGAAGTGGAAATAATTTAATGTGACCATATAAACACGTTTTTATTTCCAATGACACATGTACTTTTTTATTTTATTTAAACAAGTATTGAGTAGTACTAACTTATGTTAAAGTATTTAAACAATAAAAATATGATAAAAAGCAACATTCTTTACTATTGAAATGGTATGAAAGGTCATATAACTAAAATCAAGGCAATTCAGGTATCCGGACGCTTCACATATCCGGACAAATTGACTGGGAACCAAAGCGTCCGGATAAATGAGGCTCCACTGTACTTAGTTACTTTATTTAATACTCAGGAGCAGAGAAGAAGATTTTCAAAGAATTAATGCAATTTTACTATATAATCAATAGAGCCCTGCCCTAACACCAGAACCCCTGACCCAGGAGCCATAAAATTCACAATTTTGGAAGAGACACTCCTACTCATCATAACTATGTACTTAGTTACTTTATTTAATATCCAGGAGCAGAGAAAAAGATTTTCAAAGAATTAATGCAATTTTACTATATAATCAACAGAGCCCCGCCCTAACACCAGAACCCCTGACCCAGGGGCCATAAAATTCACAATTTTGGAAGAGGCCTTCTTGCTTATCATAACTATGTACTTAGTTACTTTATTTAATACTCAGGAGCAGAGAAGAAATTTTTCAAAGAAATAATGCATTTTCACTATATAATCAATAGAGCCCTGCCCTAACACCAGAACCCCAGACCCTAGGGCCATGAATTTCACAATTTTGGAAGAGGCACTCTTGCTCATCATAACTATGTACTCAGTTAGTTTATTTAATACCCAGGAGCAGAGAAGAAGATTTTCAAAGAAATAATGCACTTTCACTATATGATCTATATAGCCCCACCCAAGCATCAGAACCCCTGACCCTGGGGCCATGAATTTCACAATTTTGGTAGAGGGCTCAATGCTTATTAAAATGATGCCAACAGTTTGACTGCTTGATGTCCAGGAGTAAAGAAGATTTTTAAAGATTGCATTTATTTTGATGGTTTTAGCCCCACCTCTCAGGCCCCAGGGGGGCAGGGACCATGAAATTCACAATTTTTGTTCCCCTTCACCAATAGATGCTATATGCCAAATTTGGTGACTCAGGTGACCTGAAAAGAAATATAAACTAAACATATTCAGTGAAAATACATGTTATCGATATATGACAACTAGAAGTGGGCTCTCTTTATTTCTTCGAACTGTAAGATCTTTGATCCCCCAAAACCAAGGGTCTAGTTGCCATATAATGAGGCATTGCAAGGCCTATCTAAGGCAATGTGGATCAATATACCGGTAGTCAATCAAATTTAAAGAGAGGGTAAATTTTTAAATTAAGCATAACAATTTTTTCATGGCAATAATTTATATGCACACAGTTGAATTTCAGTATCTCAAACACCGATATCTCAAATATCATTCATTTTGTAAGACCCAACCACTTATTCTTTAGGTATTTTACCCTTAATAATTCGAATCCTCAGATATCTTGAAGTTTTTTTTAAGGTCCCTTCAAGTTTGAGATAACGAGGTTCGACTGCATTAGGTATTTTAAAGACCACCGCAATAAAGGTAGGCGAAGTTTTTCCTGTTCAATATACTGCTTGTCAGAAGTATGGTGAAACTGTCTGATCCATCACGAATTCTGGCTCCTTCCAAAAAAATCATTTGTTAATAAGATTTTCTCAAGAAATAGCATAAATTTTAATCACATTATACATGTTTAGCTCCATTTTGATAAGATTTGGTTGGTAGATATTGCTAGAACTTGTTAAAGTATGAGGGTCTCTGATGCATGGTGAACTCACCCTATTTGATATATTAATTTCCGTTTTATAAACTTCATTTACTATGTTTAAAATGAAGTTGAATTTCCTCCATTTTCCATTGTTGCTATTTGGTCTAACTTACAAAACAAGTTCTAGATCTAGAGATAAACAGATGAAATTGTACATACTGACATCACTAGAAATTTGTGATGTTATTCTGGCCAATGTCCAAACCCGATATGTTCTCTATAAATAGCACAATCAAAAATAGCTATGACAACTTTTACAGCTATCAATGTATTTTGACATCAGTGACGAATACTTGTGTCCAATGAATGTATGTCAAAAATGTCTAGTTACGGGTATAATACACAAGTGTACTTTGAAAATAACATCTGTATTGCACCAGATTTAATCAATTCCTTAGAAAAATCAAAATGATTAACCTTTAAATATTAGGAGTGTAAAATAATAAATAAGGAAACAATGAAATAAATGAACATGTACAAAGAGAATAAGTGACAAAATATGGGAAAATTCAAAACATTAATGAAGAAGTCACACTTACCCTTTTTCTGCCATAACTCTCTTGTCTGCCTTCATCATTATAGGAATCTCTGGTATAATAAATTAAAAAGTTCATATAAACTAAATGTAAGTTTATATAAAATTAGAATTACGAGTATTGACATAAATGCACAACCGAAAGCTTACAAAAACATATATTTTCTGAAATATAATCATTGCTACCCGGTATCTCTTTGTCTGTCTTGCCTGTGTTGACCACCTCTGTTATACTGCCTTTGCTGATCATACTGCCTACGCTGATCATACTGATGCTCCCCTCCAACAGGATACCTCCCTCCATCATGATACCCTCCTCTGTTGTGATATCCACCTCCATAATTACCAGGCCCATACTGTCCATGCCCCCATCCCCTCTGATGTCCTCCTCTGTTTTCTTGCCAGTTAGAATTTTGTCCTCGCCCTCTAGATCCACCTCTTCCTCTTTGATAACTCTGCCATTCACCCCCATTATTGTATCTTCCTTGATCCACGTGGCCTCCATGTTGATTTTCATTGTGTCTTCTATCATATCTGTTTTGTTTACCATGCTGAAGAAGTGAATAAATATTATTTCACCAAGGTTAAGCAAAGAACAACATTGTTGTTCAACTGAAAAAATGAATAATATGCATATTGCAATTAGCAATAAAACATGAAAAATGCATGAAATTTTTGAATACTAGTAATGAAAACAAGAGGCTCATGAGTCACAACACTCATCTAAGTCACCATTCTTAGTTAAGTGTTGTTAAAGTCTTGGTAAAAATTTGATTGCCAAACTCACTATAAAAGTGGACATGTTACCTTGGACACTTCTCCTTTAGGGCTGAATTCTCTCATGTGATCCTCTTGTTCATCTCTGTAAGATTTGGAATTATCCATAAAAAAATCAATATGTTCTCAAATAATATTTTTCCATTCTATTCAAACATTTACTTATCAAGTTATTCAGCACTACGCACAGCATCATTTGTGACAACACAGTCGAACAATTTCATGTTAAAAATAAACTTAGGTCTAACATGATAAGAAATAGGGGTGTAACAATACACTGGTATACAGCAATACACAAAAGAGTCATATTGCATTTCAGAACAAAAATACTTGTTTTACAAAATGGTTGGGACAAACTTTTCATCTTATTTACCACATCGACATATAGTCCATAAACATGGTACATTTTTTTTTTTTTTTTTTTTATAAATTATCATTGAATGATTAAAGTAATAATCATATGATACATGTAATATAAGATTATAAACCTTGCTTTTCTCCCACGACTTTCTCTTTGTCCACCATTACTTGGGCTGAACTCTCTTGTGTGATCTTCATCCGCAGGACTTTATTATAAAAACAGATTGTTTTCATCAATTAATATTCTGTACACCGTATACACTACATCTCTTCTTACCACATCCTCATAACGTCAGCGGTCCTGAGTCAACATGTTGCCGTTGGACCCCTGACAAATTTTATTCAAAATCATGTGGGCTGACTGTAGCAACATCTTTCAGGAAAATAACAAATCTTGATTGTTACTCTGATCTCTCAACCAATCACATTAAGCCTTTTGGTGATAAACAATGCGTAACGCGTGCATTTTAGGTGTCAACTGATTCAATTCTGTTTATATTATTTGTTTACTGCAATTTGATTAGTGCTTCTCAATGCTCAATGAGAGAAGCAAGCTCAAAGATATCCAATGAAATTTGTCAGGGGTCCAACGGCAACAAGTTGACTCAGGAGCGCTGACTTTGTGAGGATAATTGCCAAATAAAATATACACAATTTTGATTATTCGATCATATCATTAAAGTAAAACATATTTATAATGAACATGCTTACAATATGAATTCATGCCTACAGTAAAGTGATTTTCATTTCTGTAGGTTTTAAAATGCATTGTGAATCTATAATGATGCAAAACTGTTTGTCCCTGGCACTTTGCTATAAGGTATAGTGTGTTTTACTGTAATTATGATTGAAGATAACATAAACCTACACATCTTCTATATAAGCTTTCTTAGAAGTGCATTCAAGATTGGAAAAGATATATTATTCTATATAGAGCTACGATCTTGAATAATATGCTGGTCTGGTTGCTATATAGGGATCACAGGCACTTGTTTCGGTAATAAATTTTTAACCCATAGTATAATAATAACACAAGGTATCTAACTCCGAATTACACGGAGTACCCCCCTCCCCCAGAATCGCACTCATTTACACTTTCAGAGGAAATACACTGACAAACTGTTTATACCTATGTTTTCTACGATAATTTATCTACACAACCATATATGGCATGCTTGTCTTTATTTTCTTTAGTCTCCGTAAACAGCGTCAAAACTCTGCTCGCCGTGTGGAAAAGTCGAATTCAACCATGAAATGGTATGTGCTAATCCCGCACAGAGAACAAAATTAAAAAATGAGTGGGTTTAAAAGTTCAATCCCAGTGTTTAAATATTGCATGAGTAAATAGAACTTGTTTACGTCTGATTTTCCCTGAAAACATTACGATGTTTATCCAATGTAATTTTAGAAACAGATTTTTAGCCAATCAAAATCTCTGTGCGGGATTAGCACATACCACTTCATGGTTGAATTCGACTTTTCCACTCGACGAGCAGAGTTTTGACGCTGTTTATGGAGACTAAAGAAAATAAAGACAAGCATGCCATATATGGTTGTGTAGATAAATTATCGTAGAAAACATAGGTATAAACAGTTTGTCAGTGTATTTCCTCTGAAAGTGTAAATGAGTGCGATTCTGGGGGAGGGGGGTACTCCGTGTAATTCAGAGTTAGATACCTTGTGTTATTATTATACTATGGGTTAAAAATTTATTACCGAAACAAGAGCCTGTGATAGGGATAGCAAGTGCTAATTCACAAAGCACCGTGTTCAAAAGACCTATAGATATCAATAGCCTAACCAATACACAATCTTGCAGACAGCATAGGTAATTTTATTATATACCGGTTACAATGTACTGTAATGAATATTTTTCTTACTTTAGTTTTCTCCCACGGTCCATGTCACTTTCTCCTGACACGTATTGAGGGGCCTGAGCTTCAGACATAGTGGTGACTCGCAGATATTTTCTGTTTAAGTTAGAGACAACCCATCGAGATACTCTGTGAAACCGCCTCGTGGTGAATAATGTAAAATCAAATCGAAAGCAAATGGGCCATTTGGACGTTTTTCAAAAATTTGCTTTCTACTTTGGTGTGCACGCAATATTCCAAGAAATTCCTACTTTCACTTTCACTAACAAAACAGTTATGTATACAACATGCAAGTGTCTTTAAAACTTTAAATTCGCAAGGGTCTTAAATGATATCACACAATTCTATTGCCAGAATTTTTTGTCTTTTCAATGCGGAATGACGCATACGGATATATTAAAGCACAAAACATGTAATTTCAAGCGAAAAAGAGTTTGCGAAGGGGAATAACTCTGATTAGTGATGCATATGATAATTAGTTAGATGAACAAAGGTACATCATCCTAGTAACTGTATTAAATTATGCATAATAAGTACCATAGTATCAAATCAAATATCAATGTATTAATCAATACAAAAACTTACAAGAAAAATATAGCAAGTTTTCTTCTAGTCAAATGTTACCGCCACCAGCACCTTGACAGGAACTCTCTTTTCGTGGAGTTAAAAGAGGTATGGTGATCATCAACAATGTTGTCGAGGTTAAAGTTACTGCACTCTCGGCATTTGCAGCTTTTTGTGGATTCTGTGACACCACTGAATGCTTATCACACGAAATGTGGTGTTTATGGACATCATCCAAGAACTAAAACAGAATCAAAAATCGGTAAGACAGTACCGCAAAATGTTCTATAAATTTGCGTGCATTTCATTGGTCAAAATGGAGGTGTGTCGTGTCTTAATGACAAAAATAAAGAAATTGGGGTTCCTACGGTGACTTTTACTCTAAAAAGGACAATAATGTATTTGTAAACTGTATACAGAACATAGATATGTATTGTAATTTTAATAAAACCGGTTTTCCTGTAATCGTGGTAATTAAAACCTAGTATTAAATATATCTGAAGTATTTCGTTACCATTTATATAGATACTGCTGCAATACAGAACAGGATACAACAGAGTAATGTGTACAGACTGGTTGAAGCTTACAGGACTTTTGGACACAGGAAGGCCTCCTTAGACCCTCTACAGCTGGCTGAAACTGAGTTAGCATAACATATCAGTAATTTTTAAATCTATGCATATCAGTGCCACACAAAAGTAAAATAAATACATAAGTTTGCACTTTGTAAATAAATAATTTGTACATATTGACACATAAAAGAATTTACTGTTGTTGATTAATAAACATGAAATATTTTCCAGAAATGTCCAAGAACTAGATGCTAGACTTTATGGAATATCAGCTGATAGTAATCAAATCATCCAGACAGAGGGGATTTTTAATGGACCGAATATGACAATAGAAGAACTTGTGAAAAATCTGGAATCAGTTTACTGTGGTCCTGCTGCCATTGAGTTTCAACATTTAGAGGTACTGTAACTGCAATACATTCTGATTAAAATTAGCTGTTAGTTTAGCTATGATTACTATGTACTATGCCACAAGTATCTGAATGAACTCAATTACAGGTCACGTCCTGATGACCTTATATTTGTGGAGTAATAGGTAGTAAATGGAGCCAAACAGCTGATTTTAATTACCGGTAGATTGATGTAATATTTCTGAGATGATTCTTACTTCTCTGTTATTTTCTATTAGATGGTTTGATGTCTTTTGAATTATTTTGATAATAGTTCAAGAAAACAAGATAAAATCAAGAAAAACATGTCCTCATTTTGTTATGCACATTGTCTGGGAAATTTCCTCACTACCATTGTTCCAAAATATAACTGAATACCAAGGGGGAATAATTAAGGATGAGTGTGATATCATTTTACCATAAAATTTTTGGGTTCAATTAAAAGACAAATTAAGTATCTTTTTCATGGAGTTATTAGTACTTTTTACCCTTGTTCATATGTGGTATTTCAGAATATAAACTTAACGTCTGTTTGATTTATTTTGAGTGCATCAACCTCTAGTTGAACTTCTGTGTAACATCAGTACTAGTATGTCAAATACCCAGGATGTGTTGAAGCAGATTGACAGTCCTGACCTAATTAATTAAGTTTCAGCTTCAATATCTATGCATAAAACATGCTTACAATAAAGTTCCAGGGATGGATATTATAATTTTGCTTTGTTGTAAACATAATATGTCATATTCATTAAGTTCACAAAATATTTTAAAGCCACAGGGAAAGAAAATCACTTCACTGTTAGTTTCAATTCATTATATTAAGCATGTTTACTATAAGTGTGTTTTACTGTAACACATAAATACCTCAAAGTTTTTTCAATAGCCTTTCCATGTTCAAGGTAGGTAAGGTTAAACTGTACTCCTAGAAAAGATAATTCATTTCTTGTTGACAGGATGTTGAAGAGAGAGAATGGTTAGCGCAAGCTTTTGAGACACGAGGAGAGATCGAGCTTACAACTCAGACAAAGAAAGAGTTGGCAGATTTAATGTTACGTTGTCAGGTATGAAATACATGTAAAATTATGTACATTTATTACAGAAAGTATTCTTTAAAAGGAATTTTCATGTAATTTTAGTACCATTCTTTAACAAAATTCTTAAATTCTTAGTGAAACCATTTGAAAGCTTTTACCAATGATTTAATTATGTACATTGCAACTCACAGAATTAAAGTATGTACTGCATGTTTTGAAAGAGGTTGATTCTGATTGACAAATCAAACCTTCAAATGCAAGAATACTAATTCCAGGCATTTGATCACTTCTTGGCCAGCAAGTTTGTGAATGTAAAACGTTATGGAGGAGAGGGGGGTGAAAGCATGATGGCCATCTTTGAAGAGATCTTCAATAAGTGTTCACAAAGTAAGTCTTCAATAAGTGTTCACAAGGTAAGTCATATGTAGGAATTTAGGCTGGACTGTGGATATCGGCCTGGATAGCTCAGTGGTTAGAGCACCTAACTAGTAATACAGGGGTCCCGGGTTCGATTCCCGGTCCAGCCATATGTTTTTCATTATATATATATTTATGAATTTTCAATGTATATTAACTCATTCCTCCTTTCCATACTACACATAATTAATTAAGTAATAAAAATAATTCTCATATGAATGTTTATATACATTTATGAAATGCAAAAAAAATATTATTTATCCAATTTTAATAATCAAGGATGACATTCCTTACATCATTCTTTGACCAAGACCATAAATTCAAATTTGTAAACTAAATGTTCTACCGGTTATTCTATCTTAGTTTACAAATTTAAATTTATTGTCTAGGTAAAAGAATGATGTAAGGAATGTCATCCTTGATTATTAATTAATTGGATAATTTTTTTTTTTTTTTTTTTTTTTGCATTTCATGGATGTATATAAACAATCACCTGAGATTTTTTTATTTTTAGAAATATACAATTGTTAATTGGTTAAATTAAGAGTCTTAATTTATCCAAGGAACTATAATTGTCCATTTATAGAAAAATCTTGGCCATTTATGGATATATGAACACTCATAATGAGTTTTTTTCAATTAACAGACAGTATCACAGATGTTGTCATATGTATGCCACACAGGGGACGTTTAAACTTTCTCACCTGTATGTTAAAATTTCCTCCAGTTATCATGTTCAGAAAGGTAGGTAGGCTTTCTCACTGATTTTTTTTTACCCCATACAGGCCTTATTTCAAGAATTAACATTTTCAGCATGTTCAGATTTATTACTCAAACTTGCCCAATTATTATATTTTTTTTGGAGGTTTTTTGGGGGGGCTGGGGAGGGGTCTGTTTTATGCAGGTCATTTTAAAAATGAATTTGTATGTGGTCATGTATTGTTTAAAATCAAAATGCAGCATTATAATTTCAAACAACTTAAAGATGTATTAATATTATTTTTAATAGTATCTAACATTACTGTTTTAACATGATTAAGCCAGCTTATAATCAACTGTAAGAAATGTATTGAGATTTGTATCATTTCAGTTTTGTATTGTTATTGCTTACAAGTATTTTGATTTAGAAATGCTATTTATGCTCATTTATGAAAAATATAAGTCAGAAAGTTATTCTTGTAACTGACAAGGTACATGTTTATTCTAGATGAAAGGTTTACCTGAGTTTCCTCCCAATGTTTCAGGAAGTGGGGATGTTTTATCACATCTTTGTAAGTTCTTACTCAGGAAATATAGAATAATCATTATATCAGCCAATAGTATTTATTATCAATTAACCAGAATTACTGATTGAAGCTTAAGGCATTTGGTTATTTTGAATGGATGTAACATTTCAGACACATCTATTAATTTGAACTATGGTGATAAAGATGTTCATGTTAGCCTTATTCCAAATCCATCACATCTAGAGGTGAGTGGTTCTGCTTTTATTTACAGAAACTTCAATTTATTATACCCGTATTTGTTTGCATTCTATTGTTAATTTTTATCATAACTTTTAAAATTCCAGTCATCTATCACTCGTTTGAAAAGGGATGTTCTTTAAGTCTATGAAAGATCAATCACAAGCCATATCAGCCATTTTAATACTATCTTCAAAATTCTTTTGAAATTGGAAAAAAGTTGGATCCTCTCCTTATATAATTTCTGTATTGTAATGTGTAATTGACTAGCTTTCCTTTTCAGGCTAACAACCCAGTAGCTGTTGGGAAGGCCCGAGCCAAGCAACAAAATTTACAATGTGGTGAATACATCCCTGACCCCGCAGACGAGAAAGTCTTGTGTGTGCAAGTGCATGGTGATGCTTCTTTTTCTGCTCAGGTAAGAGGATAGTCTCAAATGTTGCTGGAAGTAAAAGACACATGTGTTTTTTTATGTCTTTGGCTTTTTGATGCTTTTTGATTTATTGACGATGGTGATGCATTATGAAGTTACTATATTTCATGGTAGCTCAGTTTTTGTGAGGACTTACTTTGAGTAAATTTTCAGTAGAGAAAAGAAGATCAAGTTTACTTTCTCCTTATTAATAGGGACACAATATTCCAGGTTGTAATTTCTGTTGACAGTGTATATGCATGTAATGTATGAATGATTGTTATTGCATTTTCTAGGGTATAGTAGCAGAAACATTCAGCATTGCCGAGTGTCCACATTTCAATGTTGGTGGCAGTATACACTTAATCGTAAACAACCAGGTGGGCTTTACAACGGAGGCTTCCAGAGGCAGGTCAGAGGTCAAACACTAAAAATGAATTTTTTATCATTTGCGACTGTTAGGTTAGATAGATCCTTCCCACTGAAATCACATTTTTTCATGATATAGATATATTAAATACTATAGGTAACACCTTGAAAGAAATTTACTTTCTCACACTTGGATAAAGATGTAAGAAAGATATAAACGTACAAGTATAAACAAATATATATATGTATCCAGTTACTTAACATGATATCTGCATGATGTATGGAACAACCATTTATAATATAGTAGCATTATTCGTTTAAATTACAAGTATAATGCTTAAACATTTCTTAAGGTTTGAAAATATTGTTTTTCTGCTTATACTATTTGTATATTTAAACTACAGTTACACTATGAATGGTAATTTCAGTAATTTGAAATTTTTCCTGTTTGGTCCCTTAAGGGCAAAATTTAAAATTTTGAGCTCTCAGGCTCTGTGATTCCAAACAATAGGCCTTTTAGGTGACACAGGACTCAAAATCCTTTGCAATGTTATAAACTGAACTGGAGGGCTAAGACTATCCTCCCTTTAGGTTCTTTAAAAGAAAAGAGCTGAAAAGACAGTTAATAGTCCAAAAAAAAAAATAAATTTCTGTGATCATTTACCGGTATCTTTTTGATTTCTTTAAATAATTTTACACTTTTGACCATAACTTTTAAACTCTATAGATATCAAATATCTCTTAAAATGTATTTCATATGTCAGTTTTTAATTCTATTGGATAAAATTATTGAAGCAGTCTTTTTTCCCTTCTGCAGTGCATTTTATTTTCACTATGCTTTACATTTCAAATTGTTATGATACACACAGGTCCTCTAGATACAGTAGCTGCCTCGCCAAAATAAATGCCTATCCAGTTCTTCATGTGAATGCAGACTTCCCCGAGGTATAATAAGAGAGAAAGGGGAGATAGAAAGGGAGAGAGAGAGAGAAAGCAGGCCCCATTATCAAAAAGCTTTTGAAATGAGTCGCCTTTTACCCATATGTAGTATAAAATGGAATGAAATGGATGAAAAAAATTGATGATAAATATTTTTAACTTTACTCACCAGATATGTTGTTTTTTAATTTCTGATTCTTTTTTCACTTCATTGAGCTTCAAAAAAAAGCCACAAAATGTTTTCAATATTTTCCTAGCACGTTTATCTAATCTTGCACTAACTACAGTTTTAAACGTACACAAATTAAAAATTTCCTGCTTAATTTTCTTTCATTTGACTATAGCATAGTTGCTTTTCAATGTTTGAACAGATGTATTTATGTTGTAGGAAGTTTTACGAGTAACTTCTATAGCCATGGACTATAGGAAAAAGTTCAACAAAGATGTAGTCATCGATTTCATCTGCTTCCGCAAACATGGTCACAATGAACTAGACGACCCCTCATTTACTCAGCCAGCGATGTATAAAGCAGTGCGAGGGAGGGATAGTATTCCCAATCAGTATGCCAGCCTCCTTGTGGTACATCTTTATATGGCTGGTTCTAGACAAATATATAAAAAGTCAATGTTCCAGTCTGTCATTTCTCTTCATAGTTATTGTATGGTTATTGGGCTACAAACAGGTTGGCTATGCATTATTTGCGCTTGGTTTTTCTAAAGAATTTTGTGCGTGCAATGATGCATTGAAGCCTTTGTATTATGTACAAGTGAAGATGACCTTTGTTAAAGAATATACATGTACAGTAGTAAACCGCAAAGCTACCGTAAACCTTTTTAAAAAAGTTTACCAAATTTTGTCAAATAATACATGTATGAATTTCTTTTGTGAGAAAAGGGTTTGTATGATATACATATTTTTTTATTCAAGTCACAAGGACTGTGTGAGCAGGAGACATTGAATGAGTCGGTCAAGGCTTGGAATGCCACACTATCAGAACATATGTCTCAAGTGGAATCTTACACACCTCAGGTAAACTTACACATTACAGGTAAACCTACACATTACAGGTAAACCTACAGGTTACAGGTAAAACCTACACGTTACAGGTAAAACCTACACACCTCGGGTAAAATGTTTTGTTTAAAAAAGAATTTTTGCTAACTTTGTCAATAAGTTGTTCATTTCAAGATCTGGCTGAATGAAATTTTTTATGAATCAAAAGATTTTCAACCAGTGAAATACATTTTGTAATTTAATGGTAATTTCAAGTTCTTGTTTTCATATCCTCACAAAACTTGTTCCTGAAAATTTTGAAAAGGTACATAAAAGCAGGAATTTTATTTACCAATTACTGATTGATATGAAGATTGAAAATGTATGGGGGACTTTTTTATTCCAATGTAGATGTAATTTGTATCTTTTATATAGAGATTTGACCTTCAGAAGCAGTGGAGTGAGATGGTGCAGCCAGGAGACATAATAACTCACTGGGACACTGGGGTTTCTATAGACCTACTGAAATTCATTGGGCAGAAGTCTGTAACTTGCTCTGATCTGGTGAGTTTACAAAGACTGTTTGATAGTATTGGTGAAAATTTTGGTTTAGAGTACTTACTGGACCATGGATTTCTCTTATTACTTATTCAATATTGTTGGGGTCATCCTTCAGTCTTTTAACAAAATTTAGTTTGGAGAGTTCACAATATTGGTACAGCCATAACAAAGTAAAATTAGGAGGGCTTCAAAAATTGATGAACTTTTCTTTTAACAAAGATTTGTGTCCCTTTTTGTGTATTACAGTAATCCACAACTCTTGATGCTCAAGATGAAAATTAGATACATATATATATGTATTCAATACATATGTTTTTAATATTGTAGAAAGTGCATCCCAATGTACAGAAAGCTCATGTGGACCGTCGTCTTGAGAGGATGAAGGAAGGCAGGGGGCTGGACTGGGCCACGGCAGAGGCTCTCGCATTTGGTTCTCTACTTTACCAGGGTAGGCTTATGTAATCCCAAAATATAAAGTTTTTTTTCAGATTTCATTTATAACCGTAACTCTCACTATATTTACAATATATTTGAAGTGCAAGTGCTGAAAATGTACAGAACTGTGTCAAATTTACTTTTAAATTACATGTTATGATGTACATGAACAGTGTATGTACCATACATATACAGCTTTTTTTCTGTTGAACAGTACTGGTACATGTGTACATGTATGGAATGAAGAAACTAATTGAAGAATATTAGATTATACAAATGTATAATATTCAAACACTTTCTAAAGCAGAGAAAAATCCTAGATTAGGAAAAAATGACATGATATTGGATATTTACATCAGTTTTTTTTTGTAGGTTATAATGTTCGAGTCAGCGGACAGGATGTAGGGAGGGGAACATTCAGTCACAGACATGGCATGTTGGTAGACCAGGAGACGGACGAGATGCATATCCCCTTAAACCACATCAAAGAGGATCAGACGGGGTTCCTAGAGGTAAAACAGGAAGTGTTACGACTACGTAGGGGGTGGTCTTTTCAGAACATAACATTAGGAGAAGAAAAAAGAGTCCTATTATAGTTTAAAAAAAAGTGTCTGACATAGTATACAGTGAATACCACCTTATCTACAAGAATAAATCCTTTTATATTGAACAATTTTTATATCACATTACAGTACATGCAATACATGAAACAATTTACATTTGTTCCCCAGTAAACACACATCTTTACTCTTTCATTAATTTTTTTATGTAGCTGGTCTGGAATACATGTATGTGGAATAATGTCACTCTCTAAACAAAAACAGAAAAATATGATATTTTTGTATATTTGGCTAATATTGTTGTAATGTATTGAATGTTCATCAATATAAGTAAATTGTTTACATGTTACATTTCCAGCTGGCTAACAGTGCTTTGTCTGAGGAGGCAGTCCTGGGGTTTGAGTATGGGATGAGTATTGATAACCCTAACAACCTGATTATTTGGGAGGCCCAGTTCGGTGATTTCTTCAATGGAGCCCAAATTATCATTGATACCTACATCGCCAGTGGTGAATGTAAGTAGATTAAAGACAAACAGGCATAGTATAAGCTTTTGCTGTGAAGAATTTAAAACTCTTGGGGGTCAAAGTATTAAAAACTCATTTTAGTATTCAAGTCCCTGTTTCAGTAAATTGCTTCTAATAGTTGTGAATAACAATGATATACCCCCTGCATACTTTTTATCTTTCTCTCAGTGAAATGGCTGCTGCAGACTGGACTAGTGATGCTGTTACCTCATGGAATGGATGGGGCAGGACCAGAGCACTCATCCTGTAGGATAGAAAGGTTCCTACAGGTTAGGAGTAAAAAACAACAGATTACAATCTCTACCCTTTATTAAACTTCAATATTTGTGTACAGTATTGGTTATGTTGCATTATAAATGACCTTCACATGTACCTGTTGTAGATGTGCGACAGCAGTGAGGTTAAAGTGGATGGCGATAACATTAACATGCAGGTCGTGAACCCCACCACCCCCGCTCAGTACTTCCATCTCCTCAGAAGACAGGTACTGTGGTACTCTACTGATAAAACTCAGTGACTTTCAGTCCATAAGAAATGGAGACTTAAAGGCAATAGAAGACAGAACACAAGATAATTTTTTTCTGTAGTTTCTTATATGTGTACCTGTGCTAAGTTTGAGAAGATGAATGAATCACAACATATTCTTTCAGATGGTTCGTAACTTCAGGAAGCCCCTAGTAGTGGTGGCTCCTAAGATCTTGCTGCGTCTGCCAGAGGCCTCCTCCACTCTTGATGAAATGGCCCCTGGAACCACCTTCCTCCCAGTATTTGGTGACCCTGATGTTTCTGCAAAGAAAGTGACCAAAGTTATCTTCTGCTCTGGCAAACACTACTACACACTAGTAAAGGAGAGGGAAAATCTCAAACTTCAAAATGTTGCTCTGATTCGTTTAGAGGTAAATTTATACATGTAAATATAGAATAAAAACTGTTATTATTAAAATAATGATATTCATTCTGTGTTATATTCCACTTTTATTTTAACAAATGAATGTTTATGAGACTGCAGGCAAATCATTTTGAGAATTTTCCTGGTAGTGGATTGTCATTTTCATGAAATGTCTTTAGATTCCACAGTTGTTTTCCTGTTAAATCCCTTGTGCATGTAAAGTGAAATCATTTCTTGTGTTGGTGAATTACAAACATGGTGTCACAGTTATAAACTTTTTATGAAAATGATTTTCTCAAAAATGCAGCTGATTTAATTTTGTATACATCCCTGTGTAATTTATAAAACCATGAAATACAAAAAAATCGATGCAAAAAATCCGGTTCTTTGAGAGAATTGATACCAAGAAATGAAGAATTATTTTGTTTTTCAAAAATGTTCTGATATACATTGTGTAGCAAAATATGAATATATTGGAATTTCTTTTACAGAGCTTGTGTCCATTCCCAGCTGCAGAAATACAAGTAGAACTGAACAAGTTTTCAAATGCCACAGGTGAAAATATGTTTATCTGAATCTACTGTTTTCTTTCATAAGGTGGAATTGTATTAGTGAGTTTATATCTTGATGAATTGTATGAATTTTGTTGTACGGAATCTATCTTTGACAATTTTGACAAAACTATACATTTTTTTGCAATCGTGATATTCTTCATTTAATAGCGATTTATCTATGCATGCACAAAAGACAATGTGCTGTATCAAAATCAAACTACAGTTGAACTTCAGTATCTCGAACACTGATATCTCGAATACCATGGATATGTCGAAAAGATTTGGAAGTCCCAAACACTTATTCTTTAAGTATTTTACCCTTGATGTCTCGATCCTCGGATATTTCGAACTTTTTTTTCGGTTCCATTGATTTTAAGATAACAAGGATTGACTCTAGTTTTACAGATTACAGACTACATAAAGTGTACATGGTACTGTAAAACAACTATTATTTGCAACCCTTTCATTTTTGATTCATCAGTTTGAAATTCATCGTTGACTGTTAATTTTTACAACTGAGGAATCATTTTACTAACACATAAAAATTGTAAATACAAAAATAAATGATATGTGGCAAGAAATATTGTGCAATTTAAAGAAGGTTGCAAAATCGCTGATACGAATCCATCCATGCAAACTAAAGTTGGTTTACAGTTTGCTGCATGTAAATACAAGCATTAAGTTGTGGTTTATTTGCACACCTGCTTTTGTAGATTTTGTGTGGAGTCAAGAGGAACATAGAAACATGGGAGCCTGGAGTTTTATGTCCCCCAGATTCGAAAATGTTTTGGGAAAGAAGGTACATGTATATTTATTATGGAAGGCATAAAATTATATTTTGCAAGCATACCAATATCTTATTTAATGGGTTTTTTTTTGGGGGGGGGGGGGGAGAAAGAGTTGGATTTGTTCATAAATGTAACACCTTTTTTTCATTTTATTAATAAATTTAGTCCCATATGATTTTTTTTGTTGAATGTTTGCAGCAAGAGAATAAAGAATATATTTGAAAAATATGAAATATAGCATGGTTTTGCATTATGTTTGACAGTTGTGTCATATTTGTACATATTTTTGTAGTTGAGGTATGCTGGTCGTGATCATCTTGGGACCCCCGCCACTGGAATAGGCCAGATCCATCAGGCCGAAGCCAAATCCATACTGCAGCAGACATTCAGTTGACCACCAGAGGGAGCTAATTATATATCAAAATTAAAGTATTCATGAAAAATTTTCTAACCTTATATAAACAGAAATCTAATATTTCATGTTGTGATGTCAGTGACTGAGGTTTGAATTTAGAATGTATTGTTTAAAAAAATAGACTGCAACATTTAAAGAAATTGTTTTGTTCCTATGAAGGGAAATGCTTTGTAACACACAGAGGTATTGATATTAGTCCAGAAGTTGTACAATGAAAATGGGAACCACGGGGTAATGTTCTGTTCGCATGCATTTAGTCTTACAGTACATGAGTAGAAAGATATATACTGTAAACCAACTAATATTCGCGTCATTTTTTTTTCGCGATTCGTCATTTTAAAATCTATCCACAACGATTAATTTTCGTGACTGAGGAAATATTCTCTACAAATACAAAGCAAGATATTAAAAAAAATTTTATCAAAATTATATTAAAATTATATTCAAATGCGTGAGTAAAAGTAGGTCACAAAACTCGCAAATATTTCTCGCACGCGAATAAAAGTTGGTTTACAGTATCACTAATCAAAGAATATGTGCATTTGTAATCAAATATAGTCATTTCATTTACATAAAAAGGGCATTTATTAAATCCAAAGAAGCCAGTAATATAATTATTTTCACTTTTTATCGATTAAAACTTATTTATTCAAAAGAGTTTTTTTTAATTTTAAAATATTTTCAAAGATTTATTTTTATGCTCTCCGTAGTAGGGAGAAGTAAATAGTGCTTGTTATACTATGGGATGGAAGGTATTATTTTATACATTTGTCCTAGTCTGATACATCTAAGTAATTTTATTACAGCGTATATCTTTTTATATGATTTTTTTTTTTTAGAATAAGTTATTTACAATGCATACAATCTATATATTAGAAGTGCTCCTTTTTTAGGCAGAGGATACTTAAAAGCTAAATCTGAAACATATTCGAAAGATCTACTTGTATGTTTAAAATGGTACGATCCCCCCACCAGTGAATATATCTTAAACTTATTAAAATTATATCTTAAACTGAGATTATTTCATGTGTGTCTAATAGACTATGTATTCAAACTTTTGAAGTTAATGGATGGTTATTTTTGTTTTTTTTTTCTTTAAATTTGATAAAGGGTTTGACACTAAGAATCAAATATTTGTGATATTTGTGTTAACTATTGTGCCATTTTTTGTGCGATTAAAACTAAAACTCTAAGTATCTTGTTTCTTATTCCCCCTAATCAAAGATTCAGGGGCATGTAGTTTTTGGTCCGTTTATCTATTTGTTCGGCAAAACTTTAGCCTTGGGCCCATAACTTTTTAATGGTTCATATTTCATATGTGTATTCCTTGTGACAAAACCTTTCTTTGGGTACCATCATTTTTGACCTCTTGATCTTGAAGTTTGACCCATTTTTGTAAAACATTAACCTTGGCCATAACTTTTGAATGGTTGGTGCTAGGACATTCATATGTATTCCTTGTGACAAAACCTTTCTTTGGGTACCAACATTTTTTACCTCTTGATGTTTGGTCTACTTTTAGAAAAATAAAACCTTGGCCATAACTTCTGAATGGTTAATGCCAGTGCTTCAATTCCATATTTCTCCTTGACAAGACTTCGTTGAGTAACATTTTTTTACCTCTTGTCCTTGGGAGTTTGACCTACTGGTACTTTAGTAAGACTTTTAACTTTGGCCCTAATTTTTTTGTTGATATGGCTTTCATTTATCATGTGTATTCTTTGTGATAAGACCTTTCTTTAGATACCAAAATTTTTGGCCTCTTGACCTTGGCATTTGAAAAACTTACCTTGGCCATGAGCTGCCAGTGTATCACAAACACATCTTGTTTCTTGTTCAGTGCACATGTGCAAAATTCATCAACCAATTTTGGGACAATTCCATTTACCTTGGACCCTTGTGTTTTGAATGTAAGGGCTGTCTCGAGCAGATTCGTTCGTTAGTAAACTATTTTCTAGTATAAACACATTTAGATATGCCAAGACATGTACAATTCTTATTCCTTCCTTTTAATTTCTCATTTCTTGAGGCTGTCCTTTGTTTCTGAAAGGCTGAAGGCTCAAGTGAGCTTTTCTGAACAGAATTTGACTGTTGTCGTAAACTTTTCACATTTTCATTTTACATAATATAACAAAAGGAAGCCTTTGCCTGTTTATTCCTTTTTTTAATTTCATGACGATACATTATTTTAATAACATGCTCTTCTGAAGACACCTGCAGAAGAATATACAGCAACATTTTATTGGTAAACAGCACAGGGCTTAAGGAAGGGTTTAGCTTTCTTTTACATTTCATAAGCTTCATATAATTTTTTTTAATAAGATAACAATTATTTCAACTTCAAGCTTTCATTTTTCCCACCAAATCTGGGTCATACAAATTCTTGCCCATTTCTCTAGCTTTCACAAACTTTCTAAATAAAAGGTCAAATATTTATAGTAAAACCATTAAGAATAAACCTAGGGTGATACACATACATACATACATGAATTATAAATATATTGTGTGAATACCAGTAGAATTATGTTGCACATACTTTGTTTAACTTTACTGTTCATACATGTACTACAAGTAACACATGGTTTTGTGGGGATAAAATCATCGGGGGTTTTCTATAAAGCTGTCCAAGGTTCATCATGTTCATGCATCATAAAATTTCAATATTTTCTCTAATTAAAACGTAAAACCTTGTAAGGATTGGTTGGTTATTGTGGTTATCAACAGGTACAAGTAATTTTATCTATTCCCATACTGGAATACATAAATGTATGCCTGCACAGCATATCTGGACAAACAGCTGAGTATATTTTACAATATGATCAGCATATTAAATATTTATACCATACATATGACACAATAAACCTTTGACAGTCACATGATTAATCATGTGACCAATATAATTTCACATCTTGCATGCATTATGAACACACCACTCTGGCATGATACAGCAAAAAAAAAAAAAAAGGTTCTATATAAAACATCAGATACATATAAAATAATACAAAGAAATGAAAAGAAATGACGGTAATGCTAAATGAAGATGACCTGCTGGCTTGCTTGAATACAGAAATAAAGCTGGGAAAAAATGAATCAAAATATTTCACATGCACAAGGTACATGTATATATCATGAGCTCCAACACTGTGGTTTCACTTATTTCCTTAAACATGTATCCACATTTTTTTCCCTTATTAAATGGAACAAAATATTTTGCCCAAATAAAGGATCACTTACAGTGAATATATTTGACAGACTTTTAGGCACACTATTGCAGATCACAGATTTACACTCGTAAGTTAAATAGTTTAGTACCATCCTCCAGTTAACTTATGAAATAATTCTTCATTGAGTGTTTGATTTTTGTCTGATGATCTCATTGAAAGGAAGATGTATCCTCCTATGAACTCATGCACCACTTTGCAGTCAGCACTCAAACAAGCAAAGGTTAATGTCTCGCCTTCAAATTCTAAAATAACATGTCGCACTTCCCAATTTACGTGCCATGATTTCAGACTTCCATAACGCCAAGTTTTTATGGAATCACCAGAGTTCAAGTCCATTCGCATTATTTTGTTTGGCGATACTCCCAGAAGTTCCTGCAAGAAAATACATATACATTAAATGTGTAATACAATAACATAAAATATTGTAAACGGGTGTTTTTTTTCCCTTGTGCATTTTTTGCCCAATGATAAACAATTTTATCCAGAGCCTCTGTGGGTCTTTGCAACTGCTTTCATTTACATGTATGTCCATAAATGATGAGGGTTAAAAAAAGGATGGGGAAAATTTGTGCAGGATACAGAATTTCTTTCCAGTGGTTTAGCAAGGCTATAATTCAATGTAAAATAAATTTTAAACACCAAATTTGTCATTCAATTTGACGCCTCATGTCGTCATGAAGAGTATTTGCACTTTCTGATAAATATGTAGGCATGAAACATTACAGTTCATGTATCTTACATTTACCAGTACATTATATATCTGATGACTAGCCACAAATTATGTCACTGAACTATCATTTTTATAAAAAAAAAAAAAATGCACAATATTTTTGACATCATAGAGATATTCATGCTCATCCATGCAAGTTCACGAGGAAATGAATTTGCATTCCTTTTTTGTACAGAATCATAAGGGAACATCATTAGAAATGTAAATATAAACAGATACCTACCTCTTTCTTGGCATTCTTCTGCTTGATGATGAAGTAGCTGATGCCGTAATCAGGAAGAGACTGCCAAGCTTTTATAAATGCCATCTTGGCCTCCATCAGTGGAAGATTCTGGACATTAGCATGTGCCTCTAATATTCTCTTTTCCAGCTTGAAGGAAATAATGAACAAATTCAATATAACATACATGCATCTCCTTGAAAATTAGTAGTATGCTATAAGGCAGAGCTGCAGCTCTCTGTTCGAATTTTTTTTTTTACAGAGAGCTATAGTTTTGGAACTCTTCTATCCATAAACATTTGATTTCAAACTGATGAGCTATTTTTTTAAATAAAATCTGCAGTACTGAAAACACAGGCAAAATTTAATTTTGGCTCATGAATATCACAATAATATTGCTATTTGTATTGCTCTACCTTGCTATTTTCATTTGTATTGAAACATTTAATTCAAAAAAATGATTCTTACTGACAATTCTTCAGAAAAAAAATTATTAAATTGATGAAAACTGTACAGTAGACAACTCAGAAAATCCTATTAAAATTCTATCTACTAATAGGACCTACCTGTTTCCCTTTTAATTTCTTGTAGAATCTGGGTGCCACATAGTCCTCTGGATTCTTAATATCCACCTGTATGGGGGTCACAGGGGCATCAGTGGGGGTCTGTCGGCTCAAAAGCGTCCGCAGGCTCTGAACCTCAGTATCATAGGAACTGTCGGCCATTGTTTTACCCTGGGAAGCCAACTTACATGCTGCCATCCACTTGCAATACTCATCTTCCTGAAAATCATAACAGATCACAAATTTATATACAGCTGAGAAAAAAAAAATATAATGCAAGCTATTTGGGGGGATTCTTTAAATAGTTTGACGGCTATCATCTGTCTGATCCTTTCATATTTAGTTCTTTAGTACATAAGCCATATGCGTCATATAATATTATTATTTGTAGCTTCATAGAACTACATGTACTATGTAGCTTCAACTGACAAAACTATCAAATACAATTTACCTTATACATGTACTTGATACAACATGCATTTACAACAGACCATATCCTAGGTACTCAACAATATAATCAACAGATTTCATGCAACTTTTAGGGTAATAAAGGAAACAGCATTATGAATGGGCTTAAATCCATAAACTATTTTTGTAATGTTAACTTGTTTTTGAAATTTTGCTCATTTACTCACATCAGAAATACACACTTTGTCACATTTAAAACTTTACCCTTTTTCACAAAAATCTGTATTCTTACCGTTTCAAACCTCAGCCACAATTCAGACATTCCTTCAGGTGATGGGATGAAAAGCTTTATTCCATATTTAGCATGTGAAATGTTCAGATCTGGGTGAGCTTCACAGCCTATAAAAAAAGTTTAATGAGTAATCCTTACTTTATTTAATATATCTTAATTAAAAGAATCCCCCCCCCCCCCCAAAATGGTTCCTATATGTATAGCATTGAAAATTATCTTTACATTTAGCTTGTCATTCAACTTCGATCATCTAAAATAAACCATATGTGACAGATAAAAAAACAGAATATTTCATTGTAATGTCACACCTTACATTTCATTTTTTCCCTTGTTTTTATGATCCCATTCAACAGCTGTTCCATGTTCCATGACCTTTAACCTTACCTTTGATGGATATTTTCATCATTGGACTTCCTGTGGCCTCCTCCTGACTCTTGAAGAAGGCAATAAATAAATCCTTACAGACACACCAGGCTCTCTTGTAGCTTTTCAATGTAAACTTTTTAGGTCTAAAAAAAGAAATAAAATCAGTGATGAAGATGATTTCAAAGTTGAAAAAAATTGGATACTTTCTTTATTCATACACTATCTTGATAGTTTCAGTCATTGATTTTATAAAATTGACTGTCCATTATATGTGAATGATACTTTCTACAGTCCATTATAAGTGAAAGATAAATGGCTCGATATTTTATTTTAAAATTTGCTGATCATTATAAGTAAACTTACTTGAACCACTTGACGTAGCCACCGAGTTCTGGTATTGATGTTATGTCCCCATGAGAAGAGATATTGGCCACTTGTAAAGACTGCTCTAAGTTTGACAGATCAGCATCAATGTCATCTCCCTCCATGTGGGGGGTGCTGTGGTCCATAATGGAGGAATCACTGGGGGGCTGAGACTGTCCCACCTGCATCTGAACCTGAACCTATGGACAAATGTTTAAAATCAGACGAGTTCTCTCCTTCGTAATTTACTCATCTAATTGTGCGTGTGATTTAGGATTAAATGTAATTAAATGTAAAATTAAATGTAATGATATGCTGTTCTGGTAGGTTTAATCATGAGCAAGATTTAAAGCCCATACTGAATGAATATTCCCATAACAGCATTTTGTTGCTTTTTTGGCCATTTTTAGATTTAAAATAATTCTTTCCTCAGAAATTTCTCTTTCATAAAATTTTAATGCATCAAAATGCTTATATTGCTAGCTGAGTGGAACATTTACATTTTATACCAAAAACAATATGTATAACAATGAACCACATTTCTGAAGCATTGTGCTTGTCAAAGCAGGGAGATAATGCATTTAGAATAAACAAATCTGTGTAAAAACTGAGAATTCTTTACATGAGCAAAATTCTCGGGTGTAAAAAGTAGGAAAACACTTCACAAGTCTACCTCACGGTAACCAATTAAATTTCATTTTGGAATAAAACTGTGGAAACTCAATTTCCACACAAGATTTATGATATGTTTTTTTCATTTAACTTTGGCTTGCATTTTGCAACATGCAGCCAAAAAATCAAACTGAACAGAGAGGGAATCTTAATAATTGGAATTCTGAGTCCATCTGCTTTTGTCAACAGAAGGAGATTTATTTTCTCACTATAATCCTGTCTCTGTTCTGAAATGATTTATTCTAAGCATCACTTGGTTTACATCAACTCTTCACTCCAAAAGCTCACCTGTAAATATTTTGTTTCCAAGGTAACTAAGAGGAGTGCACACAAAACTATTAAGTCTTCGTAGATTTTCATCTTCATTGAAACAGAAAAAATCTATCATATTGTTTGCACATGCCAAAGAAAGAGGCAATTATTTTATTTAGATACTGACTTTCCCCTTCATTTTTTATAGCACCGGTATTAACCTCAATGCATTGGTCAAGTTCAATTGAAGCAAACTCAATAAAATACTGCAAACATTACCAGTTTATTACATTTTCATCACAGAATTTGGGTAGATCGCTATTTGCTCGAAACTTGTAGGACACATCTTTTTTTACACCCTTTAAATTGTCCATATTGACCTTGTGTATACCAAGGTCAAACTCTTTACCTGCAGAGCTGCAAACATCATCATTTCTTCCTCTGTACAGTCGATTTCCTCGGACATTATACTCCATTTGGCTTGTTCATAGATCTGGTTAATCCTCACAGCATCATACTGGAAGAAAAAAAGGAATTCAATCTTTCAGTCCACCTAATACTCAACAGACATCTTGATTGATACATGGATGGATCTTTGCAGAAAATTGCTGACAAAGACCTTGGAAGAACAAAGAAAACATGGTTTACTACATAATATATTGTATCTGATCAATGCAACAACTTTTCTCTTCTTAATGCACACTGCATGTAGATTATATGATAATTAAGTTCACTGACCATGTAAATTTGACATTAAGGGATAAAAACAATTTATATACTAAAACAAAATATGCCAATAAGGGATAAAAACAAATTAACCATGGTACTAAAAAAAAACCCACACACACAAACTATGACAATGATGTAATTGTAAGGGATTAAAAGAGAGCCACTTATATTAGCAAAGACTATAGGTCCTTTATGTTAATTTATTGCAAAAGTTCACTGTCCTCAAAGATATTTCAACTTCTATACTTATAATCTTCTAAGGACAAAGCTAAAAGGAGGAGAGGCAGATTTTCATACAATTATACAGAGAGGATGTTCTCACAGTGGAGGACTATCAAGCCTCTCTACAATGCCTGCTGTGTTTGCCCTCCTGTATGAAATGAAGTTCAATGGCCATATGATAAAAAGAACTCAAGGGTCTTCCTGTACATTATGTATGGAATTTATGAAGAAATTGAAGTTTGCTTGCTTTCAGAAGATAACTATTCACCGCAAGACTTCACTTGACAAGCTAACACATTCCTTGAAGGGTCTGCAACACTGTTAATTCTCTTTTAATCAGTTGCATCACTGAAGTTTTTATCTCACCATTCCAAACCTGATGTCAGTTTCCAAGACAACCCAAATATTTATGTTTCAGTGTACATGCCCACGAGCCCCTTGCTTATTATCACTGGAGCAAACCTAAGGAGGGATTTCTTGGAAACAGATCATGTGTTTGTGTTTTCTTTTATGAGGGATATGTCTCTTTGAAAGCAGATAACTAGAGGGAGCAAAATCTACCTTCTTGAACACTCAATGATAATTAACTATTCCCTTCTGTGACATAAGATGTTGGTTTTTGTGTAACTTGTAACAAATGTTATCACTTCACTCCTCTGGAAACATGTTTGACACTAGAACTTATGATCAAAAAATGAAATGTTTTGGTAGGAAATGTTTTTGCACATTTTGTAAATAAAAACACATAATATTTACAATTATAAATGGTCCATTACAGTTATATAGGTTAATTAGATAATCAGACTGGTAAGACGGTTGGCTTCCTTAAAAGTACTTAACCTTGACTAGAGGATATGAATCAAAAATATACTGGTAAACCAAAACAAAAACAGAGAGCTAAAAAAAAAAAATCCAACCCACACAAACAAATGTTCTGCCATGGTTAAAATGAGACAAACAAAAATAAATTGAAACAATGTAGATTAAGCAGAGGCAGTCAGATAAAAGCAGGCATGGTTCATTATGTGAGCTAAATAGTTCAATGTTGTGCAGACCCCAAGCTCTGGAGCCATTCCAAACACAGCATCAGGAATGTTATTAAATTCTGAATCCCCATGCCTCCATCTTCAATTTGCATGCTTTGCCTTTACAATAAACCTCTTTTTTAAGCTATATATCAGGTGATATCACAACCTTTACTTTGGATCATACATATATACTTGTCATAAAAATCTTCATCTAACATAAATATTGGTGGTGGTTATGTAAAGAGAATAACACTTTTATTTGTTTAACTCTCATATCAAATGACCCCCTCGGCCTCCCTCCCTCACTCCTCCAACCCACCCTTCATGTATTTACATGCATTAAATACCTTCTATCCTAATGCTACAAAACTGCTAGACCCCCCTTGCTGTAAAGCTTGCCTTCCTCCTGTGTGTGTCATAGCTTCATATAAAAATATTTTATATCAAGTTTTTCTTTGCCTTATCTGACTCCCCCATCTAGATTCCATATGAATTACATAAATCATAACTAGCTCCCCTATCTCATAATGTTCTGATCCTCCTCTCATCACATCCATCAATCCAATTCCTATCAGACAATATTATCCTAGTTTTATCATGAATCAGGTAGGGATCAAGGGAATTAGGGGGATATCATGATAAAAATATGTAGCAATTCCTACTTTTGGAACTCAGTGTGTAAGGTTTGCTTACATACATCATTAAATACCCAGTTAATCATTATAATTGAGTAACAAATTGGAATATGTGCCATTTGATTTTCTGTAAATTGTAAATGCTTTGAAATTTCCTGTCATTGTGAGGCCATTTTCAGGCATTCAGTGCTCATCATAATAGCAATGTAGTGTAGAATTATTTCCTCTAACCCTCAATTAGCAGTCCTAGGCCACAGGAAACTGTCCATTATGACCCTTAATCTGATTGGTCACAGCTGTGATGGCTAATCATGACACCTGATTGGTCATTTGTTTTACCTCATTTCAGCCAAAACAAAAAAAAAAAAAAAAAAAAAAAAAAAAAAAAAAAAAAAAAAAAAAAAAAAAAAAATGTATGTCATCACTCAACAGTGTTCAGAAAAAAAAATTGAATGATCATTCATGTCTTCCATTTATATCACAAGCTCTTTTCATTCACTTTTTGTTTGCGTGGATCTTCTCACATTCAGGCAGGTATTTGCATATTTTTATGCTCTCTGAGCTGTTAGTCAACTGTGGGTGCATAAGATTCCAGGTACAACGTGAAGTGTTGTGCACAAAGATTGACGCACGCTAGCGTTTTCATTTTCCAACCACTGTTTACTTACAAAAAAAAAACATTAAATAATCTTTGTAGCTGTATTATGCTAAACGTAAAGTTATTGTTGCATGATCTGGCCTAACGCCAGACTTCTCTGGTAAGGCTGCTTATGTAATGTGACCACATTAAACTTTGTGTGTCCTAACTTTCAGCTCCTTAGCCAGTAATCCTATTACATTAAGAATTTTCCCTCTTTCACAGACCACCTTGGTTGGGTTTATAAACATAGATCACTGACATGTATAAACCAAATGCTGAACAAATATTTACCTTAGTATTCAAATCGTAGAAGTTATAAAATTTAAATTTCAGTTGAAGGAAATTATTATCCCTAATTCCTTGCTCCATTAAGGACCTGGAAGAATCTAGCCACCTGAAAAAAGATAAAACATTTATAAATAGACACATCACTGACTGACAGGATGTAGTAACAAAGCAGAGAAGGCACATATTGTTCTGTTCCTGTAAACTGAGAAGGACAGAATACATCTTTATACATGTACATATAGAGTTGTATATTTATGCTGAATGATGTTCACGGTCTTGAAACATTTTTTTTTGGCAGCAAAGATTGATGGGAAACTTCCACAACTGGGCAACAATCCCAGTCTACATTTATGCTACATAAATAAAAACAAACATCAGAGTTCATACACCCATCAGGACCTGGTCATTTAAAGGAGTCACTCCAAAATCTACACCTGTGTGGTTATAATGGTCTATATAAAAAAAGATGCATTAGGCAGCCTGACCTCTTGTACATAAAGCAGAGGATAAACCACATGGTGTAGGGTCCTATAAGTTATTAAATGATATCCGTTTACTAGGTAGTGCAGATCAATGAATATACACCCACACTTTAATGTATGTATCTGTACATATAATCTTTGAAATTAAATGTATAAATTACATGTTACTTAGTCTTGGTATAAATTGATAAAGCAAGATGACTCATGTTTAGTTATGCATGTCAACCTTTGAATATCAGTGTCGCATCCCAGATTTTAAGCTTTATTCTAAATTACCAAATAACTTGTGTGCTTGTCAAGAGATTTTTATCATATGACCGCACTTAAAATGTTTCGACTTTGTCTACTTTAGCTCACTTACAATTTTGCTATCAACAGGAAATACTAATAATTTCAGCATTAAGACACCCTGACCTTGACCTTTAATGTTTAAAATTATTAAGACCATGGAAACTTAATTTTTTACATTTCCCCCCAACATTGTGTACTGAACTTGTTTGAGTTCAGTACACAATGATTTGGAGAGTATACATAAGAGAAGGCCTTTAAAAAATAAAAATCTGAATTTTTCCGCTGATACATGTTTTGCTATCGACATGATGAAAGGCCTCGTTTATATCTTTATTTACAAGTTGTTTAATCTAGATCCTTTAATGCTTACACATGACCTTTTTAATTATTTAATTTGGGATCTGGCAAAGGAGCCAGGCTTATCAGAGTTATTTTCGTAGTTATCTGAGTTTCCGGTAACTTGCTTGATATAAATATTTTTAGCAGCAGGTGAGATGTTACGACCCTGCTCCCTCCACAGGTGTATAAATCTGTTATATATACCTATATATACCACGTCAATCATTATCAAACTATCTACAACATGCATACTTATGATTCTCTTCTGAATCAGAACTTGTCTTTTTTCTTGGGGAGGGGAGGAAGGGGGGAGGGAGGCAATACTTGTTAGACTGTATGGTTAATGAATCAGTTTATGTTGATATGTATCACTACTAAGTCAGTACATGTTGATTTGTATCACTAAGTGCTGAATCATTAAATACTGAATTGTATCGCTTCTGAATCAGTAAATATTGATTTGTATAATTTGAACTGGATAAAATATTGACAAGGTCATTTCAGCTAAGACAAAGTAAAGAAAAATATCTCATATTTCTTGGTATCATTAAGAAGGAAGATTTGAAAAATAAATTACTTGTTACTTAATTTGCAGAATTGCACTTACAGAAATACACCATATATGTCACTGGTTTTTATCCTTTGAAGTATCTTTTCTACCAACGCTTTCTTTCTCCAAGAAATTCTCTTAGATGTCAAGTAGATTCAAAAGATATAAAGCATGGTTATATATTTAAGTATGACTTACGCAAAGTTAATACGGGCTTTATCTGTGAGATTTTTGGGTTTGTGAAGGTACTGTAGAGCCTCTTTCATGGGTATTGGTGGGCTATTAGCCAGAGCTGACTCCATGCCGCCCTCAAAAGACAAGCTGTACATGGATCCTGGGGACATTGTGCCATTCAATGTGTTGTAGGGTGAAGGAGAATTAAAACCTGGTGAGCGGCCTAGTGTGTTCTGAAAAAAAATTAGAATACTGGATACATTTTTTAGCATGCACATGGTGAAAAATGATAGTTCAGGAGCACTGAATCATACAGTGTGCAATTTTTTTTAGATTAAGAAATTGCAGGTTTATCTTCTGTCCCAGCATGTTGGTTTTGAGTGCAGGGAGAACACGATATCAAAAGAATGTGCTTTCTTCATCAAGATATATTTTCAATCATATTTATTTTATACCTTTCTAATTATTATTCCAATCTATTAATTATTTACAGCTATCTTCATATTATTTTTATCAAAATATAAATCTAAAGATGTATGTCTGACAATAAACAAAATGTACATGCCATGTAGGCCACATCAAAATTCCATTACTGACAAGTTTTTCATTTATAAATACAGTTGAACTCTGATATCTTGAACGTAGGTATCTCGAATACCATAGGTATGTCAAATTGATTTGGAAGTCCCTACCATTTTTTCTTAATTTATTTAAACTTCTGTAACTCAAACCCTTGGATATCTCAAAGTTTTTTCTCAGTCCCATCGAGTTTGAGATAACAAGGTTTGACTGTGTATCTTGAGTTACACAGAATCTAAAATGTTCCTTGGACTTACATTAGGAGATGGACCACCAGGACTCCTGTTTGGGAATGGACTAAGTCTGTCCAGACTTCCTGTGTTGGAGTGGTTGATGCCATTACTAGTTGGCATCTGGTCGTGCAGGGAATCCCTCTTTTTCTTTGTATTTAAGTGTTCCTTAATGTTCTTTTTTAAATCATCCTTGTCCATGAATTTCATCACTGACATTTCTTCAGGATTTCTAATTCCTACAAAATACAGGTATATTTCCTATATATTTACCTTCTAAAGTTATGTATCAAAATCATATTTTTGTATATTCCAGAGTTTGCAATTACAAAGAGTATTTTTTTTTGTAGAAAACTTATCATAAAGCAGCTCATATTCAGTAAAATGCAACTGAAATGTTGCTTTACTACAAGAGATCTAAATCTCAACTTGTCACATATTCAAGAGCAGGATAATCAGCATTCCTCTAGATTACAATTTTGAACAAGACAATTGTAAGGAATAATTTCTGACCAATTATGACAGCATATTTAGCTTTGCAGGCTGCAGTGACAGTATTTAAAGATACACGTATTCGAAATCCATTAAACAAATCTGAATATGGATAATAAAAGTAATTTATGTATGCAACAGATTGGTTCGCAGGTTTTCAGTCAGAAACTCATATGTGCATGCCATATGCAATATCCCATGTGAGAATGCATCAGTGCAACCTCTTACAAAAATGTAATATACAGTATATGAAACAGAAAACAAGACTGTTGCTGGTTAGATCAGGGTATTTGAGCAACCACTGGTTAACAGAAGTTACAGGGCCCTTGCTAATAACATGACTAGAAGCTCTGATCATCTATCTGCTCCAAAGATCAAGATTGACTTGTCATTCATGACAGAGCCCAATTGTTTTCCAACCTTGCCTTCCTCCACCTGGGAATGCAGCCTTTGATCAAATACACAATGATAGACACTTCTCTAGTGGCTAAAACTCCCAGACTAATGACCAATTAAAGAGCTCCGGCTACTAAGTTGATTAACTATTACATCACTGCAAATCTTAATTCAATCAAACACTGCTTTATGCATTTATCGATTGCTGCAAAAGAGGGAGATAGAAATTTCTGGTGGATGAATCAGGTGTCAATTGTCATTTAGAAAGCTGGCCATCATAATTTTGCATGGTAAAATCACTTCAATTTATCTCTGTGTTTGCTGCATGTCTCTTATTGATTTTTACGTCTCTATTTTGGCTCAAGTTTCAGCAGGACCCCTCTTAAGACTCTAGTTTCACCAACTTCATCTATTTATCAATATAACATTAAATGTTACACATTTATTCACTATATCAAATATAGCAGTAATTTCCCTAAGTTATTACATCCCAGACTTTAAAACTACCAAATGAGGGGAATTTAATCGATACATTTTGTAACAACTTAATGAAAGATTCTGTTTCTTATAAATCTTTGATGTTGTTTTGTGTATTGACAACATGCAAGGAAATAAAATGTATTCAAGATTGTGTTGCACAAAAATCAATGTTTTCAATCAGCGATAATGAGCCAGGGTATTCTGATTTCATTTCACCTTTGTTTCCAAGTAATTTGTGAAGAGTATTTCCTTGTTTCATACACTTCAATCAAATCCAAATATAGAAATAAAATGTTTCAGAGGATGAAAACAACTAGCAAATGATAACTTTTAAAAATTTGAAAAAAAAAAAAAAAAAAAAAAATCAAACATCTCATATCATGGGTTTTATGGGCATCTTTTACAAGAAGAAACTTGCTTTTTAACTCCCATCTTCATTACAATTCTTTTAAATTAAATTTTAAAGAAGTTTCATTTTGCCAATGGATACATTATCCTTCTTCAGAAAGAAGCAGAAGTGAAGGAGGGCAATTTGGGTGACATAAAGCAACAAAGTGAAACACAAAAAACAAAGCAACAAAGAAGCCTTTATGTTAAAAATAAACACGGAGAGTTTCAAAATACATGTAGTACACAGGCTTTGATTTTAGATGTACTTGTAATTTTCCTGTTTTCTTAACAAAATCTGTTTTCATTCTTTTTTGAATTCTTAGTTTATGATCCATTTCTTTATCTACATTGTGTTGTTTCAAGTTACTTTCTCTAGGGTGTCAATTCCAATTTTTTGTCCCCCTATGTAAGAATTGATGTAAAACTGCAGCAAAAAATAAGTCTGTATACACTATATATGTTAGAATCCATTCTTAGTCAATATTGCAGTGTGATAGTTTCTCTTTTTTTGGTTCATACAATGCTTTAGCCCATGTTTCCAGACTATGGTACCTACCTAATTCTTTACACAAGGAGGTGATTGCAGAGAAAACTTTTGTTGAGAAGTTCATTCTCATGTCCAGAATCTGGAGATCTGGGAGCTGAAGTCTGACGTTTTTATGCATGGGAGTAAAAAGAAGTTTGGCATCGGCCTGGACGTCATATTGGTCCAGTGTTGAGCGGGACCGCAACAGCCACTGGTTTTTGTCTGGCCACCAGAGGGCATGATCGGACCAATCTGCCGCAATGTCTGAGAAAAATAAAAAACTATATCATAAACACATGTAAGACATCATATGACTCATATCATTTATAAAACATGTATACATTTATTATTATATAAAACTATGAAAGTCTTCAGTAACTATATTCATGAATGTTTTTATCACAAAAAAATTTATTGAAAGTCGAGGGAATCTTAGATATATTTGATAAAGGATCATGGGCCTTCCTCCTTCTTCCATGACATCTCATTGTACAAGTAATACAATATTTCAAAGCTCTCATGATATGACATATCATATTCCACTGAAATACTCAATTGTATTATAGGCTTCGCCTTCAGTATGTAAAAACCAAGTAACTTAAATTTTTTAGCTTTTTTTTATCTGACATACCAAGCATATGAGAGATCAAGCCTAGTCAGACAATCTGTAGACTTGTTCTTTTTTTTTGCATCCAGACATATTCTGATATTATATCAAGATGATCAGACTCTGGGAATTTTAGGGTGCAGTGAGAACAGGGCACCCTTGTCCTGACTCACAGATTTATAAAGCTAATTTGAGGCAGAGAGTGCTTCTTTCTAAATCTCTTTGTTTAAGGGTTTCTAGCAAAAAAAAAAAAAAAAAAAAATACTACGATGCAAAAACCTACAGAAAAAATCTTGAGAATATGATACTAATTAAATGTATAACAGAAAATAATGAGCTAATTAAACTTTCTCACACTGGATTGAACTTCATCAGTTAAATATTAGTGTAAACTATTGAATATGGGTAAAGGTCCACTATTTGTTTGCTAGTTTTGATATCCAGTAGTCGTAATGTTCTGTTTACATAGAGTTCAAGACCTCAGGTATAGGGGCTATTTGAGGTATCAGTGGGTCAATATACTGACCACTAATAGAATGCATAACACAAGACCTTATCCCGTGGTTATCAGGGATCACTTCTATAATTATATAAAACTACACATATATAGGATACAACATTCCTGGGGTCTCCAAGTAACTACAAATAGATCAGTCATTAGGATAAGGAAAAGAATGCAATCAAAGACACAAATCAAGAAAATTAGGTCAAACTGATTCAATCAACAACAGGTACTCTTTTAAAGTTACTCAATCACTGCAATGGAATGTTATCCCTATTCTGATAAAGATACTATTGGCTTTACTAGTCTTATAACTTCCAATAAAATGAAATTTAAACAGTGCTTCATGCTTTAAAATCCCATTTCCTGTCAGCTGAGGATCAATTCTGCAATATTGACTTCTTTTTTTGCTTATCAAAGTAGGTCACATGTCTGCATTTATGGAAGATTGCATGGGAAAAATGTTCTTTACATAATATATATAGGCATATCTTAAATACTATGAATCTGACAATGGAAAAAAAAAGTATCAGCTTAGCATTCATCATGATGCTAGTACAATAGTACAAATAATGAACATTAATTCTTAGAGGTGTGATGGTGACATGATATTCAAACTTCTGTTGGACATGCTTGTCTCCTCTGGGCTTAAACTCAGCCCACACCTAGCATTAAGAGATAGGCAGTGAACGTAAATAAGGTGGGCCTGATCCCTTAGTAAACTCATCTTTCTTAACTTGTCACTTAATACACAATGCATAACATACATTCTATGGGGTCACGAAAAGTGACCAAGATTTGGCAAGAAATTGACTCCCCTGACATGTATTTATGACCTCATTAAATAGCAGGTGTGTGTAAGAAATGAATTTTTTTTTCCCTACAATTTTTTCCCCTTGAAATTTGTTTATTGGTTTAATCTTGTGCGTCATAAAGTGTCATCTGCTCCAATAAACCATAGAACTATATTGTCATTTTACATCAGAAATTTGATACATACATGTGCCGTATACAATCTATCCTCTGACACTCAAATCTAAACTTTCGCTAAAGCCATGATGCATAACTATTTCATAACCAATATATATCATACAAATATATTAGTTATATGAATACCCTCTTCATCCACAATAAATACTCTCATCATTAGCAATTCCATGATAATTTGGATCCTTTTAGAGACATTCTTTGCATCATTGATAAGTGGCCACTGAGGTTCCTTTAAACAGACCCTCTCTGTTTGTCAACAGTAGACAGATTTCCGCTACATGGTCAATATAATTCCAAGTTTATCCAATTTGTACAAATATTTGTACAGGGAACTCTTTTAGCCTTGCTTGGCAAATATAGCAATTACAAGAGTTCCTTTTCCCGGAGGAATACCAGGGAAGAAGGCAAGTAAATAGTAGACACGAGGCAGACAAATAAAATGTACATAATTCATGGATTTTAACACCTAAATGTGTCACAGAATCGTACAGCAAATACACTTACACCCCTGAATGAGTTAGAAAAACTACTTAACATGAAGACATACAATTTCTATTATCACTCTTGAACCATAAGCCATGGACCCTTATCATGCCCTCCAAGCAGATGGCAGAAGTGATATTTTTTGTTTTAATGTACAGATGCCAGGCGAAAAAGAAGGCCTTTCATTAAATACAGCCATTAGGAAGATGCATGCTGGAGATACTAAGAAATGAAACATCACAAATCGGAGTTTTGTTTTGTTTTGTTTTTTTTATGAAGACTATCGTCAATGAACATATTAGATGCCATAAAGTCACAAAGCATGATTTTTGCATTTCATGAATTTAGTGTTTGGAATATATGTAAGATAGGGAATATATGTAAGATAAAAGTGATAAATTTCACCTAAGATAATGGTGTACAACACCTGAAATTTTCACGGAAGTTGTATTTTTACAAGTCGTCAAACTTAATGCATGTAAAACAATGGAGCATGTTAAGCTGATCAATCCCTGGCAAAACAGAATTCTAAATCACATTCAAAAACAAGACATGAGTCTTATATATATAATATATAGAACAAAAATCTTTCATGTATATATGAGATTTAAGTGGTATTTTATACATGTGTGCATTTACTTTAAAATATAAATGATATCAATGTACCAGTATGTGCCTGACATGGACCTCAAACTGTGATGCTTCTGACTAATACTGAAGTTGAATATCAAATGAGCATGAAAAAAATTACATTGAAAAGTAGGTCTACTAAACAGTGCAATTATTTAACCATTTGTTGAATAAAAATAAAATTAGTTTTGGATGAGTGTTAAGGCACTCAGTCCCTAACACCCTGTTTAAAACGACCATGTATTGATCGAGTTGGACATTGGATCTTTGCATCCTCTGAACTTTCAGTACATCACTTTTCATTGTAATGACAATGAGTCAGTGAATTATCATCACTAATTTATCTACACCTCTAATTCTCTCCTATCTCTCTTAACTCTATAGTGGATCTTCCTTATCTATGCTGTTTATTCTTATCTTACATTACATAATCTTAACCAATGTTCTCATACTGCATGAATAACCTAGATCATGTACCTACATAATGCATGTAATTCATACACCTTCTCTGCATAATAATCTAAGGGCATGCAATGATAACTTTCACAAGTGTCTGACATATCTGAAAGCTTGGAATGTTTCAATAAACTTTATCAATATTTCAATCACTTGAAGACCCGTAGATATTTTCATCTTCCAGACTCTGCATGATATAAATAACAGTTTGGGCTCTCAATGAATTATACAGTTATTTATATCATACATGTTCCGCAACATTCACCATTTTAATACCTGTAAAACTGGTATAACCTGTGCAAACTACTAATTGATATGCAGAATTTAAATGTCTGTAATTTGAAAAAGTCAAAAACAACCCAGAAATGATCAACTTCATAATAAGGGGAAAAAATAACCTTTTGATAACGGATTGAATTTTGGCAATGACACAAACTGCAGACTGAATGAGCAAAAAAAAATTCAAGATGTAACTTAGAGTCTATATAACCATTATGTTATCACACTCTGCATTTCTGAATACATTAAAATATATTTAGGCAAGAGGCGATTCATTAGCATTAATATTTGCTCTGTTTACAATCTAAAGGTACACGAATACAGAGAACCTTTGTCATCTGACGACTGACCTATATATTTTCAATTCAAAACATCCAATATAGGTATGAGAAAAATGAAGAACATTAATTTCATTTAAATGGAAAGAGATACCTTATATACATTCCATTGGAATGGACTCTGTTTTTGTGCAAGAACCCATTTTAATCATTCAATCTTAAATATACTGCATACCAAAAACATAAACTTTAAAAATATCGACTACTGAAATCTGAAACGATTTGTAGGCCTGCAAAATATTGGGCGTTTCAAACAACGAGGATATTTAAAAGAATATTATCCTCCAGTGACCTCTCCTCTTGTTTGTCTTTCAGAAATATGAGCCATATATGAAAGTGAAATTAGCATTTGTAAAATGGCAACCAGTGTGAACACAAAATCCCTTTACTATTTCAATTTCACCTTCTTGACAGAAATGATTTCCTACTGTGCTAAGAGTTTTTAACAGAAATTTTAAGGGGGATCATATACATAAAGGGTGGGTCTTTTTCTATACCACTGAAATGCAATTCAACATTTTTTTGTTTCCTGCATTATACTAAAAATGTTTTTCTGTAATGTAGTGTAGTTTTTTATCACTGCAAATAACATTGGGTTACTGCGTAACAAAAAAAGAGTTAGAATTCCTATTTTTTTCCACCAAATCAGTAATTAATAACATGTCAAGACATAGAGATCTGTACAGAGGTACTTGAGTGTAGAAATGGTATACACTGGCCTATACTTTATTTACTTTGTATATACATTAACTGACAAATTCTCTCTAAACACCATTAATCATTTCAATTAACTTGGAAAATTCCCAAGCAGACATTAACAATTTACTTGTCCTAAGATGTCCACTGACTCTGCAGCGACTGTGAGATGTAAAAGGATGTGTATTACGTGAAATTAACACCTCATACAAGATGTCCTGTCAACTTCGACCATAACATCCTTGTTCGATTTGTCAGTGTGCTGAATACTTCCTCAACATTTCAGTTATGGTAAGATATTTGATTTCAGTGATCACAATCTAGTTATAAAATAGGTAATCACCAGTGACAACTGTATATCAAATACCTTTCTGAATGACATTTTTTGTGCTTTTACTCTCACACTGTTTAATATAGTGTAATTATTATGAAGAAGGCCTCATCTATGAAACAAACATACAAAGTTCTGTCTCACTTTGGAATAGTAAATACTCCTTTTATCTGACAAAATTAAGGCACAGTATCCCAGAAAACAAATGAAGATTTTCTTCATAAATATATTAAAACTAAACACCAGAATGTTCAAAATTTGGTTCAAGTATTGACCAACATCTTATATATGTATTTTGACCTGAGTACACACCTAGTGCCTCCACCAGTTTCACCATGACGCCTCCTATGTGGAGGTCTCCATTGACCCTAAGTTTCTTTTCCACCTGGACGTCTGTAACCTCAATGGTCAGTTCCCACGAACCATCCACTCGTCCGCTCTCTGTCACGTAATCAGCCATAATATTTACACCCAATACACAATGTCTATCTTATCAATGTTAAAAACAATAAAATTTCATTAACCATCAACATCCAGTCTGAGAAGCTTTTTAATTTCCATGGTCACTGAAAATAGATAGAAAAAATATTCGTTTCACTGAGTAATCCACTTGAAGAGTATGACATATAACCTCGGAAGCTCTCTGAGATAGAATTTCGGGTCACTCTTAATCGTCCCAATGCGGAAAACAACTGTTTACAAATTCATGTGATTTACCTTTGTTACGGGAACATTTTCCCTCTAAAAGTTGAAAGACAAGTGAAAACTTTGTGATAAACAGAATCCAACGTAAAAGCAGAGTCCACAGTCGCCTAATTAAAGTTAACGAAGTTTACTAAACCGCAAGTACGAAACACTTTGCCCCTATTTGGGATGACGAGCGTAATCAAGAGCACAAACACCGAGTGACGTTTGAAAGCGAATACGTGATTGGTTAAGAATTTTTCACAATGCAAGAGGTTGCTTACATACTACAAGAAGGAATAAGTGTAGTTTTCTCTTTTATATATTCTACAGTATATCTATTTCTACCATTCTTAAAGCCGAGTGAAGACAGTTGTGGACATGCTTGCATAACACTGCCAGTGGTTCCGAAAGAATGGGAAATCCCTATTTTCATTTCCAAATTTTTGACCAATGAGAAAATTGCTTTCATCATAGCCTCTTTTCAGGTCTGTGAAATGATGTCATATTACGGGAAATACCTCATTCTCTGCATACTTGAGGGGGTAGCTCTCAACGTGCAAAATGACTCATGTTCTTGAACAATAAACAGAAACTTCAAAGTTGTGTAATACGGTAGTGAAAAAAAACACAGATTTTAAAAAATATTTTTCACATACATTGCATAAATATTATTTGTTATATATTTGTTCACATTTCTGTTAATATTAATTTTGCTGATTTTTAACTGAAAAAAATCATTCAAGAAAATTTCAAATCAGATTAATTAAATATTCTTGCAGTACGGTACATATACTGTGTCTAAACACAAATATTAAGTCATATAATGATGTGAAGGAAATAAAGTATATAGATTGTAAAGCAATTGGTTTTGAGTTTTTGTATTTCAATTAAGTGTTAACTTCAGATTTTTTCATTTCAGTTCATTTGAACAAATTAGCATCTCCTACTCTCTTTTTCTTTTCACTCTCATAAAACTGGATTATCTATTCAAACTTCCTTAAAGAAAAAAACATACATTTTGTAAATACATATTATTCTTTAATGGTATATACTTGTATAATGGACGGAACAGAGATATAAAAATGCTTAAAAACTTCCAAGAAGAATGATATATCATTCCCTTAAAAAAAAAAGAAGAACAACTTAGATTGCAGTACTGTACGAGGGTCATTCAACAAAATATTTTTGTCACACTTTTTTATTAAACGTCATATTATAACCAAATTTGGTAGAAATATTTTATTAACAATATAATCCAAATAATTTTAAATAAAAAAATTCAATCATAACATGATAAATATCAAAATTATCTAAGATTTCAGACAGCAAAAGTGGGGTCTATGGAGCACTGTCCAAACTGAGTAATTCACAAACAATTAATGCACTGCATTTGTCTATAAGTCATATCTCTAATAAATATTGGTGCTTAAACTAAATAAACTTTAAACCTTTAAATTTAGTATTGTTTTATAATATCAGATGGCAAATTGTAATGTGATACATTGCTTCATTAAAATGAAAGTGATTTCAAAGGACAGGTAGTCCTCTTTGAAAAAAAAAAGGAAAAAAAGATGATGTCTACATCATGGAGCAGCAAGTAGTGATATAATAATGTTTTGAACTCAGAAAATCCTAATATAGACTCTGAAAATGCTGGAGGAACAAGGAAATATATCAAAAGTGAGCATGCGTTTGTATATATATCATGACAAGGACAGTTTTTTGAGTGGTAGAAACTTAACCCATGATGGACGGTCTGCAAGGAAAAGATTATAGTTAAAAGTCTGGTCAAAAGACAAATAAGATCATGGAAAGTGATGTGTGCTTCACTGTTGCAGAACTTGTGAAAGCAAAGTTGCGCGGTTAAGATTTGAAAACATCAACAAACTAACTTAATGCTACTCAATTTTTTTTTAGCAAACTAAGTGTCAAGTGTTAAAATGTTTTTAATGAGTGGGTAAGGTGCTACAGACTGTGTGAGAAATGACGATGGAAATGAATCTTGAAGAATTTTCACACCGTTGTTTTTGAAGTTAAAATGTCATTGAGAGTGCTCAGTGGTGACAAAACATATTAATTTTAAAATTAAGTATCACAAGTTCCATTTAATCAAATGGAATGAAACTGCACACTTTGACAAAATAATGTTTACATTTGCAAATGTATTGATCTTCAATCTTATAAAAGTAATATTATGAAGTGATATTGTCTATGTATTTTTTGAATGACCCTCGTACATACAGTATGTAATGTGTGAAACAATTCATATCTGTTTTACTTATCAATTCTTCATTATCAGTCGTAGAATAATAATATGCATACATTTTAATCAAAACAAAAGAGTTCTCATACATGTATATTATCACAGGAAAAAAAGTCATCTTTTTGTCTGGTATATGAACAGTTTCAGTCTCCATTTTCGATTTTGTTCTATAGCCCACAAAGTCTTCACGTAAAAGAAAACATATCTAGAGAAGAGAAAAGTGATGTTTCAGCTGTTTGAGAAGTTCCTTAGAATCCACATGATTTTGGAATGCCTCTACTGCTCTCTTTGCAGCATTGTAACTGCTCTGTAGATCTCCAAGCTGAAAGAAAAGAATAATTTTATATCAATTAAATCACTTTATTCCAGAATAAAATAAATCGAGAGTCTGGTTTAGAGTTCAAACAGAAAGAGATTAAGCAAATGAGCAATAGCTTCTCTAAAAACCTCTTTTGAATTTTATGAAAAGTAATGCTATTTAATTAATGAAAGAAAAAGTGAGCAAGCTCACATACCCCACGCTTCCCCAAAACTCGACAATGCAACACGTAATGAATGGCACAGTGCATTTTAAATACACAGTATAATTCAAAAAAGGGGCATTACTTGCAAAAAATCATCACATCAAAACTTCTTGCATATAAGGACATTCAAATCTTTGTATGTTACAAATTTAACTGGGCTGAAGTTTCTAGATAAATAATGGAATCAAAATTTCTTGGTAATATACAAATCTATACATTATTCTGAAATACCTACAAAGTTTCAGGAAATTCAGTGCCGGAATTATGCTGACAAACTGTTATTTAAATTCCTCAGTGATTTCGATTTGTTAATGAGTGCAAGTCCATGTCCAACACATGACAGTTTACACATTTAAATAATTGATGGAAACAAAATTATGATGTAGTCATTCATATGAATCTGTTTATATACTGTACTTATGAAATTATTTAAGGCAAAGCACACCAATTTGAAGGGGGGGGGGGGGGGGGAGAGAACTATCGAAGATGGTGTGTGTGTGAGTGTGTGTTTGTGTTAAACCATTAATATTTTGATCTCAAAATCAATAGGGGTCTTTTAAGGTCATAAAATATTTCACATAGAATTTCATTATAAAAAGCTGATTCCAGTGGAGTTTCTTATTACCTAGCTGGAAAGTTTCTTCAATAAAAGGCAAAACTCTTAAGGCAAAAATAATGGAATCGGAATTTCCTGGTAATATGCACATCTACACACTGTGTACTAAATATCTGCAAAGTTTGTCCAAATTCTGTGCAGCGGTTTAAGAGGAGTTGTGCTGACAAACTGTTCATCTCTATATTCAAGATATGGCCAAAAACCTAAGTTGAAAAGTGCCGAAATTCCCAGAAAAAATAATGGAATCAGAATTTCCTGGTAATATGCACATCTACACACTGTGTACTAAATATCTGCAGAGATTGACCAAATTCTGTGCAGGGGTTTAAGAGGAGTTGCGCAGACAAACTGTTCATCTTTATATTCAAGATATGGCAAAAAATCTAAGTTGAAAAGTGCCGAAATTCCCAGAAAATATAAAGGAATCGGAATTTCCTGGTAATATGCACATCTATACATTGTGTGCTAAATATCTGCAAAGTTTGACCAAATTCTATGCAGCGGTTTAATAGGAGTTGTGCTGACAAACTGTTCACCTCTATATTCAAGATATGGCCAAAAACCTAAGTTGAAAAGTGCCGAAATTCCCAGAAAAATACGGAATCGGAATTTCCTGGTAATATGCACATCTACACACTGTGTCCTAAATATCTGCAAAGTTTGACCAAATTCTGTGCAGCGGTTTAAGAGGAGTTGCGCTGACAAACTGTTCATCTCTATATTCAAGATATGGCCAAAAATCTAAGTTGAAAAGTGCTGAAATTCCCAGAAAAATAAAGGAATCGGAATTTCCTGGTAATATGCACATCTACACATTGTGTCCTAAATATCTGCAAAGTTTGACCAAATTCTGTGCAGCGGTTTAAGAGGAGTTGTGCTGACAAACTGTTCATCTTTATATTGAAGATATGGCCAAAAATCTAAGTTGAAAAGTGCCGAAATTCCAAGAAAATATAAAGGAATCGGAATTTCCTGGTAATATGCACATCTATACATTGTGTGCTAAATATCTGCAAAGTTTGACCAAATTCTGTGCATTGGTTTATGAGGAGTTGCGCTGACAAACTGTTCATCTCCATATTCAAGATATGGCCAAAAATCTAAGTTGAAAAGTGCCGAAATTCCGAGAAAAATTAAAGGAATCGGAATTTCCTGGTAATATGCACATCTACACATTGTGTCCTAAATATCTGCAAAGTTTGATGAAATTCTGTGCAGCGGTTTATGAGGAGTTGCGCTGACAAAAAAACAGGACTGACGGACTGACTGACCGACTGACACACTGACTGACTGACTGACGGACGGGTCAAAAACATTATACCTCACGCAACTTGTTGCGTGGGGTATAATTATTTTTTTGAGTAAACTGGAGAAGCCTGTTATAATAGCATACTAAAATACAGTTGAACTTCGGTATCTTGAACATTGATATCTCAAATACCACGGATACGTCAAAGTGATTTGTAAGTCCCAACCATGTACTCCTTAAGTATTTTACCCTTGATATCTTGAATCCTTGGATATGTCGAAGTTTTTTCTGTGCCCTTCGAGTTCGAGATAACAAGGTTTGACTGTATATGTACAATATAGGGAATTAGAATCCCTGTTTTCAGAAACTAATCTATTAAAATTCAATTCAACAAGAAGAATAATGTTTTACTATCAGCATTTTTATGCCCCCGTAATCAAGGATTTGGGGGCATATAGTTTTTGCCCTGTCCAACTGTCCATCTGTCTGTCCATCTGTCTGTTTGTCCACAAAAACTTTAACCTTGCCCATAACTTTTGATTGGTTGGAGCTACGGCTTTCATATTTCACATACCGGTCTATTCCTTGTGACAAGACCTTTCTTTGGGTACTAACATATTTGACCTTGGAGTTTGACCTACTTTTGCAAAATTTTACCAAACTTTAACCTTGGCCACAACTTTTGAATGGTATTGCTAGGGCTTTCATACTTCACATGTGAATTCCTTGTGATAAGACCTTCCCTTGAATAACAATTTTTTACCTTTTGACCCTGAACTTGGAGTTTGACTTACTTTTGAAAAATTTAACCTTGGTCATAACTTTTGAACAGTTGGTGCTAGGGCTTTCATATTTCAAATGTGTATTTCTTGTGATATGTCCTTCCCTAAGGTACCAATAGTTTTGACCTTTTGTCCTTGACCTTGGAGTTTGACCTACTTTTGAAAAACTTTAACCTTGGCCATAACTTTTGAATGGTTGGTGCAAGAGCTTTCATATTTCACATGTATATTCCTTGTGACAAGACCTTTCTTTGAGTATCAACATTTTTTATCTCTTGACCTTGGAGTTTGATTTGCATTTGAGAAACTTTAACCCTCGCCACGGGCTGCCATACGTGGGCATCAGTGTTTCACAAACACATTTTTTTTTTTATTGAAGTCAATCTATGTTTAAAAAATCTTAAATCAGACAAAATTTGAAGGAGAAATATTGAATTTTTACCTTTTGTTGACATCACTAACAAAATATTTATCCAAATGGATACTATACCGGTATTTGCACAAATTTATGCTTTATGTACTACAGTCTACAATAATAAACTTTATTTTATAGTTTTATCACACCAGACAAACTGTTCAAGTAGAAGCTTTTTGAGTAAAGCCATAGGACAAAGAACTTTAAACTACAAGGACAAATCGTAACTATCTTGACCAACAGAGAGCCAACATAATAAATACAGTCAAACTTGTTTTAACCCATCTTCTTCATTCTGAAATCTTGGCTATTACAGTGAAAACTTCTCAGTAATTTCTTTAAAATGTTGTCTAATTAAAAATGTTTAATCCAGTTAACTTCTTTGGATTCAGTGGTGTCAGGATTAGACATTTCATAAGTTTTACTGCAATTTCTTATTTTTGTTTTAAAGAATCTGATGGTTTCTTTCAAAACAAATTAATGTAAATCTAATGTAAGGAGTCCCCTCATTTGTACAGAAATTAAACCTTTAAATTTTTCAATTTTCTAAGTAAAATACAGTAAAAGACAACTTGGACATTAAATGAATACAGATCATATGTACATGTAAACTTTCTTATTGTATACATGTCCCACCATTTTGTATCATATGGTGCTAAAAATGCCCACAAAAGATAAGACATTTGCACATGCTATTTTGTTTTGCAAATTATCACAACTATTGTGAAATTTTCAAAATCTTTTAATCACAGGGATTTTCACAAAGCATAGAATTTCTGAAAACTACTGACAGATGCTGGGCTCTAAAAATTATAATGAGAGAGATTGTTGACTTGTTCCCATGGTTAATATACTAGTCCATTTTTCTTATAATGGTCATCAACTCTAGATAATTGCCATTAATGCTATTTTTCTGATATGCTTGATGGCTGGGTTCTCCATCAATTCTCTAAAACGCCATTATATCTTTTCATGCTTATCTCCTGAGCTATTCCATTTTATACTCAGTGATCCATTTAATTAATATTTTACACAATGTCTGACTATCAAGGATTAATCTAATCAGAGCCTACCATCACTAACTATTACTCTGTTTATTTCCACCTATCTTGTCCTTTAAAGGAACAATCAAACCCCTCAAAGCTGATTTGTGAAGAGATGAACATAACATGTATTTAGTTAGATTTGATTAGGATTTAGACAACATGTATTCAATTTGAATTGATTACGATTTAGATTTTAAACTTGATTTGAATGAAAATAACATTTATTTTATTTGAGGACTATTTAATTATCACTCAAAAGAGCAGATTAGTTCTTCAAATCGCATTCCACTGTTATTTTGAATTACACAGTCTTATGTTTGTTCAATCATGTGAAAAAATAAACAATAAACAAAAAGTAAGTTCATCCATTAAAAACTTAAAATAATAGTAGAATTTAGAAATATTTTTGCACTTCAGCTATTTGTCTGTGCAGAAAATGTGGAAAGGGGGGGGGGGGGGGGGCTCTATATACTGATGCATATGAGGGTGTCCCTTCAAATCTCCAACTGAAACAGTTTGGAAAAAAATGACAGAGTTACAGCACTACTATAGTATACACTTATCCACTGACTGTGAGTGGGATAGCTCTTTTATCAAACCCGCGACAGGAACTATTCCCCGAGGGCTTGCCCGAGGGGAATAGTTCCTGTCAAGGGTTTGATGAAAGAGCTATCCCAGTCACAGCCAGTGGATAAGCGTTTTATTATACTGATGTATATCATAATTTCTAAGGGTTGGATTTAACTGATACAACAGTTCGATAGTAAAAACATGAAAAAAAAATATTATAAAAGTTTTGAACAAGTATTTGGAATAAGATAACACTGTTAGAATGAGCTGAAATCCTGATGACGTCACAATGCTACTGAAGTCAGGATGACATCATAAGTCTATAGATTGATTACAGGAAATCAAACTTGGCGGCAAAAATTGCATGAAAATTTTCCGAGGGGTGGATAGCACAAACTATACCCTGGGGTATAGCTTTGCTATGTGTGGAAATTTTGAGACTATAAAGATAGTTAGTTTACCTTCTTAACTTTATATAGGATTCATTTTAACAGAAGTATAATAAAGAACATTATCTCTAATTAAGGGATACTCTACAGTATTAATGTAAAGTCTATAGTAAATTTTTGCATCAATAAATTACTTCAAATTACCACTACGGTGTATTAATGAGTAAAAATATATGAAATTATGAGTTTCAAAATTTAAAACATGTATTACTCCAGGTAATTTCTTTTCAACAAATAAATGTTGCTGGCTGAATGAAGATTTTAAAGTTTCATGTGAAGCACCTTCAGTTTAGAAGTGTTAGAAAGGAATTAAATATGTCCTAAAGATGACACTTCACTATAAAAAACTCTCTCTTTATGTGAAACTTTACATTGAAATAAAATTTATCAGATATAATCTGTTAGATAGGTAAAAACAAATGGACAAAAATGTTAGTGTAAAGTCTTAGTAGGGGAAATTGAACCATCATAATTCAGGAAAAATAAGGTCATCACATCACAAAACAAATGGATAAAAAAATTTAATGCAACCACATCAAAATAAGGAAGCAAAATAGAAAATTAAATATTTTAAAAATTTTATGTATAGACTACAAGAGCTGGAGCTTGGTGAAGGTGGCTTAAAGAGGATAAGGAAGTAATATACAAACCTGATCTGCCAGAGCAGCCCAATTATAATGGGGTTCATACATATGAGGAGCCAGACTTAGTGCAGCCTGGAAAAATGCTCGAGCCTGAAATAGATGATAAATGATGTGCAAATTAGAGTTTAATTATTGAGGTAGTTATTCAAAATGTGATGAATTTTTTTTTCATTATACTTCTTGAAAATTAACTGCAAGAATAAGTTCAAAAATAATAAACGTAATGACATATTTCATATCATGTAACATTAACATCCCTTATTATTCCTAAACATCAGTGCATGAATGTAAATGAAATATACAATTGCACTTAGGCTGACATCCTAATATAAATATTGGTTTCAGGCATTCATAAACAATTATGTATGACTCAAAATTATGTGACAATCTGAAAATTTTCAGGTTTCTTTTTTTACAATTCATGAAACAAATCAGACAGATTTATAGCACTGATCAAATGAAGATTTTTTTTTTCGGTTTTGCTTTTTGTTTTGCAAGCTAGGTCAAGGGTCAGTCTTGCATAAAGTTATATGTGTTTCCAAAGAAAAAAAAATGAATAAACAAATGCATCTATGCTGACAACCTTTTCATGCAGAAAGTTCAGGTATAAAACTAAATGAGCTGACATAAAAGCGATTTACAGTTAAAGCCTATACCTTGGGTGTAATGAGGCATATGATTGAGGTGGCCATTTATTGTAATGGCTGTCATCTTGTGAAATTTCACCATTTGTGTCAAATAACCAGAGACACAAGAATTCAGTGACCTTGTTCAAACATTATTCAAGTGTGTCATCCTTTTTTCAATGCTCTGAAAGCATAATTGACAAATAATCAGATTTTTTTTTAAAAGGAGCTCAATTTTCAGTTGCATTGTGTGACAGCTGGACTTTGAAATTCTGGCCTTAGGTATCAAATGGTGTTGTAAAATGAAGCAGATGACCTAAATATGTACTGTGCGATGAAGTAATGTGTGCAATTTGCTCAACAAAATTATATATATTATTTGCTAGATTCATCTGAATATACATCTAAGAACACGCAAAGAGCAAACAGTAACTGATAATATATATGCTAGCTGATGTGAAATAGGACAATTAAATTCTGCCCTCTTGTTACAGGAAAAGAAGACAATTTATGAAACATGCACATAAAATACATTTTTCATTAGTCAGATGGTATGTAAGCTGAGATCAGTAATGACCTATTATTCTTCATTTCTGTGAACTTAACATCAAACCTCGCACAGACAAAGAGCTCTGTTACACTTACTTATATCTAGGCCACAAATATTTGTGGTCAAGTGGTGACAAATTATTCACACTTCAACATGTAATGTAAAATTGATAAATTATTCTGGATTGAAATGTTTTATTTTCTTTAATTAGCCATGGAAGATAATACCTTTTCTGCTATATATTTTGACAATGTGGGTATGATATTTATCATTTCACTTCTGAAAGAAAAATATGTCAGTTTACTGCCCTACGGTTTGATATGGTTAAATACATTCCATTAATCATACTGGTTTTATGTACTCAAATACAACCTTTATACACATGTATCATATCTGGGAAATTTAAGGATGGTAGCATGATGGGAGAAAATTTCTGGGTTTTAGAGTTGACTACTGGGATATGAAGTGCGAATCAGAATTTATATATATTATACATATGTATATATATATTAAGTTATCTTCTATCACTCTCTACCATCGGCTCATACATTCATCTCCGTCATTGGCTCACGTATATCACAGTTATAAGCACGAGAAATAATGTGTTTGTTTTAATTAATTATAAATAAATCCCTGCGCTAATGTTTGTCTTTTAAGGTAGATATTTCCTACACAGATCTAGAACTATAGTAGTTTGATCTGAAATAATCCTTGGAATATCATGTTTTCTACTTCATGTCAAAAATTTTAACGTGAGCCTATTGCAGAGGTGTCTAAGAGAGGTACAAATAACAACTCTGCATAGGAGGTTGAATTTCTATATGAGAACAGTCATGTAACATTAAACAGACATTTGGCTTACAAAAATACATGTATAAATTTGCACATGTATCATGGACAAAATGCAGCATCCATACCACCTTCTTACCATTTCTACATGGCCTTTTCTTAGTTCTAAGACACCCAGGTTATTATAAGCTTCTGCATGGTCATTATTATTGGCTAAGGTAAGTCTAAATGCTTGGTAGGCTAATGTCATGTCTCCAATACCCTGAAAGGAAATGTAGAAGTGGCTATATCAGGATCAATATTTCAGCAAAATTACATAACTCAGCAAATTACATGTACTATATCAAATTAATTGAATTACAAACTTTGATTGAATCTTTCAACACAGTTAACAAGTATTTGTAAATTCACGTCCCCCAAAAATGGGAATATGAGTGAATAATGAAAATGCCCCTATTGACTCTCCCATATTATTTTAATGACTTGGTGGTGGCTTCATCAGTCAATCTGGTTCATTTTTCTCAGAAAAAAAATGTAACAAACAACAGATAGTACAACACCCTTCCTGTCATAATTTCTTCATACAACGGAAAAAGTGTAGAGTTGACTCAGTTTAAACATTACACTGTGAACATACTTCAACTTAAAAAAACTTTTACATTGTATTTTGTTACATTCCTCAAATCACTGAACACTAACGTTAGGCTTTGTTTGCATATGCATATAGCCATGATGATATTTCAGTGAATTAATACACATATGACTGGTTCATGAGGTGTGAAGCAAGTGCTTGCACTGCAGGACTAGAAAATGTGTCTTCATGCAAGTATGAACATCATTTAATGAAAGATATATCATAAAGTTCCTCCAAAATTTTTTTCTAAAATGTTTTCAAAATTTCATCAAAGCAAGTCGCATGTGTACAAATGAGAGTAGATTGAAAACTGTGGACTGTAACAATGTCATAAATCACTGGAGGAAAGTTTGAAGAGTCATTTCGATGTTAACCTTGAGACTCACAGGAAGGTCAGATTTTATCAATACAAATGAATTATCAGATAACATTGACTCCTGTTTCCTTCAAAGACATCCCTTTGAAAATCAACATTTTGCATATAACTGCATATTTCAGTTTTTTACACTTAGGAATTTGTATGATACTTAATACACAATTTTACTATCAAAGACAAATCTTTTAAGCAATTTTAATACTACCCGGTATATATATGGTACATTTCAATTAACATACCATACAGAGAAATTCTTAGTACATTAGTTTTCACCTACCAATGCTACATGTCCAATATTGTACCATACTTCTGATAAAGTTACTTCCTCCGCTAATGACAGGGCTCGTTCAAAACATGTCAAGGTCATATCATATTGCTGAGCATAGAAGCAGCATAAGCCAAGGTTATTGAAGAGCTCAGCATTATATACTCCCATCTGCAGCAAGCGTCTGAAAAAACAAAGACTAATCTAATTAATTTCTACATAAAGAATCTAGAGGACTATCAGCAAAGTCAAATAATATAGAGTCATGAATTATTTATTTCAAAGTTTGAATCAGGTCCCCTCAAAAAGTTTTATTAGTTAATCTTTCCCTTTCTTTTGGGCAAAATATTTCTAATATTTTAACACTGCAAACCATTTAAAGCATTTTGATGTTAAAAATGGTAAAATATATTCTTTCAGTGAAACAAATATTTTCCTCAATATTGCCATCTAGATAAGAAGTTTGTTGATAAATTACTATATCTGTGTAAAAATATTTCCTGTAATTTTAAGTATTTTATCAACTCTACCACTTTCCAGCACATTTTAATGAGCAAGCAATGCTTTAAAGTACATTCATACACTTTTCATTTGAACTGATCTGGATAATAAAGTCAACCCACTCACTGCCTATTAAATAGGATGCATTTTTGGGGGGGTAAATAAAATTGCAATGCATGGCATCAGGGAAGTGTTGAAAATGTATAACTTCCTTATAAACACTCCACCTTCTTGGAAAACATTTAATAATAATAAAAAAATAAACAATGATGAATGCTTTTTTTCTTTCCCAGAAACAGACACCCCCACCCCCAGTCTCCTATTTCTTTTGTTCATGATGCTATGACCCTGAGTGTAATTATATAGTATGACTTTACATCACAATTAATTACAGACCTTTAAGTCATAAGCAACAAAATACAAAGTTTAAATCCATTCCAATCAAAGAACACATGATATAAAGTTAAACTTACAGTTTAGATATATCATGTGACACAATTCAACATTTCAATGCTCTTTGACCTTACGCTTGAAGACATCATCATGAAAAAAGAATATACAGTCAAACCTTGTTATCTTCAACTCAATGGGATCAAGGAAAAACTTTGAGATATCTGATTCAGAAGATTCTAGATATCAATGATAAAATACTTAAAGAATAAGTGGTTGGGACTCTCAAATCACTTCAACATATCCATTCAAGATATCCATATTTGAGATACTGAAGTTCAATTGTATATACATCAAGGTTGTGCATATACAACTACAGTTTGTATTCATTCAAATTAATGGTTACAAATTTATTCCTCATAATAAATTTCTTATTGTACCCTTAACATGAGTTCAAATTATGAAATACCTGTATTTCTCAGTAGCACTATTCATTCAACTCAAGAGTACATTAAGCTTGAGTACTATATTCTCTATCTGTCTTTTGACTTTGACCTCAGATAATCAGAGACATAACTTTAATAAAGGTCACAACACACTATAAACCTTGCACTGCCTAACTGTAGTGGTGGATCCAGGATTCTTGAAAGGGGGCCCAACCAGTTGGGGTCGAGGGTGGGGTGGGGGGATGAGGGTAAAGATATCAGTATCTCTCAGGTTTTTAGGAGTTTCATTTAACTGGTTTTTTTAAAAACTATTTTACCTATAATTAATGCAACATCCCATACCAAAAAAAAAAAAAGATTTATTAAGGCCATCTTTGAAAATTGTTTGGTTGTCCTCTCCCGACCGACTAAAAACGACCCGACTCAAAACTTTTTTTAACCTCCAGGAAGCCATTTCCTTTTAATTCAGTACTATCTATTTCAACTTCACTTTTGCAGATCACCTGCAATTTGAATTAAAAAAAAAAATGTCCCTAAATACCTATACCCAATTTTTTTTTAATCCTGAGTCCGGAGAGGGCAAGCAAAAAATTTCTTTAAAGATTGCCTAATCTTATGTACAGTATATTTTTGGTCACAAAGAGGGGGGTGGGGGGAGGTTCCTGACACCTGGGCCCTCATCTAAATCTGCCAGTGAACTGTATACTGATCTACACTGCATGAACACAATGAAGGTGTTCATTGAAGTTAACACATTGAAAGCATTCTGGCTATAGATATACCTGAACACATTATAGGTAGTCTGGTTGAAAATACATCTCAATTAATGCAGATATGAACATATTGAAGGATAACATGCAGTGTGTAAAGACTGATTTAAAACAGTATGAATTCTGACTATAGATAGTCCATGAGAATTATCTACAGACACACATATGCCACCAGTTGTATTATAATATTCTGATAATGAAAAATTAGTATTATGAAATATTTATGGGAGCTGCATCAATTTTCAGCAATGATCCTGAAATTAGAATAAATAAATAACAGCATGGTGTTGTTACTTTACTTATAAAAGATTATGGTTATACACTGTATTGTATAAGACATTTAAACCCTTTTTTTCAATTGCTACACATTTTATGTTATATTATGCTTTACTTGAGAATTTTCATGAATTATCAACAAGAATTGATTGGTGTGGGTATAAGGCATATAAGAAGAGATATGAATAGAGAAGCAGAGGATGAATTTAATGGTCATAAAAGGCTACACAGCAACATCTGGCCTCTATACATATTTGCATATCACAACCTACCTTGGATCAACTCATTTAATAATGCAAAGTCATCCTAATGTTGCGAATTTTCAATACCTGAAGCTCATGTAACTAAAATCATTTGAAACTTCATAGCTCGCATTTCCCTCATTTGCAATATCTATAATCTATACCATGAAAAATTATATGGCACAATTGCATGAAATTGGACCAACTGTTTCTAGAATACAAAATAGAATCTAAGCATTGATGCATTTTGAATGTTCTGAAGCAACATGTTTCTTTTTTTCATTATCAAGTTGTGCTAGCATATTAATTAATTTACTGTAAATCACTTTTTTATTCGCAAGAACTTCATTTTTGCGTAATTACATGAGATAGTGTGCTCTCGAAAATTTCTTTCTCGCATATATTAGTATATTCCTAAAGTTTATAAAGAGCAATAAATACAATTCGTGAAAATTTTGCTTGCTAATAAAGAGTCAATGACTATCTCACAAAAATAAGGTATCATGAAAATTTAGTGATCTACAGCAGGTAAAACTGTTAAGGAAGACACACTCACTAGGTAAGCAATATCAAATATGACACTGGATGCATGTTTCAGTGTGGATGAACGGAAATGGTTCAGCATGAAGAATGTTATTCTACAAAAACTGGCTCCAAGTACTCCTCTTACAATTCACATAAGTTGATGCAGTTGAATAATTCTCATTATGTATCAGCATATGAAGTTTGATAAAAATATCTTGAAGAATTTTTCTGAAACTGAGCTAGAGACAAATCAAAGAAAACAGAGGTCAAGGTCAAAGGAAAGGTCAAGGTCTACAGAATAATGTTGATGCAACTGAATAGCTCTCATCAGTATGTATCAGCATACAAGATTTGATAAAAATATCTTGAATAGTATCTTTTAAACTGAGCTTTATGCAAAGTGTGACAGATGGACAGACAGAAGGTCCATGAAAGATGAACATGACAAACACTGTTTGCCCTGGCCATATTCATGACAGGGCACAAAAATGGTACACATGCATGCAGTGTAATATATGTGAAACATAATCTGAATATATTATACTCCATATACTCAAAGTTCTTACACATTTTTGCACCCGCCTACAATAGGGAAGATTATTCCCATCCTCTGGCCCACCTATAAAATACCTACTAACTTATCATTTCCTATCTGTGCCATGCTGAGTTTAAGAGATCAGTCCTCTTTACTTTTATTCAGCTACAATAATACTCATATGTACCCAGGCCTATTTTACTCTGTAGATGTCCATCAAATCCAGATTAAATTTCAAATTTTAACTAAACTCCTATCATTGTACCCTCTCTTGACATTGACAAAGTTATCCCCCTCATCACTGCCAGATCATTATCAATTTAATTTCTCTTGGGATTTTTTTTTTTCTATCTCCCAAGGAAAATAAATCATTGCACTCCCATTCAAGGATTAACAACCCATGAACCATTATTAATGTAAATACCTAAGGTTAAGAGCAACCAAAGTAAGAATTTTCCCTTAAAGGGAAAACCTTCTGAACTGTGACTATTTTAAAGTAGAAAGTATAACTTGCTCTAGTAAGTTAATAACTATCATATTTCTATTTGTGGAGAGCTGGGGTTTTAAGGTATATCAAGTCTGAGACCTTTTAATACACAGTTCTGGTACTTTACAGTCCTTATTTTAACATAAAGGCCTAAAGGTTTATATTTCATGGGTACTTTTTGCCCACAAAAAAATAACCTTACCGGGTAATATGATATGTCTACCAGTAATAAATAAGTATATGATTTGTATACTATTATGTTATCCACAAATATAAATATCTGAACTCAAAATTGAAATCCTTCACATATCTGTTTATTTAAAACAAAAATCAAGAAAATTGTCCTAACATGTTGAAAAGTTTGAACAATTAATGCAAGAAAATTGTATCCTCAGTATTCAAATGATTTTCAATTGACTGCATGTTCTTCACCAAATGTCCTGGCTCCATTAGACCATAAAACTGAGAGCAGACTTAAGTCAAAATTTTGATTTTTTAATATCTTCAGTTTGCTTAAAAACTTTCAACTTTCTTTTCTTTCATACAAGTGAAGAAAATTTTGCTTCATTCTCAAAATTATTTCAAAAGTAACATTGGTTTGAAATTTTGACTTAAGTCTGGAGCCTGACTTCAAAGTAAAAGTCTAGGATCTTATGATTATAAAAATAAGATCCCAAATCAGAGTATGTGACATGTACTTATGTGAATGATATAACCCCCAATTTTTTTTTTTTTTTTTTTTTTTTTGCAAAATTTCGCCTAGGACCAAATATGGCACTAGAGTTTCAGCAGTGTCTTCTCAATGAAAGGAAAATAGTCTTGATCAGATATAAATTTATACCGGTACATTCTATTAGACACTGCTATTTGACACATTTAAGATCAACAGAGTTATCTGCTCTTTCTTGAGATTTAGTGGCTTTTGAGCCTTTGAAAGATGACATAACTTGCTCTTTTGTGGAAATTGTAACCACTATCTATTTTGTCAATAAAATGTGCTGAAATAAACCTGAAAACTAAAATCCCTATCAACTGAGTGCCATAAATGTCATAAAACTTACCTGTAAAATTTGAGTGCCACCTCCGGCTGGTCAGTGTAGAAGTGGTTTGTAGCTATACAGGCTATGGCCTCAACATACATACTGTCATAATTAAGCACATCTTTATAAAACTTTACTGCATTGTCCATATCATTCATCCCCTAGAATTCAAATAAAGAAGTAGCAAGTTTTTTTCTGGTTACTGAAATATATTTAAAGGTGACACGGTATACATTGTAATGACTGTATAAACTACATGTATTTAATAGTAAGTATTTTAAGGGTAAAAGTACATGTAATTAAGCAACCCCACCTCATAAATTCTGGCAATCCCTGTCATAAGAGTGGTCTCCCCTTGGAACTTCTCTAGTCCCTGTTTGAAGACTTCTATGGCTGTCAGGGGCTGGTCAAGTCGACAATACACCTTACATAAATACAAGTATGTGTCTACATGGTCCTGCTGCTTCAGTGCTGACTTCAACTGCTTCTCAGCATCTCTGTACATTCCAAGCCTAAAAAATAAAAACATTGTTTTAGTGTTCTGAAATACATCCATGATAAATGAATTTTCCTAAAAAAATTACCTGTACTGTTGTACAGACCGTCACATATTTTTTTTAGTGATTATTGAAGAATACTTCTTACAATACCAGGGTTGTCCCTGAGAATTGAAATAGAAGGGGACATTTAAAAAGTAGAAGGGAGCTGGGGTTCCTCTCCTAATGGAAAGCTTAGGGGGAATACCAAAATAACCGGGGAATTACATCATTATAGGCGAGAAAATTCCCCGGCCCCCGGGTCTTAGGGACAACCTTGAAGACAAACATTTCCATCTTGTACTTAATAAAACAGAAATAGGTATTCAAAGACTACAAAATTCAAATCCAAAAATGTTATCTATAAATTAGGCAAGTTTCATACTAAATGAATTACACTGTCTGACAAATATAAACTTTTATTAAAAATTAACACCACTTCCAGCATCTTAAGCAGGGTAGTTAGCATTTCTAGATACATTCTACAATTAATTGCATCATCCAAGTTTTAGGTTTGGCCAAGGTATGACATATACTTTAGTCACTTGGAAATGGACCTGCTTAAGAAACTTCAGTCTGGTTATTTATAAAAAAATAAACTAGCTGATCAGTTGCAAAATCCGAAGCAAGATCTTGTGATATTGCATCTCTAGAAGCATGGTTTATTCATGTTTGGTCAAGGAGGGGTTAACAATTCTTCGGAATGGACTTACTCCATAATCTTTAATCTGGTCACTCATCTAGAAAATATAGGTCAGATACAACATCAAAAAGGAAGTCTGTAGTTTGAGTCCCTAGATACATCACCCATGCAAGTTTTTTCAAGTAGGGATTAGAGTTGCTTAGGAAAGGATTTCCTTCAAAAACTTTAACTATGATATCCATGCTGATGTGGCATAAGCTCAGAGTGACTCTGACATGTGAGATAAAAAGGAAATGTAGGACAGACTAGTGTTAAAACTAGATTAGTTCTTATAATTCCTGAAACATGAAAGTATTCTAGCAATGAAACTATCAAAGAAGAGGCCTTCTTTATTCAATATACCTGTAATAACACTTTGCCAGCTGGACTTTCCACCACCAATCTTTGAACTGACAAGCTTCAGTGGCTAAAGCAGCAAGTTCCAGGGCCTGTAATTAATGTGAAGACAAATATATGTACATGGAGAGGTATGGTAAAAGTGAAAGAAATATGCCTTTTCTTTTTTGCCTTTTTCATCATAAACTTTTAAAGATAAAGATTATAAAAGGTTTGCATAAAAAAAGACAGTAAATCATGTTTATAATAAACTTGTCAGGGTTACATTTACTCAGTATAATTGTCGTACATGTAAATCTGATTTCTATTTTTTTTTTCCTTTTACAATTTGTACAAAGCAAGTTTCCCAGTATATGTTTATTATCATTAAAAATTCACATTTTGTTTTATATAGGTATACTTACATTTCGAACATCATTTTCATGGTGGAATATGTATTCAAACAAAGCTTTGGCTAAATTAGGTCTTGCTGAATACTTTGTAAAATTAAGTCTGGCCAGGTTAATAAAAGGCCCATCTGGTGTTGAAAGCATAGATGCCTTAAAAGAAATTCATGACTTCTTGAGAAAAAAATGTAAAAATTGAAATATATGCTTGGCATCTTCTCACAAGAAATACTTCAGACATACATACATCTAGAAATATAATCTATATTTTGAACTCCCTTTAATCAAACCATTTTCCTCGCTAGGTTTTGAAGAAAAACTAACTCAAAATTGATAATGTTGAAAGTGATAGAATCATCAATAGATATGCAAGTATATCATAACTAAAACTTACAGTTCCCAGCCTGACATAGCGGCCTGAGGCACTAGTGACTGGGCGGGCCGTGTGGGCTGTTCTGGGGGTCATAATGGCTTTCTCCATGGTGCCTGGTCTTCCTCCCTGTGTGCTTGGCCTAACAAATCCTGACAGTGGCCGACCAGATTGTGACATTGGCCTAATAATAATGTTGATTTATAAATAGAATACAGTCAAAACTTACAGAATACAGAAAAAACTTCCAAAATATCTGAGGATTCAAGATATCAGGGGTAAAATACTTGAAAGAATATGTGGTTGAGACTTCCAAATCACTTTGATATATCCATGGTACTCGAGATATCAGTGTTCAAGATACTGAAGTTCAACATAGTACATTGCATAACCAATGAAATATATTTTTGGAGTGAAGTATGTTTGGTTTCAACAAGATTCACTGTATATCCCTGTTAATAAAACCTCTTACCTGACCCCTTGGCTGGGTGCCCCTCGTCCTGTCCCTGGCTGTTTTAGTGACGTCCCTGGTCTGGATACCTGGGCTATAGTGTTATCATCCATCACCATCTCAGCAATCCCTTCTTCGTCAACATCTACTTCATCCACATAGACTTGTCCTGTCAATGCTCTTGTCTTCAAAGTCCATGCAGCCTGTATAATGAAATTTATACATATAAGCCAAAAGGACTTTAGCAAAATACAAATAAAGATCTGTATATGAAAGTCATCAAAATTTTGGGGTGGACACAAATTTCATGTCTCCAGTTTAAAACAATTATAAGAGATACCAAACATCAGACTTTAAATTAAGGCCTCCTGAACTTTAAACTAACTGAGGTATGCCCCTCCTTCCACCTCTACCCACAGGTACTTGTGGACAGGACCCTCCCCCCCCCCCCCCCCCCTCCAATATGCATCACAGGTCAAAAAATATTTTTATGTATTTTTTTTCATAAATTATTCTTCTAGTACACATTTACAATGTATTCCATAAGAAAAATCCAAAAAATAACACAGAATTAACGTTTTACTAAAAATCATACCCGTGGTATTAATTTTATAATATCACTCGGGGGGGGGGGGGGGGGGGGGGGGGGGGGTCCTGTCCACAAGTACCTGTGCCTCTACCGCACGTGTCTCTTCTTTTCTGGCCAAATCTAAGGTTTCTATACCTGTCATATCCGGACACCAAACGACCAGGAGAAACCAATACACCAGACCAAGACTGGAACCCAACCCTCTGAACTTTAGATTGGCTCTTAGCTATCACTGCTATCTGACCATGGCCAATGAAACTATCTCAGACATGTAGGTGAATGATGGTTATAATGTGATGTGCAAACAGGAGTTAAAGAATACAAGTACAATGTAATTGTAAGTGAAATTTTTAAGACTTTTTTCATATTATATTATCATTAGGGAATCATTACTTGTACGATTGGTTTGACTATCAACTTTACTTATATGTCTAAACATTTAATTATATGACTTGATGACATCAAAATAATCTGATTAAACCCAATGATAGTAAGAAGCTACAATAAACAATAACTCAATATCATTCTATTGAAGTTTAGGAACTAATTTGTTCCTGGGACAACCTGGAATAGAATTTGTTCCAATGTTGATACATCTATGTATGTGTAAATTTAGTTAAACATTAAAGCAAATGTGTCTATGAAGTATGGAGCGATTCTGATCAGAGGTATGAAGAATATATATCAATTTTTTTAAAAACAATACAAAGAAACAAACCAAGACAGTCTGGAGTCTGCGGAACCTGCAGAACTAGATTAAATGTCTACCAATTATAAGTGGAATTTCACATCGTAGCAAACTACTACAGATTCCTTTAAAATTCCATAATTTGCCATGTTTGCATTGAACATCTTCCCCAACCCCTTACTGACCTTCCTTCCCTAGTCCAACAACACATGGGTTTTATTTTTTTATTTACATGGTAACATCAGTAATTCATACCTTTTTGATAATTTAATAAAAGAATATAATGGCAAGTACAAAATAAGTAAATGAAAATAATTATGATTAAAACTTGACAAATGCTAAAAATATGAAAAGCTGTGAAATGCATGATCATCATACATTTTGGGATAAGTACTGATTGTACCTGATCGTATGGATTTTTCTCCAATAACTGAGTACATATTTCTGCACACTGTTCATACTTCTTTCTCCTGTAATAGCTGTAAGCTAAGAAAAGGGGGTCCATTTTTGACTTCTGTAAACCACTTCTTTCTCTGAACAAAAATGTTTGTGGCAACACTGAAGAGTTCCTAATAAGGGAAGGCACTCCGTAAATTTGAGCGGTGTGATACTGATTCGTATATGATACACGAATTATATAATGTTTTATGTGAAAAAGGGTATTTAATATATGAAATAAAATCTTGCAAAGTTTTAAAAGGGTATAAAATTTTCTCAGTATATTCATAATAGAAATAAACTTTCAACGTGAAATGAATTTTGCAGCATACTATTATTGTATAAACGAATTGTACAGAGACCGCTTTCGGCAGAAGGAAAAGTGCCGCTTTCGGTTTTCTTGAAAAAATGGGGATCGACGGACTACTGTTCCTACTAGCTGTTATTGATGAGGGCGCATTGTTGTTTTTAGTTGTATATTTTGTATCCTTTCAGTTTTTGAGATATATGACAGGAATTTTTATTTGTATGCTCAATTTACAAGGATGATGATGAAAGAATTGATAGAAACACGCCTTTCTTAATTCTAACGTTGTCTGCCTATCTAGAACACTTTTTAACTTCTATACATCGACTGTCCTTCACTAGTAAGTTTTCGCCACTTATTGAGAAAGTGGAAAGTGAAGTACACAAGTACCTTATATTGATTATTTTTTGTATGTTGGAATGCTTTGTTGAGACTAATTTGGGCTCCAGGCATTTGATTTCAGTAAAATTTTGTATGACTGCTGGAAAGAGCTAAGTCCACGAAGCATAAAAAACGGCCTCTTCTCAAAAATTAATGTTATGTTTATTATAGATAATGTAGAATTTTCGCTTTTCATAACCGTTTTCCTTTTTTCAATATCTATTATACTTTTTGAAAAATAAATATTGCAATATGGCAGTGTTTTGATAGAAAAATGCAATAGGAACGTCATTTTTTGTGATGTAACGTCACGTCAAAGAGCGATAGAAATGTCTTAAAGTTTGCAATTACGATGTAGCAATATACGGATTTAAGACTTGAAATTGAATTATTCGAGATAAATATTTATTTAATCGACATCATTTAATTTAGAACCATAATTTAAAAAAGCAGATGAAAGTGTTCATTTGATATACCAGTTAAGTCTGACTGGATAGAATTGAAAAAAATCTTTTCAATGGAAAATGAATTCAACTGCGGTATTTTTAGATCAATGAAATAGTAAACATTTGAGCTTTTAAAAATCTATATCTAAATAAATTATCATAGAAAAAATAGTCAGCGGAACTCCGAAGTTAAAAGGATATATTTCCTAAACATTTGTAACAATAAATTGAACATCTCATCATTTTCGTTCATGTAAAAGAGAAACTGATAGGAGTTTCGTAAAATAAGGAACTCATTCAAAACTTGTTGTTCCTAAATACAGAATTTTGTGGAAATAATTGAATTATATTTAAAAGATCTAGAAAATCACCTAAAACAAAAATGTTAAATCTGCTAAAAATTGAAGATCTATGCTATTGACTTAGATGAATTCACGAGAATTCACCACATTCCATCAAAGAATAAACAAAGTACATGTATTTATCAACTGAAATATAAATTATATAAGTATTACCTGATTTATTATTCGAAATACATGTACATGTATATATTTATTGCCAAAAATAAATAAAGGTAGATGGTTGTGTTATATTTCATTATAATTTTGAATGTATATAAACAAAGAGAATACATGTAACATCAAGATAAATTCTTAGATCTACATGTGTATACTGTTAAACAACTTTGATGAATACGCATGCGAGATATATCCGCGAGATTCGCACGTACCCCAAGCTCGCGGATATTTATCACGAACCAGCCAATCGCTAGGCCACATTTTATTCCCGTAAAATAATAAGTGTATGCAGGACAGTGATTCGTGACGTGTTGTAAAGTGGGGATAAATAAATGATGTTTCTGTTTTTCTTATCAAAACTTATCAGTATCTATTTACCTATAAATGTAATAAATTTAGTTTGTCTTATTGATGTATTGCTTAACATTCACTACTTTCAATTTCATTTTCACATTATGATTTTCATGTGAATAAATAGAGCAGTACTGCGTATGTAATGCTCTTATACGTCAAGATAGGAAGTGAGATACATATATACAGGCATTAATATTTTGCAAATAGCGTAAGATTGATTTTACGCGAACAAGGACTTGCTAATACTAGTACATGTAAGGCCTTACGACAGACAGTGTAAGAGGAAAGGGTAAAATGCTCACTTTTATTCTTGAAATAGAGAGTATTTCAGTTGAAAGAAGTGGCAGAGATGGGGGGGGGGGGGGTTACAAAATTTTATTTCAGTGTGGCAAAAGTGATTGACATGCGTTCAAGAAAAAAAAATATTTCCAATGTTTTTTTCATACATATTCTATTGGACATTGACCTTTTAGCACATAGCACTGTTAACAAACACATCCTTTCTCCCCATTTCCAGTAGTTTTTATAGTCATGAATCCTAGTTTTAGATAATTCCTATACATTTTTATCTTTCAAATACTTGAATTTGTGCATTTTTACCTTCCGGCAACAAGGAATGGAGGGGGATCCGAATCAAAACTTACATATTAAAACTACAGCAAGATTATTTTCCGTAAAAGTGAGCCCCTTCACCCGGCATTATACGGGAACATTTTAAATTCTTTCTCTTCATTGATTAAAATATCTCCATAATATAAGGAGAGAGATATTATTAGTTACATAGTTTTTTAGTGACAGGGTACGGGATGATACCTGGTTAGTAAATTTCATACCTGGCGAGGCGAAGCCGAGCCAGGTATGGAATTTACTAACCAGGTATCATCCCGTACCCTGTCACTACAAAACTATGTAACGAATTTACCCCACCGATAAAATATTTATGCATCGTCTGTGGTTTGTAAAATTGTTTTTCTCTCTCTATATATGTTTCATCACTCATACAATGCCTATTATGACGTCACGTTGTGTGACGTTATGTTGTTTTGCGAGTGTTACGTACTGACAGTTTTGAAGACTTTCAGTAAAGGGAGAAAAAGGTTCCATCTTCGTTACTTACATTAGTTAACTGTAACATTGTCAACAGACACTCGGCAAATCGCGTGAACTCGAGTTGTTCGAACAATACAAAAGAACGATAACTACGTATCGACCATGTATTGATTTTCAAGCGACTAAGTATAAGTAAATCACCCCCTTCACGTGACAGACTTCAACCAATCGTAAGCCAGGATTTCATCGAAAAATCAACAGAGGTGGGGTAAATTCTCTTATGCACACTCCCTTTCATAACGTTTTATGTATACATGTCTTTCTTAAAGTTAGATACTTCAGAAGATAGTCCAAAAATTGCATAGCTAAAAGTTCGCCGGAATCATACTGATGATAATCAAAGTGAAACCTTGCATGTTACTTGTGGGTGGTCGGGGCCCGGGGCCGGGATTGTGAAGGTACACAAATACGAAAAACTCTATATAGAGTGCAGAAAGAGCAGATATTGAACTACTTATTTTATTCAAAAATGTTAGCCGTAAAATATCTATATTACAGAATCCCCCTCTCTCTGTCTCTCTGGAAAAATAAAGGGGACCGGTTCCAACCCCCGGAATCCCCCTCTGGATCCGCCAATGCACATATACATGTATATTGTGCTTAATTTTTTTTATCAGTGTACAATTATTTGTACAAGGGAGGCGCTGGTCAAGAAAACTTGACAAATAATTTATAGACAAGTAGTTTACATATACACATTTTACTCGTTATTTACATTAGTGTAGTAACGATTAAATAATTCTGAATTTTTTGAAACATGTTTCAGTTCCTTTTTTTTCTTCCTTCTCTCAAATCCATTTTATTATTATTATTTTTTTTTTTTTTGCTTGTCATTTATTTTTTAACTTGACATCCCACTTGCACTTCATCTCACTCCTTATAATAAACAATGTCAAGGGTCATACATGTAAAATATGCATCTTGTTTCTGGTAACATATTTGAAATATGTTGAAACCAGAAAGCATCCTTTCTTTGAAAAAGTTACTTTTCACGTTTTTATGCAGGTGCATAAGAATTATCACGCGGGCCTTTTTAATGAAATGATTGACATGAAGTTACAAAAATATTGATTGCTGCTACATGTAGTTATAAATAATGTATGTACCGACATGGGGATTCATTAAGGCCGGACATGTGCATTTGACGGATCAGCACATATGAGTTCTATTTTGGATCCAGTTTACAGAGATATTTCTTAATTATCTCAATGCTAAATTTCTAATGATATCTTTTTTAGATAATTTTCCCGTTTCTAATTAAATGCATTTAACAAAACGACAGAAAATTAGGTCCATAAAAAGCCTTCGATTTTTTTATAATAAGCATTTTAACCGCAATATTGATTGCATGTATCTTCTATGACGTCAAAAATGACGTATAACGAGTAACGTCATGTACAACATACATGACCATAATATACACCCATGTTTTTTTTTTTCCAAATATGATTTCAGAAAATGTAATTTTTAGATTCTTTACCACATTTAGTGTCTTAAAAACGAACAATTGACTGCTTTTCTATCGCCTTGTGTCTTATCTATGGATCTTTAGTGTAATATGAGCCACCCATTACTGAGCAATAGTCACTGGTTATTGAAATTACCGGATTTTTGAAAGCATCAAAATTTAAAAGTAGTGTCAAATTTGTCAAAGCACAAACAACGCTAATAATTGAAATAAAGAATTGTATTTGTGGTATTTATACATATAGTAAGTATGAAAGTTGTTCTTGCCCGTGACCCCATCTAACTTTGGGGGGAAAACCAGTTGATAAATCGGCATTTTTAACGCTTTTTAAAACCAGCATACATTCCAATCGTCTGATATGCCTAATGACGCCTCACTTAACATTTTTTTTACATGTGGGATATGAGTGCGTTTCCACTTACATTATCAATATATTTATACCTCATGAATCGATCCTATAAGTTTGTGTAAAACACGAAGACGTATATGATGGATCGTGGCCATAGCAATTTTCACACGCACTGAAATTTTATTTTATTTTTTTTCAACATGAGCACACTCGTTACCGCAAAATATTTTCATTGGAAAATGTTTCTCGAATAGTTATTATTCTTTTTCTGTTTTAATATTTTGCGGTAACGAGTGTGCTGTATGTGTAAATCACGATCAATTGCGTAAAATTTGGCATTTACCCGGAAAAAACCGAACCACGGTGAGGTTTAGAATTTAGTTTGACATAATAAATATCCGGTTTTGACGGAAATGTTGTACATGTGAAATGTATTAATGTTCTAGGTTGAGAGTTATCAAAAACATATATTCTAAAGCCCTTTTTAATTTTTTCATATTTACTAGGCCAAATAAGGCATATTGTGGGTCGAGTTCTTTTTATTGAATGAGCAGATCTGCTCTGTCATAGTATATTGTAGTCTAGTAGAGTAGATCCTGAGACATGAATTATGCGAGGTAGACAACTTGCTGGTATATACCTATAACAGGTAAGGAGAAAAATGCAACAGACCTGGCCAGGATCTGAATGTGGGCCCTCTGAATCTCCAGTCAGGTGCTTTACCAACTGAGCTTTCTGGCCAACAGTGATCAAACTCATCTGACTGCCATATTCCTTGCTCCTTAAAGGTCTTTTCCCTGAAGACACCAACTCGAGCTCTTCCCTGGCAGGTCTTTCATCTGTCACTTCCAGGGCAATTGTAACAGGAGAGGAAAAAATATGACAGATCAGACAGGATTTGAACCCTGGTCCCTGTTTAATCTCCAGTCAGGTTTTCTACCAGTTTAGCTATCTGGCTACTGGCGATCGAACCTGTCTGACCAGTGACCACTACATAATCAACAGTTTATATCATCAGAGTACTGAAGATCACCAGGGTGATATTAGGTCTGTAATATCATGTATATTCATTCATGTAGCCACAAGTGCTTCATATTATCAGTGATAATCTTTAAGGTAATGTTATACTCCATCATTTCAGTAATGATCATTTGGTTAAACATGCTGCCTAATAATTATAGGGGATAACCTCATGCTCTAAAATATGACACTGGTGGTCATAGCGGTAACCTCAACATTAAGCAATGGGATTTTCCCATGCTTCCCAATACCATTCAATAATCATGAAATAACATATTACCATGATTACCTAATTTGAAAATCACTGACACTCATCTACAGTAACTTCAAACTCCATAATTTCTATATTGCAAGCTCATTTTAATCCTCAATATCATTAATGATCAGTGTGGTAACTCATGCTCCCTAATAAGTATATTGCTGATCAATTTGACCCTTAAATGTTTGTGGTATCCTCATCCTTCCTTGTATAATATTTTGGTTACCTCATGCTTCCCTCCAAATCAATAAAGATCATAGAAGTTACCTCATTTCCTGTTGCTCCACAAAGATCTTTTTATGGTAAGCTTAGTATCATTGGTTGATTGCTATAAAGTATATTTTGGTAATGTCATGCTCCCTTATTTGATACCACTAATGATCATTGATGTAACCTCATGTTCCCCTTGATTTTTAACCATCAAGCACAGTGCAAGGATTAAACCTTAACTCGGATCAGGTTATAACTCTTTCAGATTTAGAATGTGATTATCTAAATGCAACTACATGTTGTACAAGACTCAATAAGGTAATTTTCTTTTTTTCTGTAAACTTTACTAAGACATATATTGATCATATATTTCTTTTGACTGTATTTTCATGAGACAATAGTATTGTTCTTGAGAGACATGTCACATAAATTTGCACATCTCCCAAATAAAAAAGAAATGAGAATTGAGAAATATACTTCCCATTAATATTGACAAGAACTTCATTTCGGCACCAAGACAATTTTGCAGAATTAAGTCATGGACATGCTGATCACTCTTATGTTTAAAAGTAATAATCTAAGATATTGTACCTTTATTTTCAGTTTGTATTACCAGAGATTATAGCACAGGCTATTCTCAATGTTCTGTTCTTAATAACGGGTCATTGGATCCTGTTCCTCCTGTATACGCCTTGTACAGCATGGATAATCTATATGTAAGTCAGTTTGTAAAGCATGGATAATCTATATGTAAGTCAGTTTGAAATAGAACTGAGCAGGATAATACCATATTATTATTTTTCTCATTTATTCCAAGCTCTCTGATTGGCTCAAACTTGATCACATGATCGCAGTGAATGATAGTGCACAAAGTGCTCGGTCGATATGCTTTTCTGTGAAGTCAATTTATCTATGGATCGACCTCATGAAAGGGTATATTTGTATATTACTTGTTTAAACCAGCTGATATTATACATTTATTGAATGGGTTCAAGGGCAACATGTTTTGTCTGACCCAAGAACCAAACTGTTTGTCTGAGGCTGTTAGGCAAACCGTTTAGTTCGAGGGGTCGACGTAATGCATTTTGCCTGAGCTCGATTCAGAGAACACAGTCAATACATGTTTTTTTTAGTACCTTTTATTTTGTTGACATACATGTATCTTGTGCTGGCATACCTTATGTGAATTTCCTTTACCTGCACTAAAACTTGGTCAATTCTGTTACTGTCGATGCAAATAAGATTTAGCTGATCCTGCCCACATTGTGATGTAAGCGGTGTAATATCACATCAACAGGTTCAATATCTCACTCTGCGGTTAAACATAAATTTTTTTATGACCGTTCAGTAAAACATTGGGAATGTTAGACTTTTTAAAGTAAAGATTTATATAGGAACCAATTTTGAAAGATGTAAAAATTCTGATTTTACTGGTACATGAACCGGTATGTGCTTCAGAGCTTGCATTATTACTAGTATATTTCATTTGTTTTTTTCCTTCAAAGATACATGTATCTATAAGTTAAGTTATTGAAAGCATATAATTTATCCACAAAATAATGAGTCAGTTTCTAAGTACCACATCAAATGCAAGTTACATATTCTTTACATCTTTATTTGTAGATTTGTAACAAAGCCCTCGGGTAATATTGGGATCTACGACCCAGCAGAAATTCATAATAGACATCAACTCAAAGCTTACATGAGAGATAATATGATCAAAATGGCTGTTCATCTTATCTTTTTCTTCATTTTCTTGTACTGGTAAGTAGTTTGTCACTCTAGGTGTGTGCAGTGCATGTGAGAGCACCCTACCTTTTGTGTATACATGTATGTTATGATATATATAAATACCCTGACAGAATTATCAAACAGTTTATCAAATGATCCTTTCACAATATAAGGTCCAATTTATTGCACAAAACTAGCAATAAACAAATAATACCTCTGCATATTTATCTGTCTTTAGATATCTGTTGTCTTTAATATCTGATTTGTGTTATTGGTAGAGAATAGAAATTCAACTACTACATCAAGTACATGTTTATGCATCATAAGCTCAATTTAGGATTAGAAATTTTGCTCAGTTTTCATCATTTCTTGTACTTGGATTATACTTGGATTTTAAAAGTGCAGTATTTGAGAGATTCTAGTTTTTGTAGTTGATTCATTATAATGTATCAAATTGATGTGGAAAAAATGTGCAGAGAAAAAAAATATATTGAAAAGGGGGTTGAAAATAACAAGTTGAGATATTTCTTTCAGCAAATAAAACATACTTTACTAATTATAAGTTTATCTAAGAAACATAAATTTTAAAGATCCAAACTGGCTGTGTAACATAGGAATTTAGTTTTTATTTGCATGTATGAGGTACACAAGTCTAAACTATACATTCAAAGATGAAAATTTTCTTGCAGGATGATATACTCCCTAATTAAAGGCTATTAACCTCTGACCTCCCTCTGGTGTTTCCATGGTGATGAGTGTGAGTGACATTGTAGTAAGAGTGACATCACTTCCTGTCTACTTGTAGGATGATTTACAGTTTGTTGAAAGATGACACAACCATGTTTGGAGTTCCTGCTGAGAAGGCCACATTGACAGATGATCCATATGAACTTTAGGTGTGTAATTTTCTGTGTGAACTGTAGAAATATACATGTAGATTTGTGTGAGCTTTACATGTGTTAATGTGGTGCATACATGCTTTTTTTGAAAGATTTTTTTTAAGCTTTTGGTTGCATTAGTCCCATATTGATAGGAAATTTACATGACTGTAGATGTTATTTTCATACTCATCAAATATAAAATATGTCATTTGTGTTCCTTCCTCATCTAAGCTTATTACAATGCTTAGACTTTACAACTACAAAAATTATATACAGTTGAACTTCGGTATCTCAAACATGGATATCTCGAATACAATGAATATTTCAAAGTGATTGGAAAGTCCCAAGTCCTTTTTCTTTAAGTATTTTACCCTCAATATCTCAAACCCACAGATATCTCGAAGTTTTTTCTCGGTCCCATCGAGTTCTGAGATAACGAGGTTTGACTGTATTACTATACCAGGTAAATGATAGAAATGTGTAGGCTAATAGAGTTTGTAGTATATGTACAATATACATGTATGTAAAATGTATGTTCTTTGAAATACTGTATGTGTTTAAAATGAACAAATTGGTAAATGGTACATGTTTTGCATATTGTTTTTCTCCTCAATAGCTTTTCTTTGTTTATGGTTTTTATATTTGAATCTACCCGCTGCAAAATAAGTACCGGTATCCTTAAAGCTGAACACGAATCGTAAATAGGCATTTGCCATATTTAAGTTTTCCTATCTCTGACATCAGCACTGGGGTATGTAAACCCTTCACATTCGTTACACCTGATTGCTTTTAGCTGGTTGCTGTGGCATATAGTACACATATATATCATGTTGCCTTTATGTGTACATTTTATTTCATTGAATATGCATTTATGTTTGTTTCACTTCATGAATGTATTTTAGTTTTGTAAAGTGTGATTGGTGATTAAATCACACAGGCTTCTCACGTAGGCATATTTCATGAAGCACACTAGCCCTTCATGATAAATATGCCTACATGCAAGTCTGTATGTTTTACACTTTACACACCAGTAACACTCACAAAACTATAAAACATTTTTTATATTTACATCTTTAAAACCAACAAATATACACTCAATATTTGAATTTTGTTGCTGCCCTATACATGTATATATTTTTTTTTTTACATCTTGGTCACCTCATTGTGACATCACTTTAACATGTGTTTCTCTGTGTATATTTCTATGCGTGACTTTACACAAAAATGGCATTCAAATCTATTTCATGGTTGGCTCAGTAAAAAACTCAGCAAATGTAAATATTTTGAAATGTTGACCTGTCAGTATGTCTTTGATAACTTTATACCTGACGTGGCAGAACCATACAGAAGTCATATTTGTCACACCAGATATAATGTATCAAAAAGACAATGGAAGATATGTAGGCACAGATAAAATCTGTTATGTAAAATATGTTGAACCACGAACAAGGCTGAGGTTTATATAGGGGCTTGAGGAACACAGTCTAGAGAAAAGAAATATGGCAGACAAAGATAACCAGGGATTTATCAGCCTATTTTGGGAAACGCCATTTTTGGGGAATTGGGAAAAAATTATCGGCTTTTTTATGAAATTGGGAAAAATTTTAAAATATCGCTTAAATCATGTATTCAGGTGTAATTTATTTAACATTTCAGCAGGAACTCTAATTTGGGAAACCAAACAGACAATTAAATCCTAACTGATCCAACTTCATCAAACAAGATCAATTATGAATAATAGACTAATAAAAGTAAAATTGACTTCAATGAGTATAAAGTATTTACCTATACAACTTAGGGTAGTACATGTGTGTATGAGATTCCATCTTAGGTCATTATAGAATATGTTTCTGGAGATTATAAACCTCCTGCAAAAAATTGTACTAAGTACACATTTTCTCAAAGTCCTCTTTTAATATGTATTAAAACACTGAAAATATATTTTTCTATCTGAAATAATGCCTACAGTCCTTACCATTCACTCGTAGATCAATTGAGTAGGTGGAAATAACTAAATAAATCTATTCAATTACACAACATCACCTTTTTCAGAAAAAGAGGAAATTCGGATTAAAAGTTGGCGATGTTTCTACAGTGTTTTTAAAGGTAACGGGATGTTTCGCACCTATGCATGGTTCGTCCCGCGATGTTTCGCGCCAATTCTGTTTCGCGCTGAGATGGTTCGCCCCACGATGTTTCACTAAATGTGCTACTGAGTTAAGTTCATTTAACAAAATTTTAGATTTTAAATATATTTAGATATAGATATTTTTGGAACATTTTTTTTTTAAATTTAAGAAGATTATATTTGAAGCAGAGACGTAAATTATTTATGTCTGTGTTTGAAGTATACATACATAGCATAATTATGAATTATTATAACACTGTGCTAAGTACGTATAAGAAGATAATTATAATACCGCCTTCTAATTAAGTAATTATTGCTAGCTTGGACAACCAACACATCAACTTAAATTCTCACCTTTTGATCTTCAACTTATTACAATTAAATCCTCATTGAAACACTGTTGAATTGTTGAACAGACACGCTGAACAAACGGGCACCGTACAATCCGTTAACTATATAGCAGTGCATGTTATCAAGTCATGAATTGAGCACACAAAATATTTATATAATATTTGATAAATAATTTAAAACGGATGAAAATGTGATAAAATATTTAAAATAAAACGTGAGATGTTTCGCGCCCAAATCGGCGCAAATCATCCCAGCGCGAACCATCTTAGTGCGAAACAGAATGGGCGCGAAACATCCCGGATTCTTTTTAAACATGTGTTATGACTGTAGCTTTGCTAAATGAGTTATATAGATGAAAATTACAGACAATCTGACAATTTTCCTCTTTATTTTTTCAAAGATAACGAAGTGTTAAAGTATTGTCATCAATTGGGAAAAAATACTGCCAAATTGGGAAAAACTGAATTCATTTTCAATTGGGAATGGGGCCGAATTTCGGCCCCTGAGAAGGTACTGATAAATCCCTGGATAACTTTCTTCCTATTACGAATTGTGTTCAGCTTTAAGTGCTCAGGCCTCCTCATTTTCATGGAACTGAAGGAAAAAAAAACAATGTATGTTTTCATTGTCTAAAATCCTATTTTCAGAGCTTCTTGCAATTCCACCAAACTCTAGTATTTGGTTGGTTGCATGATAGAGCCCAAGAAATTTCATTTTGAATTGAGTGTTTACCTGTAATCTTTTCACCCAATGTCATGTAATACATGTATATAGTAATGACCATTTTCTATGTGATATTGTAAATCACTTATTCATGTATTTTTCATGTGACTGTATTTTTGCAAGACATACACTTGTACATGTATAAGCTGTATAAATTATATTATTTCTTTCATGACTAATATACAAATCAGCATTTTCTTATGAAAAGAATCTAAAACAAGTATTAACATTAAATAAACAAAAGCAATATTAAAGGCAGGAAGATGATATGTATGTGACGTACCACCGAACATTTGTGATGTCTGTTCTAAAGCTCCTCCTTTTTTATGTTTGATGAATAAAATTATTTTTAAAACATTAATTTCTAGTTTTCGCATTTCATAAATTTCATATGAAGGTGCAATGGTTGTTGATACAATATTTGTAAAAGTGCATTTGAAGGCAGGGAATACGTTTAGAATGAAACTAAACATCAATCATTTATCACACTGGGTTGAGGGAACTTTGAATGTTTTATAGTTCTTTACGAAATAGAGGCCTATGAGCCTTGAAGGTCACCTGAGTATTCAGATAATATTTTTGTGTTTCTTTTGTTATGACCAACTATCCCCCACTTGGAACTGGTACTCTGGACTCATGTGACTTTGACTTGAATCTTATAATTCTGTGGGAAAACTTATGTTCAACTATCATAGTCTTTAAGCTTGTTGCTACATGAATTGATGATGGTATTGAAAAGATTTTAAAGATAAAGTGCCCTCCCCAATGGCCGGAGCTCTAAGGACACAATTTGGTAAAGGGCATATATTGCTGTCATGCATAAAGTTTGCTTGCTCCAGGATCATGCATCATACTTAAATATGTTAAATTTTAAATCATTTGTAAAATGCTTACAAACTCAATATTTCCAGATAACAGTACTTTGGTGATGCAGGTGAGAATAAATTTTATTTTATGGACTGTTCAACTCCTACACCACTCAAGCACAATACGCAGATTTTGAGTATGATTTTTAAATTTTGGTGAAAGGTTGAGTATACATTATAATAATTTAATCAATATGCTTGTTAAATGTCATTGAGAAAGAAACAGGCTGTCCATGTAGGACTAATACTCCCCATGAAAGGGCAACCAGAAAAAGGACTCACTTTGAATACTAGTAGCTTAAAACGTGACTCTGCCATCTTGTTAAAAAATTATTTTGCAAATTCGTATGGCCTGAATCTTGTGGAAATATAAAATAATGGGATAAAGTAGTAACAACTCTGGTCAAGAACAATGTTGTATTGATTACTAAAATTAATTCATAGTCCAAGCATCAAAATATCATGGCCCAAAGAATTTAACTTCCGAGTCATGTGAACATGATTTTATGCTACTCCTCAAATAAATAGTTTTGTGTTTTAGAATTTGAGATACTTCTCTGTATTCTGCGACCTTGATTTCAACACTTGATCAGGGTCGTGTCATATCACATTCAACCCTTGGGGCAATATGACCTTTGAAGTTGTTCCATTATATAGTAATGTTATGTATGCATACATGTGATATGTACCGGCGGTACGCAAAATGTACAGTTTTTCGAGCCCATTCATCGTGTACAGGCGGGACACCAAAATTCACGGAATATGAAAATTTGTACAGTATTTTGAATTTCTCGCTAAATGCTGCCATTTTCCTCTCATTTTCCCTCGCGAGACACTGGAAAACGTCACCTGTGTTTGACACTTGACCTTCCGAATTGTGTAGTGTACACAAACCATCGCGTATCTTGCTATAAATCCGTATCAAGATACCCCTTTAGGTAGCTTTATTTTTAAAGAGGTACTTAATTATAACTGTTAATGTTTCATAACTTGATTGAAAAAAATTAAGCCAACTTCTAAAGTTGATATACATGACTTAATATACATGAATCTGGCCCAGATCTCCGTAGGTATAAAATATACGATGTTTATTACCATGATTACGATGAAATAAAGGATATAGTTTTAAGTTTTTATGTGCTGAAATTTATGTATGATTGTATTTGCTGTTGTTATTTAGCATTGCTGATGTATATATCAGTAATATGAACAAGATGTAAATTGGAGACATTGACTCTCACGTTAATACTATGTAAAGCTGGCAAACAAACTATCATCTAAACTAGCTTAATTTATAATAGATTCATAAGAACATTGTGATTATAAAACACAGTATATGAAATTTTAATACATTCAAATCTCCATTACAACTTTTAAAATAAGACATTTGCAACAATATATATTTGTTGGTTTACAAATAAGGTGCCTTATCAGAAGAATTTAAGCGATATTTTATACTGTTTTTTGTACCGTTTTTTGATAGGCAGTGCACAGTTTTTTCCACCCAAATTCCAGTTTTTTTATGGCTCCTGTACAGTTTTGTGGTCTTTGACTTATCACATGTATGTGTATGAAAATTCGCTGTGACCTTGACCATGTCTAAATGACCATGAAGCAGGGTTGTGACAAACCCCCAAGTCACAAGCATATTTTGTGTCTAGTATAATCTAATGTTCTTTCCATTTCCAAGTTATGCATAAAACAAGAACTTTATAATTCTAAAACTAACAACATTCAACTTGTCCAAATTACCCGGGGTTTGGGTCAGGACGTACCCCCGAGTTAAAAGCTGTAAACACCTTTTGTCCCAGGTGTAAGCTACTGCTTTTCCCTTTCAAAGTTGTGGTTAAAACACAATAATTTAATAGTTCATTACCCTGTTACCTTGACTTCATCCAAAATGACCTTGATACTGGGTGAAGGCACATTTCTGGTCACAAGTTGCCCTTCTATTAGGCAGGAGCATCTGATGTTTCTCAGTTACAAAGTTAAGCCAAGAGTAGAATTTCACTCCTTTTATTCTTGTCAAATGTACAATTCAGAACATTTTTTTTTAAATGTTGACAAATCAAACTGAAAATAGCAGATGCAGAATTCCAAATGGTATTCCTATGTTTTCATTCTACAACATTTGAAAAAAAAAAATATTGAGAATTTTCAGTGATCATCTCTGGATCCCTGTATTGCTAGTCATGTGCTCTACCACTGTGCTACAAAGGCCAATGTCCACATGCAGTCCTAGCTTTAACTTCTACAAATATGTGACTAACTTAGCCCCATCCTGGAACCTGAAATCTGGCTCCAGGGGACCATGAACTTTATGACTTTGGTGAAGGGCTAAGTAGTCATTGTAGTCATGCAGTTTGTCTACTAGATATCAATGAGTAAAGAAGAATTTTGAAAATTGCATCAGTTTTGATGCTTTCATGTCCCAGGGGGAAAAGGACCACAAAATTCAAACTGACTTTTTTCTTTGTCCATAGATAATCTATATCAAAATTGATTGAAATTGGTCCAGGCATTTAAGAGAAGCTGAACATGTTTAAAACATTACAAAAGATGCATTGGTGACAACTGACAAAAACAGAGAGCTGAGTCACTAATAAGAAGTGCACTTCCAGATCACCCGAGCCATTCAGAAATCATTGTACCCTCTGTCCCAGTGAGGAGACATTCTGGTTTATCATGGTTTGTATGTCTGTCATCCTTCACGGGGAATAATTCTGGAACCCTTGATTACAAAAGATTTAAACTTGAGTAAGGTCTTGACTCAAGGTCATGTTTAAGGTCATCAACCAACAGGAACTTTGGAATTCATGATTGGAATGCATTAATACTTGAGTAACTTGAAGACCAAGGCCTACAGGTTTGTAAATGTGAATCTGATTCAAATTCCTATTTCAAGATTCAATGGAGGGAGGGGACATCTGTTTTTGTCAACAACTGTGAAAAAAAGCACCCTCTAGATATGCTGCTGACGGCTAAAATGAAACAATATGACACAAAGAAAGACATCAATATCCAATATGATATTTATTTTACAAAAAGTGACTTTTAATATACTCAGTATGATCCGTTACATTGTAATTTACCATTGAAGCTGAACAGAATCTAGATTAAGATTTTATAAAACACACTTTAACACGCTGCATCTCTTTGGTCAAACCCCGACGGAACATTTGTTTCAATTACACAGTAAATAATATTCTCATTGCATTATGATATTTAAAAGGAGGGATGGGGTTCATTTACAACACAGTTGTCTTTCAATTATAAACACTCAATAAATGCTTCCTCATGTACACTTCGTGTTCTTATGTTGCTAGCAAAAATGCTCTGGGTTTTCAAATGGTGTATATAAGAGAGGATTTTTTGAACAAGATAGACTCTTACCATGCAATTCATTAAAACAAAAAAAAAAACATACATGTATATGGCATGTTATACATGCATCCATAGATTTTCCTATTTTTCTACATAGTGACAGCACATAAAAATGATGGACATATATGTTATAAGGTTAGAAATGTTATGTACTATACATGAACCAATTTTAGAAAATGCATAAACATCTTCATAAAAAAATACTACAAGTGAATTCCTTACTCCAATGAAGTTGTCAATAGGTTAAATATTTCAATGTAACTAGATAAAACAAACTATGGGTACTATGTGGCAGTTTTGACTGTCTTAGAGGTAAAATGTGTTACTGTTTTTCATACTTTTGTAAATGATCACACCACATTAACAGAAATCTGTTAAACATGATATGATCACACTGCAAAATATTGATAAATTATTTAGGTGGAAAAAGCTTGCTGTGACCAGACCAAAATAATCTGCACATAAACCAAGAAACAACATATGTCCCTATGACTCATTTTACCTAACTCATGGTCCAAGATAGAATCACCTGTTATCACGGTATTAAAAACAAAAATACAATCCTAAATTACCTACACACAAAAAAAAAACTTCAAAGAGAATGTTCATAACAAATTTCAGGGTCAACTCCCTTAGGAGCTGACAAAGAAGAAAAGGTCACACTCAAAAAGAACTACTTCTAATGGTTTCATTTGATAAACATTAGTAGAAGCACTAAAAAGAGAGGTTGACATTCTCTGCTGGTACATGTATTCAGGCACTCTGCAATGTGTATGAACAGAAATGTTTCATCTTCATGTTTTGCAGAACTTTGCACTGTCTATTCACAATAACTTTTTGCTCATTTCATTGTATTTATACATGTATTTCACACTTTCTATTTGGTGACTAAATATTCTAAATACTTCAAACTTTTAAACATGTTCCTCCCAAAGAAAGAATTGACATACAGAGTTCATATATTTGGAAATCTTGGATCCACCAACTTTTACCCATCACACAAGCTCTACAATGAACATACTGCTAATCTACTTAAAATATATAACATGCAAAAATTATAATAAGAAATGAATACCTCATATACTTAACATCAACTTCACCAAAACTCCATAAATACACATACAAAAATAATCAGAGCAAATGAAACATAATCAAAAGCTACAAAAACCTACAATCTTGATACATGGAATGATTATAAATTAAAAAGACATTCACACATTAAGACGTGTATGATTTTTTTTTCATACAAACCACTAAACTGAACATTAATTTCACAAGTTATAAAATATTCAAACTCAGAAATCAGATTTATTCTCAAACAAATGAACAAAATTGAAAATTGATGAAAAAGGCTCAAACTTGAAATTCTGTTTTGCATGTAAATGCAGATCAAATTACAAAATACAATGTAAATGAACTTCAAATGAAATTAATCTTAGAAATCACCTGGTATCTAAAAGCTTGCCTAATTTACGTATTGCATCTACATGATGAGACACCTTAATGAGGACAAGTGGACTTTCACGAGGGACCCCCCCCCCCCCCCCCCCGGAAAAAATCAATTTATATTTTAACTATTGTTGAGCAGGTCAAATGTAATTTTATAATGTAGCTAAGATCAATTGAAAAAAAGCACCCCCACCCCTATGCACATATTGTGTGATAAATGTTTAGAGATGCTCCTCTAACTGGCTTGCCTTCACCACCCTCCCCAAAAATAGCTGCAAAATATTTCATGCTTTTGAAGTATTAATATTAACACAATTTTCTTCCATACTTCAAGACTTGTTCTAATGCACAACCTTATAAAGAGACACTTTACTGGTTTCATATTAAATCGTCAATCCATTCCATAAAACTACGGAAATAAATCCTAAACTGCTATATTTAAATCCCGACCTCCTGCAAATATACATCTTTATCTAGTGTACAGTCATTGACAAATTTAATTTATTCTTCCAATGATCCATGGTCAAACTTTATTAACATGAAAGACACAGCATAAGAAATCACAAAAGTCTGTGTGTTTTAGCTCCAAATAACCACACAATAGCACATGATTCTAAATATAAAATTCCATAAAAACAGTAAAAAAGAATTCTTCTATACACAGAACTTTGCAAAACAAAACTTACTGGTTTCAATTACTCTCTTAGTGTATTTTAGTGTATGGCACTGACACAGCAGCAAGATGTTTTAATAATTCAATCTGTAATCTGAGAATACTTCATCATCACGATTATGGAGTAATTGGACATAATTACCGGTATGTTGTATAGGCAACAAATGATGGTGAAAGATGATGGACGTTCACACAATGGTAACTTATTAATCAAGCAATCAGAAAAAGGTGACAAAATATTCATATTTCTTTTCTTTCCAGTTCTTGATAAATTCTCAGTTTTAGACCTTTTGTCTACAGAGATGATAACATGCATGGATAAACCACCTGCATAATGAATGCTGCTATAAAAACAAGTTTTGCATCTGAGGATTGTAATTAACAAGCACATTAAAAAAAGAAGGAAGTCCATTTCTGGGAGAGAGCAGAATCATTCCAAAAAAATCAAATAAAAGAAAATTGCAAAGAAATCTAAATGTAAGTAGAGGGGGAAAACAGTTCATTGTAATATATTCTAATTTTGACTAGAACAGAATGTCTTCCTATTTTTTATGTGGTGTTCAGAAAGGAATTTACTCCAAAAAAATTGGTACCAGAAAAAGTTTAAAATAATGTTAAAATGATATAATAAATATCTCATGTTCAGTATTTTCTGAAATCACTCCACTGTTCATCACAAAGTGATAATCTAATGCAAGACTTGAAGAATACTAACAAATACTTGCCACATTGTTTTAGGAATGAATAAGACATGTAACAATGGAAACCTTACAGGATCTTTGTTGTTCAGTAATAATGAAGCAGATCTTTTTGTTGGTGATTACAAAAGAAAAAAAAAACTTTCCTACAAATATTACACTAAATCCAGCTGTTAAAATAAACATCACCTTGATTAATGATTTTCAAGAACTCACATGTTTGAATAACACTTTTTTACTTGCAATTTATGAAAAAAATGGCCCTTTACAAAGGAAAACCAAAAAAAAAAAAAAAAAAAAAATCACTGTAACTTATGAACTAACTTTTCTGTCTGTTTTCCTCAAATTAGAACTACCAACAAAAATATTTTTCTTCAAGTTTGCTTGTTTTTTAATCAGCACATCCTGACTTATTGTCAGCAATCTTTAAGCCATTCAGTAAGGTCCTTTTCTAAATGACCCAGTCTGTGTAAAACTGGATTTCTCTTGTCTTTGCTTTCCTGTAATTGATCCTGGACTTGCAAGATTTTTTGTCCACAACCAAGGTTCCATCAACACATTATGGCAGTGAGATCCTGGAGTAGTATTGGAATCCTTATACACCAGTCATTGTTATACAGGGGTACTCCTGCCTGACTCACATCCATTTCCTACAGGAAAATCAAACTTTACCACTTACAACAAAAACAGTCCACTTCTGTCAGATTTTAAGTTATAATGAAATAATATTCTGGGGCTGAACAAATATCATTGCCCACCACCCATGGGTGAGTGCATTTTATGGTAGGACAAAAGCCTCATAAATCTATTTGTCAGCCTCTGATATTCCTTTCATAAAAAGTTCAAATTAATAACTGAATATGTCCAAAATATGCAAGTTGATCCAAGTATATACATGTAAATGGAAATTGTATTTATGATGTCGCATTACAATTATTTTACGAAACAGTTATGGAAATGTAAAACAAGTATATTTGATTTTTGATATTAAACCAGAGGTCAGACAGGCAATTGAGTCTAATCAAAAACCCTATATCAAATATCACTTCTAGACAGGATGATTCAGGGTACAAATCTATATGTCCTTACCTAATCGTTCTGCAGGCCCCCATATCCTGACCGTACCATCATCTGAGGCACTGGCCAGCATGCCTGGTAGCTTGGGATTCCAGTGAACACAGTTAACAGTCCTAGAATGTCCCTCCAGGACTGCAATTGGCTCCTCTTTTCTTAGATGCCACACATAAACTTTGTGATCTGAAAAAATGTTTAACAATACACATTAATTTAAAGTTGATTTTTTTTTATGCAACCTCAATCTACATGTAGTATGATAAATCACTAGTTCTCCCTTAAAGATGGAACATCTTGGACTTCAGAAAGAAAACAAACTTTCAAATAAAACTGCAGTCAAACCTCGTTATCTTGAACTCAATTGAATGGAGAAAAAACTTTGAGATATCCAAGGATTTGAGAGATCCAGGGTAAAATACTTCAAGAATAAGGGGTTGGGACTTCCAGATGACTTCGACATATCCATGGTCTTTGAGATATCAGTGTTCGAGATACCGAAATTCAACTGTATGTGTTGGTCCATTTTCAACATTTCTCACTTTTTCAGTTAATTATTTTCACTTGTTAAAACATTTGGCAAAGTGAACCAAGAAGTTCCACAACATAATGGTCAGTGGTTTAAATCATAACTGAAAGGTTAATATTCTCAGGCAATAATTATGTACCATGTCTACCTGTTGTCTAAATAAAATATATTAACATTGATTTTACTGTACTCCATGGACTACATCCCAATACACAATAAATTTCTGATTTTTCTCTTATAACTTTACTAGTACTCACCTTCACTTCCGCTGGCGATGAAGTCTTGATTTAGTCCTCCAAAACATGAATGTATAGTGTAAAATCCCTGTGTAACCCCTTGAAATTTCCTTACTAAGCACCTATCATGCAAGTCCCATAAATGAATTCCCTGAAATAATGGAGCAGACATCTAAGTGTATTGTAATAAGATTTTGCAGCAAAGCTAAGTCCCATACCAAATCAATCTCAATTATGATCAGAAAAATTAAAACAATTCACAATTTGAACGTTAATACACATAGCATATAACTAATTGAATATCTCACAGTGCATTTTAATCTAAACTATATAGTCTCCCCTTATGATCATTAAAACATTTACATTAATGCATCCAACTCACACAGAGAGGAAAACTGAACAAATGGTTGTTTTTGTTTAAATAGTGCAAGACTCATGGTTGGAGTATTACAGAGACATAGAGCAGGTTTGAATAACTTCAAAAAGTCTCAGGAAAAAGTTGCCTGATTAAACAGGACTTAAATAATGGAAGCACTAAACGTGCCTCAAAAGCACCTTCTTATTTTTTATTTGGTAAACCCATTACAAATATAATCCATACTAAATCAAGGCACAACTGTGTACTGAACCTAGATTTAAATAAATGCAGTATCATTGACAATCCTTATTGCTCATGTGGTAAACAAGAAGATGCTTACCATTTTTTCCTTTATTTGTAGAAAATATCCTAAAGCTAGAAATAATCTTTTTGACTATCTTTTTCGACTTGATTTAGACATCATAGATGTACACCTACTTCTCTGGGGCAATGAAAATTTATCATTAGAGTTGAACACTGGCATTTTTGCTGCTGTTCACAAGTTCATAAATGAATCCTGTAGGTTTAATTAGCTTGTTAATATATGTAACTATTTTATTTGTTTAAGTTTTTGATATTTTTTGCATGACAATTATTATTTTGTGTTATATTAAGGAGAGGAACTAGTAAGTTGATAGAACTTGTTTCTGATCCTTTTGATTGTCAATAAAATATGTTCAAAACAAAACAAATAAAACAATATTTGCATCTATTTCTCGAATGAACTCTTTATAATAATACATGTATGCCTATTACTTCTCTAGACAGGCAAAATATACATGTACTGTACTTTAATGCAACAGTTAGGTTTTACTCTTCAATCATCAAATCTTAAGATTCTTGCAATAATTACTATATGAAATATCAGACAAAATATAAGAAAATATTTTCTTGTACATACCTGAGTAGCTACATTGAGTAATATTAATCTGCCTGTATCATTTAAAGTGAAAGACATGACTGGATGATCTTCTTGTATTCTGCAAAGAAAAACAGGTTCTTTTTTTATTAAGAAATGCAACTTTAATCTCTGAATATCCCAGTAATAAAGAGACAAAAGAAAATAATCAATTTAAATCTCTAGGAAGGAGCAAAGTATTCATGTCACATAATTTGTCTATCAAATGTTTATTTTCAAATTAAAACTAAGTGTGTAATAGACACACACTCAATATACAAGTCCATAAATTCTAACTTTGAAAATCAATTAAATTACATCATCATTTAAAAATAAGTAAAGATTAACTTTCCTAAAGTGTAAAAGAGTTTACATGTAACTATGTTTGAAAAATACGGTGTATTCATTCTTATTTTTATTTATAAAATTAAGATTTAATTCTTGTACAGTAATTTTATCTTGAGTTTGAAACTTCTGACATCATCTTACACATTGAAGTCTGCAAGTTCATCAAAGTTATATCCCCTGACACGATGATGGGTGTCAGCAGCGAGAACTGTTTTCCCATCATTCTGGCAGGCAATACATTGTACGCGGACACCTTCCCAGGAATCCAACACGTTACCATCAAGATCCTGAAACAAACAGGAATATATCAATAGCAATTTCTACAGATGTGTTTAAATTAGCGATGTCAAAATATTTATTTTCTACAGTCGAATATTCGATTGCATTATTCGAACGATAGTTGAATATATTCGAAACTTTTTCATGAACTAATTTTTTTTTTCAAACTTCACTGGTACATGACACATTTAACCCCCAAATCCGCTTTTCTTAAATTTATTGAAAAAAGAACATCAAATGTTACACACAGATGTTCACATGGACCTAAAACGTGTTTATATTTACTAAATATAGAACGCAAATTTCTCCAAAATGTATGATTTGCCCATCCATCATGTTCATAAATCGGTCTGTAAAGTTGGTTTTTTAGGAAACATAAAAATGACAGTATGATATACTTTTTACAGCTTATTAAATGATGGTGGGCACACTTGGTATCTGTGAAAATGTTAAATATAATATTTGAATATACTTTTGTACCAACTATCAAAATGTCTCTAAAATATGTAAAAGAATATTTATCTTATAATAATTATTGTAGTGTCCAAACATGTCATGGCTATAATGGGTACATGGTGTGAGATCAAATCCAATTAATAATTTTACAAAGAAAGCACAGTATAGCGAGATAATTTTATTACAAAAACAACACATTAATTGACAAATAATTCTCACGGAAGTGAAGCATTTCTAATTACTGTACTTTCTACATGTAAAGTCAGCAGTTTTTAATGAGGAAAATTATCTTATCGACTGTGTCTGAGGAAAGACGGTTTCTCAATCAATTTTAGGATGAGAATTCCATCTCATTATCACTCTTTTATTGAATTTATTTACTCTAATGTCGTTTCGTTATTCGATCGTCGGTCCATTCAACTGATAGTCGAATAGTCAACTATTCATTGACATCCCTAGTTTAAATGGATTTGTGTTTTATTCAATACATTATTAAATAACTTTTCAAAATCGTTTAATTTTGATGCAAGTTAAGTTGTACTGAGTAAAATGAATACAACACAAGTTTATGTGAACTGCAGAAAAAAATTAAGCTTTATACTGATACAGATCAATAATTGTAAATATGGAAATTACCTGTACTATGTAAATTGGGCTCATGAGAAAAAACTTTCTGTTTATATCTGTTTATATATATATATCAACACACAACAGCAATGCTGATATAACTCATTAAACTCAACCGCAACAACTTAACATACAAAAGTTTCAATGATTATAGTAGTTATAGCATTACATGTGCATGGTTTACCAACAATATGCACAGAGATAATATTTACACACTGATAAAATTGGTCCCTAATTCCCCCCGTCACAAATTTTTTACTGTCTATATGCCAGGATAATACTTACACACTGATAAAATTGGCCCCTAATTCCCCCTGTCACAAATTTTTTACTGTCTAAATGCCAGGATAATACTTACACACTGATAAAATCGGCCCCTAATTGCCCCCCCCCTCACAAATTTTTTACTGTTTATATGCCAGGATAATACTTACACACTGATAAAATTGGCCCCTAATTCCCCCCGTCACAAATTTTTTACTGTCTATATGCCAGGAGGCTGTAGTTAGACTATCCTCTGGAGACTGGCTCATCTTGACTCTCAGATCACCAGTCTACAACAAAGGCACAACATTTAAGAATTAAAGTAGTTAAGCTAATAATTAATCTGCTTCCAAGGCAACAATTTTTCATCAAGTTTGTGGTTGGAAATAGTTTCACATTTGATAAAGATAAACAAGTAAATATCAAAAGAGTCTCTGGAGAAAATTTTGCTTAAAATTTAATGAGTTTGTCGTTTATTTCTAAAGTTAAATATAGACACATATTCAATCACATTTGCAACAAATCATACCTCAACATTCCACAACCAGAGATCAGAACAATCGTCTGGACCACAGGCAATAATATGTGTGCCATCTGGGCTCCAAGCAATATAAGACACTCCATAGGCATGGTTCTCAAAAGTCTTTTTGCTTCTCAACTCATACGTTGACTAAAATGTGAGGTAGTTTCAGAATTCAAAATGTTATATGATGAAATATTCCAGAGAATTTTTTTAACCTTTGTTATAAAAGGACTTTCCTATGAAATGAGAAAAAAATTGCTTCATATGATGTCCAGTGATTCACTTCTGAAGTAGTCAGTATTGAGAGTGTACACAACTAAACATACTGTAAATCACTTTTTATTCGCAAAAACTTTATTTCCAAGTAATTACGCAAGGTTGCCTGCTCGCGAGAATTGAATTCTCGCATATATTTATATAACTAAAGATAATATAGAACAACAGCCAAAATTTGCGAAAATTATGACTCGCTTAATGGTGATCTACAGTACTAGTACATATGGCTTCAGTGTGCATGAATGACTTACAAAATCAATCTCCCATATGATGAGGGAGCCGTCTTTTGAGCCAGTGGCCAGTTTGGTACCATCGGGTGAGAACCGGCAGAACCAGACTTCATCACAGTGATCATTTAGAGTCTGTAAAGTGACTGATGGAAACTGCTCTCTGAAAAACATGTAATCAAGTGTTATTCAAATGTTTAATCAAGATACATCTTTTATCAAGATATATCATCTGATCAATGGGAATTCATGCTTGAGGAGACAAAAAATATTTTGAGTTCTCTGTCTTCTAAGCTTACCATATAATCATGTACCAGTGTATATACACATAATCACTCTCACTGTTAGATCAATGAAATTTGATTACTGGTATGTGTTTGATCAATGCAACATGTATTTTCCTTTCATAATGACCTTATGTTTCAGTACTCAAATAATTGTTCTAGACTGACTGGTAACATATAAATAATTTTATGCTGGCTTATTTACACACTATTTCTTTTACAACATCTTACTGGTTTGTATACATATTTATGTTGCATATATATATATATTACACAAACTTGAAAAACTAAATCTTTAATTCAATACTGACAACAGGGACCAAATCTGAAGACATCTAAAATATGAATGTGGTAATGAAGATTTTTTTTAAACCTTGTGTAAATAGTTTCATATAAACATTTTCAATCTTCATTCCGGAGTACACAAGTATAATAATGTACACCAAACACTGTACATGTATGTCTTGACCTACAAGTAGGTGCATATCAAATTTTAATACAGTAGTTGAGGATACAAAGAAGGTAAAATCATCTTCTTTATATTAAAATCAGTATCATTAAAACTTCATCAAATCATGTTAAAATAGGCCATCAAACCTGCTACAGAGATGATCTATGAGAAGAGACACAGCCTCCAGGTTGCTGTCAGACTTTGTATTGTGATATGGACATTTCTCCTTCTGTTGTTCTACTGCCTGATTCAGGAGGGTGACAAGTCGGCGGGGAGGCAACATCACAGAGGGAGGCAGAAAGGCTACAATATTTCACACGAGATGAGTTTTCTCCTACAATCTTCTTAATAATAATATATCACAGGCAACAAATTACTTACGATTGAATTAAATGTAAGCAAGAGTTGCAAAGTTATAACCAAGACATTATTTCAAAATTTCTAACTTTATTTTGACCTTCATTTGGAGACCACAACCTTTAAATAAAATCATGACTGTCCTTCAAAGCTGTACAACAGAAGTAATGATAGTTATTCTGACAATCTATAATTGCAGAGTAATCTATCTTGCACACCTACTTTAACAATGAATATAACATTAAGTACATGTACACTAGTATTTGCTTACTCTGTAGTTTCTCTATCAGTTTGGTACGAGATTCTACTCCTTTGCCATCCCATTCTGCTGTTTCCCGTAAATCTTCAGCATTACAGCACATCATGAACCTGTTCATAGTTCAGAATATCACCGTTAACACCATTTTGCAAATATCAGATGATATGTCAAAATGTAAAATATGTAAGATCTTTTACCAATAAAAATGAAATTATTTTCCATGTTAGCACAACAGCTTTGCATTTACAATTATATTAGATAAGATGTTTTTCAGTGTGCCTGATTCCTAGACACAAATAAACAATTAAGGCATCTTTTTTTTTTTTAAACTCTGCTTTGACATACGTGTTCATCTTTTTTTTTAAAAAAAAACCAACTCTGCTTTGACATACGTGCTCAGCTGATGTACACGCTCTGTGTTAAACTTGAGGGGAGTAAGTTCGTATCGCAGACAATGCAAAGCGTCAATTTCCCGCCCATTCTCCAGCAGTTCTAAATATTTCTGCTCCAGAATCAGAAATTGCATTTTCTGTAAGAAATCAGAACAAAAAACATCTGATAAGTACCGTACAAGTTTTAAAATCGTAGCAACAATAGAGCAAGGCAGAACATTCATGTGCATTTCTTGGAATCTAGCATAATGACAATATACTGTATAGGTGGAAAATTACTCGCGGTGTTAATATTCGCTATATTCACGGTGTTAATAAATCCGTGATTTCAAGAAACAGTGAATAAGTTTTCAATAACCTCCATGTTTTATTTGGAAATCTGAGAAAAGACTTCGACAGGTATATAATATACATACAATACATGGTCATTCAATAATTATGAGTAGTACTTGTCATTCCATTATTTTAATTATCACGTTTTACTTTAATTCAAATAAGCAGCTAATAACCTGAATTTATTGTGAAAAAGCTGTTTTAATAGCCAACGCTACATGTTTCATCAGTCAAAACACTTGTGTCATGGGTTTTAATTACCCGTGCGTAACTATATCGTTACCACGTGTATTTGATACCTGCATATTATCATGCGTATTAGTTTTTATCAACATTTTGGTTGAAAAAAATATCATTCGAATAATTACTATCGAACTTGATGTAGATATGGAAGGATATTATTACGTCAACCTAGATAACCAAAGTCTTTATTATCATCCAGTGTTTTTTTTTTCGCCGCGATGTGTTATCCCTTCGGAAAGATCTTGGGGTGTACATCGCTGCACTCATTGTAAAAGCTTATATGTATAGGAAATAATTAAGTCATTCGACGTTTATAGTCAAAGACCTTTAATAGCGGCACTTGCTTTGACTAATCGTCAATCAACTACTAAATCTTATCATTTTATATCAATCTACCCTGTCATTCGTGAAATGAATACATACAGGGAACGCTGATTAATGCTGTTCTAGCTATGCTACGGATTATACGAATAAAGACAAGGGAGGTAACTTTAATTATATACCGATTACCCAAATTCAACAAACCGCGATCGTGTCGAAGGAGAGAAAAATGTGAAAATTACAATCCGTGAAATGTATCCCCTATACAGTAATCAAAGACACAATGTAAATGAATATCATTAAGAAACTGAAATTGGGATCACAATAAAATCACTTAATAAAACTATATATTTAATGATAATCCCTCTACTTCTGTGTAAGCAAACAAATATTAAATGCATGATTTACCAAGGTTCCATGTGAACTTTCTATTAGACCTTTCAACTCCTCCAAGTCCTGTTCAGCCTGGAAAAGAATTGAAATACTCAAATATTCTGAACTCAGAAAATGTGTTCTATACATCTACATGTATCATGATCTTGCTCTTTTATACTGGTAGCCCGGTGTCTCACTGCATCATGCTACTTCATTGTTTTCTCTACTACCTTTTAATGTATAGACTTTTTAAGCTATATTTCTTATGTTAAATAGTAAACAGCTTCCTCAAGCTAGATATTAAAAATAATTTTCTATTTTCTGTAAAACTTGTGAAAAATAAGGCGTACAATATCAGATTGTCTCATGTTAGTTGAAATTGAAGAGTTTTATTGTATCATTACTGTGATCATGCCTGTTTCCTTGAAAATAAAAAAGAGTATTTTTGTCACTTTGGCTTTCCAAAAAAATTTCTCAGCCTTGAGAAACTTTTCTTTTTTGATTCCCAAAATAACTTGTCTCTAGGGGGTGTTGTACATGCATCATTGCCAAATATAACTTGCACAATACAATAGGACACGTGATATAATGGGAGGGAGTATACATCTGAAATTTACAATCGATCCATAGATAGATAGTAACTGAAATTCATTAGTAGGTACTCTCAGGTTATGTGTTTTTAAGAATATATAAGAATATATTTCAGTTTATCTGGTCATAAAAAGGGAAATTACATTGTAATATTTTTATTATACTTATATCTCAGAAAGATTAGCATGTATCAGTGCTTTACAATGTTGGAAAAAAAGGGTTCATATATATATGTTGCAATTTATCCAACCATAGATTAAGATGTCCCTGTGCATAATGAAGGAATTTGACATAATCACTAAAAAACAGAAATCGTGAGATCAACACTTATTGGATGGTAGAGTTAATCTAAAGTTGGCTTGTTCAAAATGCTCAAAGCAGAAACACAAGATCTATTTTGTGTGATGTTCAATAAAGATATCTTACAAATTCTTTCAGCTGGAAAGCTAAGTGGAAAAGAGGAAGAAGGAAAAAACTATGGTAACACATCACTGACTTTTAATATTAATATAAAATTATTTTTGTTACCTTTGCCCATTCTCCATCCATGACATGTGACCTTAGTTTGGCTGCAGCAGGGTGCTCCAGCATGCATCCTGATTCAGAAATCAGCTGCTCTGCTGTTTGACTGTGTAAAAACGAATATAAAACTTTAGTGCCACTTTGATTAACATGAAAAATTAATACAAGATTTACTGGTATGTGATGTCATATTTTATTAAATCACATTTATTAATAAGATCCATTAATTTCAGTGGTCAAAAGATTTATGTTACTCTAAATATAAATTATCTGCAGAATACATTTTTTTTTATATAACTAATTAAATTTTTTTTTTTGACTTTTCTCAGAAGTAAATATTATCAAAACACTTTTTAAATATATGTCAATATTTGGTATAATTATTTCAGGTATAATACCCTACACAAATGTACTATGAATGTTAACACTGGAATACACCCATTTTTTCAAAAATGAGGTTTGCAAATTCAGAAAATGTGATGACATATATTCAAATTGAGAAAAAGTAATGCTGCGGTCATAAAAAAGGGCATGATTAAGTTTTTTCATGACCATTGTAAACAAAGAGCTAGGTTCACTTTATGCATAAAATGGCCCTGTAGATATACCAATTTATTGACTAATACCCCGTGTACCATTTTTAACATTATTATAAAGTAGAGACTTAGTGCTTTCAGTTTATACAACAGAATTTCCTTTGAAGAGTCCAGGCATTGAAAAACAGGTTGTGTGAAATTGCAATGTTATTGAATTTCGCAGAAAACAGGTGTTTTTGAGAACCTTCAGCAAAGAATTAAAATATGAGCACACCCCTCGATCCAAAAATTAAAATATGTTTTATAATCTTCATTAACAGTTCTTTTACAATATATTTACACATTTTGGATCGGAGGTTGTGCTGTATATGAAATACTGAAAAATAGCATCATAACTTGGCTATTTTTGAAGAAATATTCAGGATATGTGAATAATGACGCAATTCATGACGTCATAATGCTTTCACTAGAAAGAAAATTACGTCATTTTCAGTAGATATTCATTCACCAAGAGATCAAGTATTATTTATTGCCTTGTTGACTAAAACTATACAGTTTTGAATTTTCAGAAATTCACAGGGCCAAAAAAGGCCCTAAGTGGCTCTTGCTCTTTAACGAGTATCGATATGGGTATGTATTTCAATCAAGAAATCAATGATGTCAAGATTATAGATGAACAGGAGTCAACATTCTGACACGGTTGCTATGGTATGTTTATCAAGCTACATGATGTTCCATGGAATAAAATCTTCAAAGTATTCAACCATGAACCAAAGACACAAAAATAACGAGTGGAAGAATCTTGTATCACAAAATTGAGAAACAATTACAAATGCTCTTATCAAGTATGCCTGTCAGTACTATGTTACATGATACGAGTAATTAAAGGCAAGTATCTCAACACAGTTACTTTAAAGAGGTAGTCAAGTGCAACCTCTAGCACCACCACATGTACATGAAACTGCACAACTGACAGTTGGGATACAAACACGTCTAATGAAATGTGCTCCTGCCATATTCTCACTAACAATGTTTCATTTCAATTTCAAATATGCGTGCAGTGAATTTTTCTGGGTCTGTAGAGAAATGAATGTCCAAAAGCACACACATTTCCAGTTATCCAGAACAAATTTTGCTTTATGATATGCAATCTCATAATATTGTCTCAAAATAGTAAAACCCATAGACTAATATGATTTAATTACTGAATATGTTTATCTTTTTTTTTTTATGTTGAGGGGAGATAATCTGCATGTATTTCCTCCAACTTACAAAGGAAGTTCTAATTTAAAAATAGATATACCTGTTACAAATAAATCATTTTTTTCCCATATCCTCTCTATATGTAAATGTAAACAAATAGGACTTCACATATTTTGGGTTAAAATATACACCTTTGAAAGAAATGGCATTGTGTTTCACATTGTCACCATGACATGTGGCAAATTGATAAAGCTGTTTCTTTGTTTACATTTAGTGTCAAAATAGTAATGATAATCACAATATATTTACTAACAGAATTTTTTATAAATATATTGCATTCTATTAAAAAAGGTTAGTTCCTAAATTTCTTTCTTTTAAGGATGGCAGAAAGCGCCATCAATCAATATCAGCTGATTTGACACATTCACCCTTGGGAGCCCCAGGATGCATTACAAGTTAAAATATTGCGTAATGCTGACTGTATCATAGGAATAAATGTACAGCAAAGTAAGAACATTTAGTTAAAACGATTGTTTCATAATGATAAAAAAAGAAACCATTTTATTTTTTGTTCATACGAATCAAAACAATCGCTTTGTTTTGATTCGGAGACTCTTACTTCAAACCCAGTCCTCTCAAATGCTGGACGATCAACCGCACAATATCTTGGTCAGTTTGTGACATGGGCTTTCGTGGAGAGGACTTGGTATGAAAATCGCCATTTGCAAACGAGGGACAAGAGCCATTTTGTTGAGACGACGTCGCAATGCTCGACTCTCCATTGTGTTGGGGACAGCCATTCGATTGCATGATAGAGGCCAAGACTCGCTGCTTTTTACGCGGTGGGGGCGAAGTTCCACCGTCTTCTGATTCTGACGACGATGCCAGTATTGCTCAGCTTCGCTTTATAGGGAAAACTGTCCAGTAAAGTCATCCGTTTGGTCCTTGGCGAGCGAAATCCGACAAGTGGTATCCTCTCTCTCTGACTGCAGTTACCAAATTTGTTTTGCTAGATGACGTCACAGGATGAGAATTGTGGGAGATTTAGCCAAATACGTGAAGTTACATTGCGGGAAAATTAAAGACCTGGAAAAAACGTGAAATATTTTAACATTGTGCAACTAAATATAAACTTAGTCGCTTATTGATTTTCGATATATCTTTGGACTATTGTACCACTATATGATTTATTAAAATGCATTAATCATGGAGTGGATTTGTATTTCCCAAACAATCAATGTACTAGGGCGTGTCTGTTTTTGTGAAAGGGATAGGGGAGGGTCAGAAATAGGGGAACCACCGGGGGAAATTTGACCGAGCAGACAACATAGAAAGACGTATTCTGCGAATATTTTATGTTATTTCGTGGAAGAGCCCTACCTGCAGCGGAAGACATCTTGATACATCCACTCATCCAGAGCATGCAACAGTTATATATACTGATATACATGTATATTATAAGTTTAATGTATATTATGTATAATGATAACGACTGATTTTCTAATCAAAAAGCCATATTTATGAAAGTGGAAGTAGAAATGGCATTAATTAATGTCTCTGGTGGACCTTAAAATTCAAAATAACATATTTTATACATATTGTACGTCGACTTTTAAGGGCCGCGCCTTTTCTTAATTTTTTATTACAAATTATCAATGTTGAAAAAAAATATAAATAAGTTATTTGTAATTATAAATTTAATAATGCATTATAACCAATTATCGATTTTTTTTAAAATAACAAATTAACAATTTGATAATTTGTTATTACAAATCGATAATTTGTTCAAATATCATATTGCTTACAAATTGATAAGTATTATTTGTTATTACAAATCGGAAAAATTGCGAATTGAAGAAGCTTCCTTAATATTCCAAGTCAATTTACAGTCATGTCGGAACAAGTCTGAAACTTGACGAATATCCACCAAATACCTGTAGCTCAGCGTCAGTATATATATACCGTGTAAGGTATCAAAATTAGGTTTTAATAGACATGAAATACTAGTATTCTGTGCGCATCCTTACATGATCCTCTGTTGCTTGTAAGGTTCGTGATACCGATCTAATATCACGTGCAAATACTCTTGCATGATTTGAAATTCCGACGAGTTTGAGGCAACAATATGGATATAAGTATATACATGCATTTTATAGATCATGTTGCAGCTTTCTGTTTGTGGGGGGGGGGGGGGGTCCTTACAGGGGAAAGGGGGGAGGCAGAAAAATAATTGACAAAAAGCGTAAAAAATCTTTGCCAAAAAAGGACATAAACTTTAAAGTCACATTTCATAAAGCAGGCCGGGAGGGGGGGGGGTTCCATGTCTCATATTGGGCATAAAATACATTATGATAACGAGGAAGCCCCCCCCCTCCCGCGTACTACGGGTCCGGCTAGGTTTTGATTCGGCGTGCAATCTGACATATCTATATACAAGTACATGTGCATATCGTGTGTATTTATGCCCAATTAATATGCTAAATCAAGTTATTTTCTCGTCCAGTTCTCCATACGCGTTCATATGCATTAATATGTGTATTCAACAGCCTATTGAAGTTCTTATTCATATGCGGATCTAGGAGGGTAGGGTTTCAGAAGGGCGTGGGCCCCCTCCCTCGAGATTTTCTGAGCCATTAAATTTTTATGTAATCAAAAAATGACCTTGGAAGTTGTTAAAAAACTAAGACCCCTCCTTAAATGGAAAAGAGAGTCATGCTTATGAAGAAAACTGACTTAGAAAAGTGACTTCTCTATCAAAAAACTTTGGAGTTCATAGTTGAGCTGGTGTGGGCAAAAAAAAAAAAAAGTGACATTATGTTACAGCAAATTGTAAACCCTTGATATACATTAATTCAACTTGACTATGTTGTTGCAATTGGTTATGATGGAAAGGTGTCTTTAATTTGATTCAAGGTCAATTTGAAATTTTTTGAAAGATCAATTAAGGTCATGTTGTTCAGTTCATGTATGATGTTTTAAATCTATAATTAGGGAAGGGGAAAACATCCATTTTTTATCAACACAAAAAAGTTTTTTTTTTTCTTAACCATCTTCATAAATAGTTGAAGGAGATCAATTTTGCTGCTGACTCTATGGTTTATACATAAACTTTATTATACACCAAATTTGTAATAGGTGAATGTTGCTAGATCCCCCTCCAAAAAAAGGAAATCTTTTATATTTCAAAGACATGATGTATTCATCAATGCCACTGGCCTTTCCTTTTAAGAATAGAATAGAAAAAGAAAAGAAATTGCAGTGTAATCATAATTCATAACTTGTTTGTTAACCAATTTTGGGAATACAATAAAAAATATTTATTAAGATAAGATAAAACTATTTTGCTCAATACAAGTTTTATGATGTGTAATTCCTAATGTGAAATTAAGTTTGATTATTCAAGTTTTCAGGAAATAGTTGGTTTTCATTTTTATACACCAACTAACCCAGCAGCATACACCAAAAAATATATAAATAAATAAAAAGAAAACCAACAATCAATTTGGATGAAAGAAACAGAGGCAAGATTTAAACTAAGAGTTATGAATTTTTGCTGTCAGGAATCAGTCACTCATTGTGGGATAGTAACAGAATCAGAGAGCTCAATCACAAATATAGCTACATGTTGTTGCAAATGAGTTGGACTTCTGTTGCAAATACATTTTCCATCAGTAATTTCTGATTTATAATCTACATGTATCCAATATAAGCACACATGAACTTGTTTGCAAAAAAGCTTTGATTCATGAGAAACAAAAAATTATGCTATAGTATGTAAGTATTGAAATTTTTTATGCATTATTTTTTCTCCAATGTATACATAATTTTCTGAGACATGGTCCAATTAAATAAATTGTGGAAACAACAACTAAAACAACAACAAACTAATGATATGTGACTACATTTACGGATTGTTTTTTAGATTTGCGAGTGTTAGTGGTGTGTAAATCACACAGACTTGTCACACAGGCATATTTCATGAAGCACACTAGCACTTCATAAAAAATGTGCCTATGTGCAAGTCTGTGTGATTTGCACACCAATAACATTCACAAACTGAAAAATATTCCTTATATTTATTTTTACATTCTAAAGCTTTAAAACCAACAACATACACTCAGTATTTGAATTTTTTGCTGCCTTATATCGTTATATATATATTTTTTTTACATTTCCATCACATCATTTTGATGTCACTGCAACACGTTTCTCCCAATTTCATCAATTTCAAATCAATTTCATTGCTGGCTTAGTTAAAAAAATGTAAATATTTCAAAATAACTCATAACTTGAATACAACGGCACCATATTGAATTCAATACAAATTTAAAAAAAGAAATCATGACGCAACATTTGAAAATTGCAAGACTTATTCTTAAAACTTGCACCCTAAAGTAAAAGACAAGATATAATCATACATGTATTAGGTAAATGTAAATGAAAATTTACTGCCAGCAGACAGATAATATTTCAAATGGTTATTATACACAAGTACATTATTCACGATGAAAAATGGTAGTATCATTCATGACTCATGCAAAATATCTTATAGATGACCATTGATGAAGACAAGACTATGTTCAACATTATAAAGTGAAACCTCTCTAATCAGAATGCAATAATTAAGAAACAGATTTTATGTCAGAATAGACAGGGTGCCAGATTGCACAGTGTCAAGAACATGGAAAAATATAAAAAAAAAAAGTTGGAATTCACAGTGAGATTGAAAAGGTGTTAGATTAGACAGTTTTGACTGTATGCTATATGCATGGAAATTTTCACCTCTTCACCCTTGTTGAAAGGGGACATATTTAATTTGGGATGGATTTAAAGAAAACAGCATAAACTGCTTTATACAACTGTGTCTGGGCTGAATTTAAAATGGAACAAAATTGTTTGGAAGTGTGAAAGGGTAAAAATAACACACTGTCAGGTGAAAATAACCCTGCATATAGTTTGTAATATAAATGAATATTTAGTGATCTTGCTTGTTTCTCCCTTTGAAACCACACATGACCATTACCAAACCTCAAAAATGTGCATTGGTTTATTTTGGCCTCAAAATTTAGTTTCTCACTTTAAAAAAATCTACTTCTTTCATACCTCTCTTTCTTGAGCAGAAAAAATACTTTCCCCTCCCACAAACACATACATCAAAATAATAAATTTTCAATGAATAAAAAAATTGAGACTAGCTTTGCATATTCATGTGTAATACAGCAGAATAAAATGAAAACATGTGATACAAATGGTATAAACGGTAAACATTTTTAAAAAAAACTTCCATACATTGAAGGTAAAATAAGCAGTAGAAAAACAAGAGATCAATAGGCCATGTAGCTCACCTTATGCAACAACATTTGTCCAGTGTACATAAATTACAGACCTGTTTACCCGTATTGTTGTCTCTCAGTATTTTTTATTAGATTTGTCAGTGAGATTTGGCATTTGCCCGTAAGATTTCACTTTCCATCGATTTTACATATATTACAAGAAAACAAGTACATGTGCATTCTGATTACCAAAACATGGTTTAATAACAAAGAAAAACATCATAACTTGTTTTCTTTCGAGGGGTTTCTGTCATTTTTAAACCACCGCGTTTTGGCAGCCTGACATCACTTAAATGTTTGAAATCTATCTCATTTTTAGAGATTAAAAAGTGTCAAACTGAGACAGATCATAACGAAAATTAACAGCTAAAATCCAAATGAACAGATTTCCAATTTCCGTATTTTCATAATAGCAAAACATGAGATGTATTTTGGACTCAAAATCCGTACAAAATACGGCAAAATTGTAAGAGTAAACAGGTCTGAAATTAGTTTTGTTTTTTTTCTTAACACATTTTTAGAATCATTTGGAAATTGAACTCCAGTTACAGCTTATTAGAAAACAACTGTACACAGATGCATGTCAAGAATATCTTAATCATTCATTTTTTTTTTAATTACTGGAGCAATACAGTGTCTGGTCATGGAGGCATGATGAATTCATATCTCTTAAAATAATGGCAGTTTATTTTTTATTTATGTTAGATTTTCTATGACACAAAATATAGCTGAGCTTAAAGAATGTTAGCCAGTGAGGAGCATCAGGTGACTTAGGATAAATTAGTTCTTACAAATACCGGTAGTTGAAATTGTGGAAAACATTGCAGACATTTTTGACCTGGAAAATTCACTATAGTCAGGCAAGCTAACATGTTCATTGCCATTAAAAAAAATTGTTTAATTAAGTCTAGATTAATCACATTCTCTGATATTACTCAACAAACACATGAAGATATTTCATGTCTGTATTCCCAATTATTCCCATAAAAGCCAGCACAGAGAAATCCTCCTGGTCCTTTCAGCTTAAAATCTTGTCCTGTGATGACATAATCTGGCAATAAGTTGGAAAACTGAAACATATGAAACATCATGAACTTTTGCACATTTGTATTTATAGTAAACCATGAATGTTTTGCATGATTAAAAATTATTTCATGCCATAGGTACCTAGCTTGATTGATTGTGGTGACTCATAGTATATAATAAAGATTAATTTCCACATTGCATTGACATGAAACTCTGGCTACAGACCTTATTATATCATATAAATAAAAATTGCATGAATTTCTTATTTGGCAGACAATGTACATGTAGTCCCGGAGTTGTATCAAACCGAAATTCAACTGCATAGACAATCTGATTTTTGAAATGTGCTGAGATTATTCCAATAAAGCAATACCGATATATTTTTGTAGGTCAGACTTTTTTTGGAAAGTTTCAAGACTGAATATGCATATTGTGCAATGCCACAGCTATCTGCATACACTGACTATTCCTTCCAAAACTGTCACTACAATCAAAATCAGAGTTACTTCTTTATCTGCTTCTTTATACAGGAACATTTTTGCCAACATACTATTTTTGCCCTTTTCACACTCATTGCAAGTGGACAAATTTAAAATAGAGCAAATTCAAATTAGACAGACTTATCTCTTTAACACATAACTGTCTGAGCGAATTTAAAATGCGGCAAATTAATTTGCAAGTGTAATAGAAAATAACACAGGGCAAAAATAACCCTGCATGTATATAGTATTTGAAACCATACTGTACTTTCCAATGCAAATATGAAAGACAAATTCTGACTGGCCAAACCAGCACATAACCAAAAAGTTTATCTAATCATACAACTCAGTTTCAGTTTAACATATACGTGTACTATGGTTCACCACAAAGTGAGCTGGGTGACTATGGTCAAAGACTTATAACAACTTGACTTTTGATTGTCTTACTGGTGAACGGGTCATAGGAGGAATAGTGGGTGTAGCTAGGGATATTACATCCATCAAACCCTCCACAGAATTCCCCAGTATCAACAAAGCCAGTCTGCTTTTTCCATGAGGTGCCAGTGTCAGGAGCCCCATTCTCTTCTCATGAAATTGACAGTTCTCAAGACCAAAGGATTGTTCTACAATACAAAATTATCATACGATCTAGTCTTGTTAAGAATACTTTCTGAAATCATATCATTGAAAAGAAACATTACTGTAAATCAAGATGAAGAAGAAGAAAAAAAAAACCGACAGAGAAACATGTGATTCACATCACATGTACATGTTCTAAATGTTATACCTTTCACTTTTATAGGGATCTCATCAAGAAAACTAATAGAAAGCAAGTTTTCCTCTTCAGAGCCCAGGATTATTAAGTTTGAGTCCTCTGAAATGAAAAATGAAATTATATCAGTTTATGCAATAAAATGTTTGTAAACAGTATTATTTGTTAATGACACACTGTATATATATTACATGTATATGAATATTGTGATGATAGAGCAAGCCAAGTATTGTGCTCAAGAATTATGCTCAAGAAAAACTACCAGTAAACCTTTACAAAAATTCTAACATGATTTCAACATTTTATTGCTCAGTGACCTTGAAGACAGCAGCCTCAAAGACAAGGCCATAAACAATAATACATGTATATTCATATTAATTCATCCCAAATAAGCAAATAAGAAGACCGCAGCCTCAAAGACAAGGCCATAAACAATAATACATGTATATTCATATTAATTCATCCCAAATAAGCAGTTACAAAGTGATATGTGAGGAATCACTGGCGTCAGACAATTACCTTTGGAGGCAAAAACAATTCCAGTCTATCCTTGCTCTAACAAAAACACTTACCAGAGATCCTATGCTCTATCTCATTAACAGAAAGACTTACCTACAGTTTCAGGGTCCACATCAATGTCCTTGATGATCTGAACAGTGGTGTCAGAGGTCAATAAGAATAAATTAGCAATATACACTGCAGCTGACTGAAGTCTAGCAGAGATCTCTGGTGATCCCAATGTACCTACATAACACAGGTAAGACACCTTGGTTATTGCTGTTATGATTGTTTTCCAATTGAACAATTACATGTACATTGAAATTCATGTGCATTCTGTTTTTACCAATGACAATGACAAATTTGTGCTCTGCAACTCGTCTAGCCGGTCCATAAGTTGAACTGTTTCTTCCAAGAAGATTCCTTTCATCGCAAAGTTTCCAGTTTCCTTGAAGAAGTTTAATATCAACATTTAAAAAAAACTTCTTCCACAGAAAATAAGCTACTACTGGTAACTAAAAATTATATAAAATAATATACACAACTTTGAATAATAAGGTACCTTTGGTTTGGCACAGGTTAACCTTGGAATGTTTTTCCTTTAGTACACCAATTTTATTACCATCTACCTACAACAGAATCATACAATTAGTAAACTTACACAATACTAAATACACATGTATTGGCATTTTTATGTCCACCAGTTTTGTGGGATGATGTTTAATGATTATGCATTCACCAACACTTTTGCTTGAATATATCTTTTTCTACAAGATATCTTAAGAAGATGTGAACAGATTTCATTTTTAGATCGTCTGAGTCACTCAGGTGACCTATTGCTATCCATTTTCGTCCATCGTGCATTAACATTTGAACGTTTTCAGCTTCTTCTCTGCAACAGTTGAAACATTTTCAATCAATTTTGGCATAGAATATCAATGAGTGAAGGGGAACAAAAATTTTGAATTTCATGGTCCCTGCCCCCAATGGGGCCTTAAAAGTGGGGCCAAAACCATCAAAATGAGTGCAATCTTTAAAAATCATCTTCTTTACTCCTGGATAAAAAGCAGTCAAACCGTTGGCATGATTGTAATAAGCATTGAGCCCTGTACCAAAATTGTGAATTCATGGCCCCACGGTAAGGGGTTCTGGAGTTAGGGTGGGGCTCTATTGATCATATAGTGAAAAAACATTAATTCTTTAAAAATCTTCTTCTCTCCCCCTGTATATAAAGCAGATAAACTAGGTGCATAGTTATGATGATCAAATGTGTCTCTTCCAAAATTCTGAAATTTGTGGCCCCAGGGCGAGAGGTTCTACGGGGGGGTCTATTGATTATAATAAAAGTGCATTATTTCTTTGAAAATCTTCTTCTTTGCTCCTAGGAATTTAGCAGATAAACCAAGTATAAAGTTATGATGAGCAAGGGCTCCTCTTAGAAAATTGTGAATATCTTGGCGGCTGGGTCAGGGATTCTGGTGTTAGGGCAGGGCTCTATTGATTATATAGTAAAATTGCATTAATTCTTTGAAAATCTTCTTCTCTGCCCCTGGGTATTTAGCAGATAAACCAAGTATATACTAGTTATGATGAGCAAGGGCAACTCTTCCAAAATTGTGAATATACCATAAAGTCACATGTGTTGGACCTACTTTTTTTTTGTCAGAAAATTGTTCAAAAGTAGGGGAGCATGTGTTACATAGGAACTAAATTCAACCCCCATTTTTTGGGATTCATCTTTTTTCTCAGGACTGACAATGTAGGTTTATTGCATGTAACTTCCCCATGTTTGAATGATTGTCACGTATGACATAGATCACCAGTAAATAAGTCAACAAACAGTTATAAAAATAAATATATCTATTTAGTTGATAATGTTTTGAAAAAAAAATACAGTGTCCACTGTCCAATCAGACAACTGTGCAATCCGGCACACTGGACTTTCCGACCTCATATTTTATTCCCCAAAAATTTCTTTATAATTTATATAGAATAAAACACTGTATATTCCGACCACTGTACATTCTGAATTCTGGTGCCTTTTTGTCAACAAAACTAGATAATTACATTATGATTTCACCTGGGTAATCCAATATAATTACACGGGTGTACTGTAATTAGCAGCTGGCCAGGTAACATGAATGTCCGTTTGGTCAATGAATGGTCTTCTTAGAGAGTAGTTAATTACATATATGAGTTGAAAGTGTTTATGTAAGCAATAAATGAACAGTTTTTGAATTTAAACATTCAGCAATCAATTCTCTTTGTTGTTAGCAATGTTATTCTTGCATTGACAAAATACCATCCACGTGACAGAAAATAAAGAGCGTACATGATATTTAGATCGTCTTACAGAAAATTTAAGATTTTTTAGCTTGAAATTAAAATCAAACATGCAGTTAGTGTCCTTCATAAAACCATGTCGTAAGAAAAAAAAATGAGCACGGCAAACTACTCTGTAACATGTAAACAGTATACAATTTGAAGGCAGCATCTTGTCTAACAGAAAACATTTCATTTAACATACACTGACTTAAGAGAGGTTGTGAACATAAAAGATTTGCCGAAAGCAAAAAATACTTCTTTAAGTTTTTTTTAAGTTGCCCATTAAATTTTAAAATATTACGTCTGTTAGATCAAAATTCAATCACAATCACAATGTTTTAGAGTTACATCCCGTTTGTATGAAAAGTCGCGTGACGGTATTAATAACACAGTCTATGTTAAAAAGAATCGGAGAGAAATGATATGTGCAAAAAATATTAATGCCACTGTGTAGAGAAGGTAGACGAAATGTTTACTTTAATATCTACTGTCATTAAACAAAATGCTTAAAATTAAACTGCAACGTTTTGAAGCGATCGGCAGTTCCATCTGTTTTGTGCATAGATACATTTACAAAGGTATATTTTATTCAACAAAGAACCAATCAATTATGCAAACATTTTGACAATGTGATACATGTGTACTCTAAACCTAATGAAAAATGATTTTTTTTTTTTTGTATGAAGTCATCTGACACTAATCAAAACATTAATCTGCTTAATAATATTCAACACTGGGTAATCTGACATAAAATTCACCTAATTTACATAAATTAGCATGAATTTGCATAAATTTCCCATAATTTGCATAAAATTCCCTTAATTTACATAAATTATTTTGATAATTTATGCAAATATATGCTAATTTATGTAAATTAGAGGAATTTTATGCAACTTCATGCTAATTTATGTAAATTAAGGGAATTTTATGCAAATCAATGAATATCTATGCTTATTTATGCATTTTTTGAATTTTATGTTAATTTTAGAAAATTTTATGAATTTATATAAATCCATGTAAATTTATGGTAATAAATGTTAATTTATGGAAATTTTTTCAAATCTATGTATATTCAAAGTAAACTGATGAAAATTTCTGTTTATTAATATTAGTATATGGTAATTTATGCAAATTTACAGCAAAATATGCTAATTTAATGTAAATCACTTTAGCTTTTATGGTAATTTACAGTGTTTTTTCCCTTATATAACTGGTACCGATAAATGGTACCATTCCCAATGCCAAAAAACGTTATTTTTTCCCAATCTTGAGACTAAAAATTCCCAATTCAACTGTCAAGCAACAGACTACGATGACATCATATTTTTTTTTAAAAACACATTGTACAAGTTGACTAATTGTTTCACTTCTGCTTAAATCAAAAATTGAGATTTCGTAACATGGTGGGACCTGTGGTGTAGACAGCATAGTGTCATACATTTTGACAAATTGAGAGCAGAAAATTGTGAAAACAAGGGACATTGATATGAAAAACAATAAATACTTGTTATTTATTCTTTAAAACACAGAGTAATATGTAATGAGGCTGGAATAAAGGCAAAATACGTTTCATTTGTTTAAATGATAGAAAATTCTCCTATGTTCTACTTCGATGCTATTTTTCCCAATTGAACCGGTACCGGACCCTTTCCCAATGAGTAGAAAAAAGTCGTTGATTTATGTAACTTATACTCCATATATTTCATGCAAATAACTAGATTCATGGTTATTATCAGGGTTCGACACTAACTTTTTTACCTTGGTGGACCGCAGGTCCACTTGTCAAAAATAATTGGTGGACCTTCTCAAATTCTGGTGGACCTTCATAAATGTTTGAATTAATGAATGAATTCATTATACAAGGCTTGAAACTAACTTATGTACCCAGTCCAGTCAGACTAATAAAGTATAAGTTTAACCAATCAACAGAAACAAATCAATTAGTCAGAAGTTTTTCAGCAATATTGTTAAACATATTTCCAATATTTAAAAAAAGAACGCAATCTACATCTTCAAACGAATTTGTTATTTTAATATCATTTATTTACAATGGTAAAAACCTGCATTTAATTCACTTCCAAAGGTAGGTAAAATTTTAAATCCTAATAAATTAACTAAGATATGATTAATATTCTTTCATATTACAATATACTTAAATATTATTTATATGTGATCATTCTGAAATAATTGTATATGCCCCCTGAGAGCCCTTGATTTTTGAGTAAACATATTTATTACATTTTCAACAGTAAAATACTGTAATTTATTTACTGAATAAAAGTGATATTCTGACACAGTGTGAAAGGATATCAAAATGGTATTCTCACAGTGTGAGAATATCAGAAGTGCGGCAAAACTTAACGATTTTCCTTCCCTTCACGAAGAGTGTTTTTAAAAAGAAATCCCTGGCCTGTTAAAAGATAGAGTTAATAAGCCATCCTGACAGAGATAATAGTTATACTGCCAGGTTTTCCACATATGTCATTAAAAATCCATCGTTAAAAATGTTTACAATGTTTTTCAATCTCGCAATCGCTTTACTAGACCTATATGACGTCTCAACCACTCAACTATGACGTTATAGCCTATGACACTGTTACGAAAAGACAGAGGCAAAGGGAAAATCTAAGAAAATGTAATAAAACAGAAAATTCAATGTTTTGTAGATGAATATGGAATTTATTTCACTCGTGAGACAGGATTTTTTTATATTTTCACTCGTGCTTTGCACTCTTAAAAATATCAAAAAATCCTGTCCCACTCGTGAAATAAATTCCATATTCATCTACAAAACATTGAATATCCTCTATATCTATAAACAAGTGAATTTTTCATGTATATATTGCTAGAACAATTTTTTACTATGATGCAAAACTGACAAAAGTATATGTATTTATTATTTTTTTATTATTATTATTTATTCAACTGTGATCATATGATTCTTTTAATATGTGATATAAAGTATAGCAGAAAAAAACCCCAGAAACTGCAACGTATTCATAAAATATAAATCACGCCTGTTTAAACATCTATAAAGAAAAATAAACACTGCATAAATGCAGCTGTCAATCAATTCTAATTATCTCCAAACCTGGCCATCAGTGTGCGTTCAGGCGTGAAGTGATTTCCTGTTACCTAGTGTAATTTTCACACCTTTCTGTGTATTAAGTAAAGAAAGGACAGACTGGCTAACTTGGCACGAATTTTACATGCTTCTTTTTCAAGGTCCGAGTCGAACGTTCTTGCGTCTCAATGTTATTGTATTCATCAACATTACATGTAAAATATATATAGTCGCTAAGTTCCCCTGCTTTAATACCTAAAACAAATTTTATATTTATTTTCTTGTAAAATACAAGTATGGATGAATTAAGCGTTTGATTACGGATGTCGATTTATAGAAAAAGAAAACCGAATTTTACTGCGTTTTTTAGACGGTGTTTAAATTTCAAATGGACCGACAGTCCACCTAGTCCAAAACATTTGGTGGACCTTCCAGTTTTTTGGTGGACTCGGGCAGCCGGTCCACTGTTAGTGTTGAACCCTGATTATGCAAAATTGTATGCTAATTATGTAAATTCATGTAAATTTATCTTAAGTTGTGCATGTGATTGTAAAACTATTGTAATCTATAATTCAAAATTATGCACAGTAAATGTAATCCAGATTTATTTAAATTTCATGCAAATGTTTGTTAATTCACGTAAAATAATAGTAAGTTGTGCATGTGATTGTAAAATTTAGGTATAAATCAAAGACATAATAGTTCAAATAGCATATTATGATAATGTACGCTAATTCATCTTAATTCACGCAAATTTTTTTGTAATCATTGCTAATTTATGGGAATTCATCCAGATTAAAACTTCAGTGCATAATATACATTTTAAATCAGTCTCAAATGTAAATATAAGTAATAAGGAATCATTTTAAACTTTTATAGGGATGTAAATATGGGTTGGCGATGTGATCAAATCTACCATCTACCATAAAGCCCTTCAGGCTCTATGGGATTTGTTCACATGACCAACCCATACTTAAATCACGATAAAAGTTTTAAAATGATACCTTATTCCTTAAATAACTTGGGTAGCTATTAAATTCATTCCTTATAGTTTAATTTTCTATCATTAAGTGTAAAAATAAGACAATTTTCTCTTCAAAAATGCCTTCATATTCTAAAAATTTTAAATCTAACATCAAGTAGATTGATAAATTTTTAAAGCATTATTAAGTCATTGTGATGTATGCAACACATATTATACAATATAAGTGAGTTTTTCTACACAATCAAATGGCACTTCACAACCAGAATTAAATTATTATATGTTCTTCATTATGCAAGGCCAACTTTTTTTTATATTCTGTTTTATGGGAGCGCCGTAATGGGAGTCCCTAATTCAAGTTTTATTTTTATTTCTCCCGCCGATAGTGTGATAGTTTATTTGTAGTCACTGAAAAAAAATAAACTTTTCACAAGCCTTTCAAAATGTGATTTGTCATTGGTTGAGGTAAATATATTCATCCAATCACAGTATTCAAAGTGTGATTAGTCACTGCACAACATAGTGCCAAAATGTCAGAATCGGAGGGTTTCATATATCAATGTCATATATCAGAAAAAGAATAAATTTCAGATTAACTTTTAATGTATGATTGAATGAAATAGACGAAACAGTAATCTTGATCAAATGTCATGCAGAGGGCCACGTGGAAATTGAGGTACTGTCAACCGCTTGTTTTGAAAGGTTTTGAGTACTTATTATCTTTGACAATTGTTTCAATACATTGAAATATGTCTTGAAGATTTTTCTGAAACTTAATTTTAAGACAATAATGTTTTCTTTTACAATTAACAACAGAACAGAACACCGTAGAACTGGTAGAAAGTGGCATGACTGAGGAAATTTGAGTCAGAACTTTCACTTGTTTTATGACAAATATTGGACTTCAAAATTACCTACGAAAATATATGCTTAATTGATACAAGACATTTCCTTTTTTATCATTTTATGGAATTTTGCTATGTAACAAATTAATGTACATCAGCTATTAAGAGCCATTCTCTGTAACAACTTGAACTTTTGTATAGGAGCTGTGGCACGCATAGTCTCAGAATTTCATCAAATTCTCTATTATGAAAGTCTTTGATACCGTAAACTCAAATCAGGCAAAAATTGGTTGCTACGTGTCATGGTTACCATAGCAACATGTCCTAAAGTTTGAAAAATGGCATTTTTCAACATGTTCACAGTCCCACAATTAACGTTTGCAGCAAAGCAAACAAGTGGCAATGACAGTTTCTGAAAGTTGGAGTCCTGGTGTCTTAAATGCATGATAAACATGTTTGGTATTATTAGCTATTACATATGTTACTATGGAATCAAAGTTTCAAGAGTAATAATTTTGTTCATTTAATTTTATAAAGTCATACACTTTAGAATAAAAACAAATATAGGTTGAAATGCAAGCAAATAATAGACAAAAGATCCTTGTAACATATACCAAGGACGAAAAATGATATTACTTATAGGTTGGCAATGGTTGCCATGGTTTTAACACCACGAAGGGATTTTAAATTTACTCTCTTAGTGTTTTAATCTTATCATATCTTTTTAAAAAGCATATTTCTATATAACTGATGATCAATTTTTAAAGGCGTTGGTGTGACCCTAATTTTCACATTTCAAAAAATTCAAATTCAACTCTTTAAATAGAGCGTTGCTATGGAAATTAGCCGAAAAAATATGCATAAAATTCTGAAAAATATTCTGTTTCCTTGGGTACATGCCCTTGTATGCAGATTCCCAAAACTTTTATGATTGATATTTATGTACAACTAACCTGACTTCAATTTAGACTACCACCCTCTAACAGGATGCAAAAAGCTGGCACCTAGGGTTTAATATTGACATAAAATTAACAAAATCGAACATCTTTCCTTCTTGGTAACCATAGCAACAGTGTTGTATTTTTCAACAAACTTTATCAATATATGATATTCAACTTTAGTTCTACCAGATAGTTCTACCAGATAAGTACTATTCAAGGTGAGTCAAATAATATGTTTCTTGATTAAAAGGTAAGTAAATTCCTAAGGCAGCAAAAAAATATCACTTTAAACAACTGGTACGTTGTTTCCATGGTTACACTGCAAAGTAACAACTAATCCCAATTTTTCTTATGTTGTCGATGTTGCAAGGTCTTAAGGATTTATATGTGTCAGTCATGAATTTTATTGTTTTTCCTCAAGATAGTAGCATTAACCCAATCTTAGCATGGTTACACTGTGTTACCATGGCAACCATGAAAGTTATTTTTAGAATAATATTGCCAATACCTAATTATTTAAGGTCAAATATTTTTATTGTTTTTCTTCGATTGTTGATTGAGTTTGATCATGTAACACTTATCATTAGTGAATATTGAGCTTTTTTCGGCATTTTTCAGCATCTAAAATGTATTCCAAATGTACCCATGGTTACCACTTACTTAGAGATAAATTCTAAAAGTTTCTTTATAGCATAAGTGGCAACAAGTTGTCATGTTTTTGTGAACATGGTTTGTTTGTTTCTCTTAGTCTTTATTAAGGCTTAATAAAGATTCAAAGTAGCTGAAAATTTCAATTTTCCGACTTTTCTGGCTGTTATGACAACCAAGACACATAGCAACGAAATTTTATTTGATATATGTTTCTGGTGTCAAGTTGTAATAATGGGCAAAATTTCATAAAAATCGGTGACCATGCGTGGCAAAAAAGTTTAAGTGGTTACAGAGAATCGCTATTAATAACAGCTGATATAGTGTATATCTATCTCTTGTTTAGTAAAACAACTTTTTTACCACTAGGGAAAAGTATTGTTGTAAATGATACACTCTTACAAATATTATTTAAATTCAAGATCTGGTTTCTTTTTTTTTCACTCAAAAGTTGTGGATTAGAACCAGTTTCAACAATTAAATTTTTGAATTCTGTAAACTGCAGTAAACAGAATATTGTCATGTGTATTTTACATGTGTATACTATAGGAAAGATGTACATATTTTCTACAATTGTGTTGAAATTTAGTATGCTCAGAAAGAAAATATAAGGATAAAAAGAGATCATATATACTACAGATTGAGGGAGTTTGAATATGTTTTCAGTAGAGAGATTGGGGTACTTTTTTTCCACCTACGTATATATTAATTTGAATTGCGTTGAAAAAAATATTATACAACTTTTCATTTATCATGTCTAGTGTGCACTTCTGTGAATTATAATTTATTTTAGCTGATCCATTGAATGTCTCACTGTATTTTTGCCATAACTTTGCCAGAGCTAGTCCGAAACCCCCAGATCTTGTAATTTGCTGAATACCGAAAAATAAAAGATTCTGAAAAGTTTATGAGAGATGTGACATAAGTCCTTTAAGTTTTACTGTGGTGACACTATGATATTTGACAACTGAGAGAAGACTACAGATTTGTATGTTTGATTTGCATTGATGTTAGAATTGATGTTAGAAACTGCAAGCTGTTAATACTAGAAATGCACCCCCTGTCCCAAATATCTAAAAGAAAGTTGAATTTAAAATAGTTCATTGATACATTAACAGTACCAGTTTTGTATACATAAGTTTTTTCAAATAACACTTTTTTCTTACAAATTAAGGTCATAGAAAAAAATTCCATCCTTAATTGAAAATAAAAATTTTGATTGTGTTTTTTCATTTTATTTTTATTTTTCTGACCGACTGCTTAAATTTCGAGCTTTTATTTTTATTTTGATCCCCCGACTCAAATTTTTGAAAAAAAATCCCGTAAAACAGAAAGTAAAAAAATGTTGGCCCAATGTAGCATGAATCAGGATTGAACAATAGGCATAAATGCCATTAACCGTTCTATCCTTTTATGACAAATATGGAAGCCCATTGGTGGAAAAACCTAACCTGGAACAACATACAGAGTAATAAAGCATTGAATGCTTCTACCTCATATTACAATTAAGCAACTTTATTCCAAAGATGATTTAATTAAGTGAAATAATAATGACATATAATAAAGTACCTACTTTTAATACTTTCTGTTTGAAATTAGTTTTCCTGTTTGGTGGTTCTTGAATGCTAAATCTTGCAACATTCACAGTTTCCAAATCAAAAAGGTCCTTAGAAATGCTACCCTGAAATTAAATCATGCTGGAATCAGATTGAACCATTTCAGAACAATTAAAGATTATTTATCATTTATCTTTTGAACAAATCAGCCATAGACAACCATTATTTGAAATAAAAATCATTTTCTGTGCTGATACATAATTGTTATGTAGCCCGCTTGGCACAGTGGTTAGATAGTTTGCTCTAGATTTGCGGAGTAAGGAGTTGATCCTTACGTCACAGGTTTAATCTATTATGTGACGTGGAGGCTAGTCCTTCGGATGAGATTGTATAAACCGAGGTCCGGCATCGCAGTAGCTGCTAGCACAAAAAATATTCCTCACTGCTCAAAGGCCATAAGCTGAGTACAGGCCTAAATTTGCAATCCTCCATTGGCAAGTGATGGCGTCTCAATATGAGTGAAAAATTCTCAAACGGACGTTTAAAAAACAAACAAACATAGTTGTTGCTCCTCATATGCGTTATCTTATTGAAAAGAATATATTCCTTTTTTGAGAGAGAGAAGTTTACGTGTTTTGGTATATACCGGTATACAGTTTACACAAGTGGGTATACAGTAAATGCACTAGCAAACTGATGATCACAAAAATATCAGTACTATTGTAACATTGGAAAGAGGATTATTACCCTAATTTTGCTGGTTCTCATTGGAACAATCTGTTGTAAAATCTGCACTCCATTAAGCCCATCACCAAGGGCAGGGTTGTAAGTTACCAAGGTGAAGTTTCTAATATCCTCTCTGGTGTACATGTTGACTTTCCCTTCACTACAGTCTCTCTCTCCATCTACCAACTGACAATGTGACTGTTCTTCAGCAAATCTGGCATTAGTGAAGTCTCGAATCTGCTGGTCATTAACCACACCCCCATCGTTTGTCTCCCTGAAGTAATTACAGCATGCTTCATTAAAAGAAACTAATAGTCCAATAACAATGAAGCTCTTCCATTTCAATTTATGACAGTGTAAAAGTAGCTCTTGGACTTGTACCAATTTCTTGTTAAGTTTACATTTACAAGAATTATGTATCTTGATTGTTTACTCAACTTTTACCAAGTTTTATTCAAACCACACCAAAAGTGTAGGAGGATTAGCATTTGAAAATCAAAATTTAAACAAGTACTCTGTTTTTGTAACTTAGGCAACACCATGGAAATTAAATACAATAAACAGAATAATATACATTGACAAAGTCTACTTGCATATTCAGTTTCATTGAAATCAGATAAAAATTGTAAGAGATGTAACAATCTGAAAAATGGTTAAAAGTGGAACTTTACCAATGCATCAGCTCTTTTGGTCCTTGACCAGTGAAGCTAAAAAAGAGGCCTTAAGAGCTCAACGAATAATTTCAAACAAGTATAAATATATAATTTTTTCAAATTGACTTACTTTGTATCCCACCACCAGTGCTCTTTGCCAGTGACTTCCACATAAGTTACATTGGCCTTTATTTCTTTCATTAGACGATGCATTCTGCGCACAAAAAATGGATGGACTGTCCTGTCATCAGCGCCAATTCTTGCCAAAATGGGGACATCCTGCATCAAATAGAGAATTCATGTAAGCAATTTTTACAATTCGAACTGAAAGCAAGTATTAACAAGTATGGTACAAGTCTTGTTTTAATTTTTTGAAACCAGGAGTCTAATGAGACTATAACTCTACTGTCAGATTTGCACTTATTGTATCAGAAGAGAAATGCTTAACACCTTTATTTACAGAATTATGCATCTTGACGTTTTTTAAACTTGACCAAGTTTTCTTGCCAACAAATCAAAACTTAACATGCTGTAGGAGCTAGGAGTAGCATTTTGAAAGGATTTTTCAGATTAGTGAATTTTTGATACCATGGCAACACCATTCATCAAATTAAAAAAATCAGCATAATGTATCTTCGTGTAGTCTATTTGTGTACCAAAATTAATTGACAACAGCATAACTGTAATGGGGGGGGGGGTAGCATTGTGAAAAAAAAATATCACATATCATATATTTATTCAGCATTAATGGAAATCAAATGCCAATTTAGAGAGAATAATATCTTGAATTAGCCTACTTGCACACTAAGTTTTTGTGAGATCAGACTACATCTGTAGGACTAGAAGTGTTTTGAAAGAAAATCAAACATTATTTTAGTTTCAGTAACCAAGGCAACTTGGTTTATCAAAATAAAACAAAATTCAGGTAGAGAATTATGCATCTTCGTGTAGTCCACTTTTGTCTCATTTTATTGAAATCAGCAACATCATTTATAAAAATCAGAAACCAATCAATCTAATTATGTCCCTTTGAGTACCGTATTTGGCCGAATATAATATGCATTGGTGTAAAATACGCACCCCCCTTTTTGAGCCTGAAACTGGGGGAAAAAACGCAGTTCGGTTGTATTATACGCAGCAGAAAATTTTACCAAGCGGTGTTCTGAACTTCTGAAAATCGCGGTAATTTGCTATCAAAATCGGCGCGGAGATAAAGTCCCGAAAATTTACAGAACACGATATTTTATTCAAATGCGTTTTTATTTCTTAATCTTGACTTTCCAATATCGCGGCAATCTGGAGAAATTATTTATTTTAACAAAGCACGAGATAATGTTGCATTAAAGTATTAACAGAGTTTATTATTATTTTTTTTAGCATACGGTGATATTGAAACTATACGTCGCCGTATTCTAACTTTTCTTTGTAGAAATAATTTTATTTCAACAAAGCACGAGATATTGTTGCAAGTTTAACAGTTGTCATATTTATTTTTAGTTTAAGGTAATCATGTTGAAAATTACGTAAATTTAACAGGGCAAGCGATATTGCAACATCAAAGTATTCATAGACTACGATTTTCCTCTTTTGAACTTGTTATTTTTTAATTAATTAAATAAATAGCTGATGTTATAAAAATAAAATCAAATGGTCCATTTGTGTACTATTTATCACTGAAATAAGTCAAAAACTGGAGGAGCTGCATTTTGAAAGAATTTCACACATTATTCTATTTTTAGCAACCTTAGCAATAAAAAAATTGATAATCAGAATTATGTATCATGGGTTAGTTGACTATTATTGTTCAAAATTTATTGAACTGGCTCAAAACTGTAAGAGTAGCATCATAAAAAATTATTTATAGACATACAAATAATTTACACTTTAGGAATGCATTTAAACTCTTCTGGTCTCCTCAAATTTTTAAAGCAATATCCATAAATACTGAACACAATGCAGATGTGACACATTTTACATGCATTGTTTACCAAGACTGTGTCCTTCAAAAGGCATGAAAATGTAACTTACAATTTGACCACCATTACACCTATTGATTGGAAAAGTACTTTATCTTACTTACTTTGATGTTGGTGATGTGTCTGTCTACATCATTTTCTGCTATACAAGCCTCCAGTATAAACTTAATGGCAGGATCCACATGACTCGCTGAGATGTCATGTCTATAAAATTCACCAATCTTTTATCGATCTGATTCAGTAAGATGCTCTTATTGACAAAAAATTAAGGAAGATCAATCCTCGTTTCGTTAAAAGGAAATTTTTTCTGCAATTCAAGACAATTCTTTTTTACACAAAAAAGACAGAATTTGATTCCATAAAATTTAGTATATCATGCAGTGTACAAATTCTTATAGAAATTATTAGTAAAGATGAAAATTTTATGAAAAAAAACTTAATAATTTATTATCTGGATTAATTCTTTATTCAAACAATAAAAACTTTCACTGGATACCTAAAGAAAAGATTACTGTCTCCATACTCTTCCTTCTTTATCCAGCCTGCCAAGGTGACCAGACCAAGGCTGCGGTCAGGGTAGTGGGAAGCCAGGTGCCACGCTCCATGTCCACCCATGGAGTGACCTGAGACAGAAATTTTATATATCACTTAGTCTAGTATAAGATAATTCAACAGAGTTCATTTGGTATATATGACAATTTGGAAAATTAAAGTAATCATTCAAAATATAAATTATGATTTAAATACTCATCAAGTTCTGGGAAACTAAGGAGGAGAAAAGTAGCACTAGAATTAAAACTATGCATGAGCAATACACAGAATAATGATCCTTTGTAAAGTTTCTTTTTGTGACAAGATTTATTGCAATCAGTCTAAAACTGTACAGAGAGTAGCCTTTTGCAAGAATTTAACAGAAATTTCTATTTTTAGTAACCATGGCAACACCGTTCATTGAAATCAAAAACAGATAAAAAGAAATATGTATCTTAGTGTAATCTACTTGTGTGCTGAGTTACTTTGAAATCAGACCAAAACTGTAGGAGGAGTAGTATTTCGAAAGTATTTCACAGAAATATCAGTCTATTTTTAGTTACCATGGCAACACTGTTCACTGAAATCAAAAACTGATATACAGAATTATGTATCTTAGTGTATCTACTTGTTGCAAAGTAATATTGAAATCAGACCAAAACTGTAGGAGGAGGAGTGTGCTGAATGTATTTCAAAGAAATTTCAATTTTAAGTAACCATGGCAACAACATTCATCAAAATCAAAAACAGATAAGTAGAATTAAGCATCTTAGTATAGTCTACTTGTGTGCCAAGTAATATTGAAATCAGACCAAAACTGTATGAGGAGTAGCATTTTTAAAAAATTGTTTACAGACAGACAAACGGACAGACAGACCGATACACAGTCAGATGGACAGACGGTGGACACCTTACTATGGCATAAGCTCTTCTGGTCTCTGACCAGTAGAACTAAAATAGGGAAAAAAGGTCAATTGCTTTCTCCAAGAACATGATTTACCAGCATAGATAACTCTATTTGGATCAATTTTCTGTGATATCCAGTTATGTCTCTTGATCAGGTCACCCAAAGAAAAGAGTGCCGAGAGGGCAGTAAGGGCACCCGGTCCTTCCCAGTTATGTGCACCATGTCTAAAAAAGGGGAAAAGAATGCTTGTCATTGATTCTAATTGAATTTACAAATATATATCTATACAGTTATATATTCCTTGAAAGTCAAACCTTTTTTTTATTAATCATTTCATTATTTCATTTGCAGATTATTTGAAATGGTACATTGATGACATCTACTTCAAATTATCAAGAAATCATAACTGATTTGAAACAAAACATTATAATTCAACTGAGTTACAATTCATAAAGCAAAAAAATAAAATTACAAAATTACAAACAAATCCTACCTGGTTGGAGCCAGCAGCCAAGCTCTGTCAACCCCGAAGATGTATTCACCATTTTCCATCCTTTTGTAGCTGTCTGCCTGATTTTGGGGAGGGACAGTTGTCCCATGCAGTGTAAGCAAAACAGGACATAGCTTACTATCACATTGCTTGATGGGTTCCACAGCAGCTGCTTGCTGAATAGACCCATCATGGTCCAAAAAAGTGAACAGAAATGATTGGCCAGACTTCCTACATCTTAGCCGTAGTGGTAACGAATATACTCCTTCAGAAGTAATAATTTTTAATGTCAAATGAAACTGTTCACAATCTTTTGAGCTGATGTTATTTTCTATGTTAAACTTTACTGGAATGTGAGCAGTCTGTCCTGGTGCTATATTGAAAGGATTCTCCAGAGCCACTTCAACTTGTGCACTACTGATTTTGGTCACCTTGACCCACTTGGAATGATGATAATTAGATATTGGAATAGATATATATTTACTAAATAAGTACCCATTTATTATATCGGGTAAGAACTGTGGTTCTAAAACTCTAACTGGACTTGAATCTACTTGAAATGTGCACTTCTTGGTTGCAGTCACCTTTGTTCTTAAATGTATGTACACTGTATGGACACCCCTTGATAGATGAACACCGAACCAGAACTTTTCTCTGTGATATACATCACTAGCAACAGGCACATCATCAATGTAAACAGTATGTATGCCTAAACATTGGATAAGTACATTCTGGTCCCTCTCATTTATATAAAGTTCCCCTAACAACCAACCTTGCCATTCCGTTATTCCTACTGATCCAAGAGAATTAATCAAATCATTCCACTGAACTGTAGGAGAAATCTGAATTCCATTATCACCAGAGTTTTGCTTGAAAGTTTTCCATTCTATAACAGCGTCTTTGACAAGCTCCGAATAAAAATGTTCACCTTTTCTGTATCTGTATTTTGAAACATTCCTTATTCCACCATATGCCTCCAATGGATCACCATCCCATTCTATTTTTCCTATCACAAAAGGGCCAATAAAACTCCAGTCATCAATGTACGTGTTTAAAGGCCCTTTCAGTTTAGATGCTAACTTAAAGCAAAAGGATGCTTGTGTTGTTTTTGAGTCTCTTTCATATAAATCTCCCAATATTGTCCATTTTTTCCAGTCTTTTGGATTTTCTAACAGTGCATCAATATAACATGGAAGGACTTTTGTTGCCTACAATTTATAACAAATTACATTTAAAAAAATTAAAATCTTGATTACAAAAATAAAATGCTTTACGGTACTTGTTCACATTTCTAGAACAAGAGTTAAACTCAAATACACTTGGAAATTGATTTCCTGAGGAGTCATGTTTTGTGAGTATTTTTATATTAGCCCAGCAGTCCACAAATGGCTTTAAATATTTCCTTATAAGGGCTCTCTTTCAAACTGGGCCCATGAAATCATATTCAAATAAATTTAAAATTTCAACAATCAATGAAATTAACCCCAATAAAAATTAATGATTATAGAGTAAGACATAAATTTAGTGTAACTAGTGACTCTTAAGAAAATAAACTGAAACCTTGTCTGTAAGTCGTTGATTGTCCAAAGTCCTTAATGTAATTTTCTTTAGAGAACATATTATTTTCTCTGTTACAAGTTTCTTCTTCTCCTTTTCAAGAAATTCTCGGCCACTCTGTAGATAAAACAAAAATAATAAATATATTGCATTCATCATTGTACATGATGATAAAATATTAAGGATATCTGCTCCTCAACCATGAAGGAATGGTAACTCTTAAAATTTTTATTTAATTCAAAAAGTCTCAAAATGGAGCTTGAAATTGAAATCTTTTCTTGCAACAATTTTCATTTTATGCATTTTAGTCATTGTCGGATACCCATGGGTGATCTCGTCTTTTACTTGTAAAAGACAAGATCACCCGTGGGTATCCGACAATGCATTTCAGAATGATTCAGGATTCTTTGAAGTCTTAGGAAAGGTCAGGTAAAATGTTGACACTTTCACCCCATATAAATACAAAAAAGAAATATTTTTATAGAGAAATCAATTTTCCTTCATCTAGCCTTATATACCAATGCTTATTGGCATGATATGAAATTAAAAGTGATCTGTGATATCTTGCAATGATAGCACAAGCTTTTCACATTGTGTATGATATTGAAGTACTTAGTAAGCAGAATTGAAATATCAGCTACACAACATGCTTTCTCTCTGAATGCCTATAATTTAGGGCTGTGTATTGAGCAAAAAATTTCAATACCATATGATACAATATTTTATAAAGTGATGCGTGATATATTGATACTTTAACAAGTCTATCAAAAAACTATTGTAAATCATTTAATGCATAAAATTTATAAAAAATGAGAGTTTTATAAAACCATTTCAAAGTTCTTGTCTTACTGTCATTCCAAAATACACATCAAATTCAAACTTTTAATGACTGTAAAACCAACATGTATAAAAAAAAAGTTATCTATGCATTTTATAATAATTATTCAAGGTCTCCTATCTCCTTAATGTTTATATCATTACTGATCTGTTTTAATTCAAAACCGTCGAATATAATCTTTTGTGATTGAAATTCCTAACTTTTTCACAGAAAAACTGACTGCCCGATACGTATTGGAAGTTATTTCTTCGATATGATACATTTGTGAATATCGATACATATCGATATATCAATATATTGATACAGCCCTAGCCTATATACTATAGTTTTTTATCCAAAATATATGTGTTTATCAATTTTCAGTTAGAAAATACATAGCTAGTGCCTTTATTCACATTTCCTGAAATATATATTTGAGATTTGATAATTTCCCCTCTATATAGTATGACTAACTGTAACGATGAACTTTGAAGATATATTATGGGTAAATACACTTTACAGAGTTGGCTGACTTTACTTTGTGAAATCAGAAAAATTTTTGTGAGCATTTTCAAATACCTAACTGCTGATTTTCAAAACCTGAGTATCGGACTATCTTCGGCTTAAATTTCCTATGAGGAAATTTTGACTTACTGTCTCAAAAAAATTTGGATGTCACAGCAGGAATACACTTCCAGTGTCTTTCTTTTTTTATTTAAATGGTGCTTATATATTCTTATGGTAAGTACATGTAGGTAATAGTGCATCATACAAGCTTAATATAAAAGTATATTGAGAACTATATCAGGGTTCTTCCAAGTGGCATTCCTAGTACATGCACTAGCTCTGAGTACATGATAATTATAACACTCAAAGAACTATATTTTCTCTTTTTATTTATTTTTAATTATTAATTTAAAATAACTATAATCACCCATCTCAGTTCTGCTTACATTCAAGAAACCTCACAATAAAAATTAGTTTAAGCAAAATTTCTGATTCTGAGAATAAGTTGACAACACTTTTATGTTTTGAAGGCCACTTACCTAGTGCAGTATGCATAGATAGAACATTCTGTCTTAAAATGACATTGTCCTACAGACCTGGTTTAACAACAGAATTCATTCCATGTGTTGGCAAATTCTAGCAAAATGAAGAGGGGCAAATAATTTTGATCTATGTGTATACAGGGCTGTCACAGTTCCAAAAATGTTTGGGTCGGGTCGGTTCAGTAAATTTTCTGTTTGGTTTCAGGTTTTTCAGTTCGGTTACAGACATCTATTTTAAACTTTAATATCATAAATTAAAATTGAAAAATATTTGCTACATTGAATTCACCTTAAAAACAAGTCTTGACTATGTTAATATCTTGAAATTGGTGTTTAGGACTACTTGGCCAACTGTTAACAACAACATGAAATTGTTTGGAAAATTATCCCATGATTTCATAACAAGTGTTTTGTCATGGATGAAGTAGATTACAGTTGTGATGTTTATTTATCACTGTTATCATCGTCATTCTTTTGATTTTGATGCCATTTTTTGCATAAAACAGATTCTAATAATTAACAGACAAAACTCGAACCAAAATTCAGAAAATGGAACTGAAACCGATTTGAACAACTTGGACCGCAGTTTTTGGTTATTTTGGGGAACCTTAACAGCCCAATGTGTATACTACGAACAATTCAGACAGTTCCAAATGTCAACATGGCATGTAAGCTGGAAGTAAGAAAAAATAGTTTAGAAAATTAGTTTTTTTTTCTTTATATGGATTACTGTATGGAGTAGAAGGCATCAACAAGCTCACATAAGGTTTGTAATGATTAATTTGGGGAGTTATTTTCAGTGCAACACTGCAACACCTTTTTAGTTCTCGAAAATCGTACAAGAGTGGATCCGCTCCGTTTTGCAACATTTCAACTTTATGGAATGTATTCTAACTGTGGTGAGAGGCAGAGACACCAGTTAGATTATTCTATTTCTAACTATCAGTGTTCAGTGCACACGAGGGAAATAAATTTAGTTTGATATCTTTTTTTTTTACCTTTTCATTTTTTGCTGCAAGACATAATCCTATTAAGATGAACACGTATACTGTATAGCTTGCCATGTGAGTTTATCAGTGTCAACAACCATTCAACGTGTACTTTCACTATCAAGCAGACGTCTTTTTGGCGTAGTGGATGCATGGTAGCTCGTACTTTGTATAATATTTCGAATGATGTGTGTTTAATTCTAAATTATCTAAATGTATTTTAAAATATAAATAAATAATGCAAGTCTTATTGAAAACAGACTGAATAATTAAACATAACTTATTATTATTTTCTATTCGAAAAAAAGAGATCACGAATACTTTAAGAACGTCTTTAAACTTTATATTCCTTGTCTTGGTTTCAGAAACGTTTTACAAAAGGCATTTTTTGATTTGTAAGATTTTGAGACGAATGACCCTGAACATCATACGATCGGCTTCCAAGCAAACAACATCTAAACTTTGGAATATTGGACTTGGACGTGTATTTTTGTGCAAATCATCCATTATGTCAGGACAGTCCAGGAATTCCTGGATAAAGAAAGGTAAACATATACCCCGACATACAGGGAACAACACTTGCCCTTTAACCGACAATTTGCAGACAACACCCAACTTTTTCCAGTTTTTTCTGTCATGATTTTTATGAAAATCTGTACAGTGGTTGGAGATGTCTGGAATTAAGATCGTTTGGTTAAGATAATGTTTGACGGTGCGACTATTGGGACCAGCATAGATGTGTACTTAGTATGTTCAACGGTGAAACCGTTAGGACAGGGACCTATATACTAACAGGTCTAGGAAAATCACTATATTTAGCTATATAGCTAAATCTACCTATATAGCTTTATTTACCTATATAATATAGCTTTATTTAGCTATTTCAGAGTAAATTTCTGTTTTATGAAAAGCAGACAAAAAGTCGCATAATGAGGCAGTATTAGTTTTCAACTTTGAAATGGACTGAAAACAATTCACCAAAAACCCACTTTTAAAAATGTTTCTCCTTTTGTGCAATTGCAATCAAAGATCTAAAAGTTTTGGGGCTATGTATAACAGTTAATCTGTGAATAAGCAGCTACTTTAACAAAGAAAAGCAGTTTTGGTCAACAAGATAATTGATTGGTAATAATTCAGCACAATGCAAGGCAATCACACTTAGTCATGCCTCATCGCACTTCCAGTAATGGACAGCTATCCAAACAATAGAGATGCATTTTTTGGTTAAAAAGTGTTTAAAAGAGACAATGTTTTTACTATCTATGCCCTAGGTTGTTTTTATCAAACCTTTTTAATAAAATATCAGCCATAATTTTCATGCGACTTTTTTTTTGCTTTTCATTAAACAAAAACTTATTCTAAAATAGCTAAATAAAGCTATATTATATAGGTAAATAAAGCTATATAGCTAAATTAAGCTATATAGCTAAATATAGTGATTTTCCTGGACCTGACTAAGTATACAAGTCCCTGGTTAGGACGAGCACAATTTCATCTTCTGTAACAATCAATTATTCTACAAATCTTTATACACCTCTCAAATGTTGTTTTTGCCTTCTTTTTATTACTTTTTTTAGTAAACCCCTTTAGCACCCCTGAGTATTGTAAGTTCATCCTTCTTTTAAAGAATATCTATAACAAATAGAAATATTCTCAAACTTTACAGACTCGCCATGCATTGGGTTAAAGATTCCGAAGTTCTCATATTTTTCCTTACAAAATCATTAATACCTGAGCCATTTAAATGACAAAATGTGAAGGAAGTTTGGTTAATTGTCTGCACTTGGTGAAAATCACGATATAATCAAGTGAAATTGTATATACAAGCAGTAATTATGCTTCCTAGATAAAACAGAAGATTCAAAAGTGTGAAAAACTGCTACCACGTGTTTATAGCTATTGGGATTTGGCATGCCGCATTGCGACACTATGGTCATATATCCCTTTTTTAAAAAAAAAATAGAAATAGGTTCAAGAAAATGTTTTTACTGGATAAACTTTATGAAATTACAGGAAGTTTTTGATTCAACATGTTTTGGACAAATTCTGACATATAAAATCTCTGATTTTCGAAGACCCCCAAATTCTCTCACTAATAAGGGTGCGACCAGTCATTAGTCTATGGATGCACAGTTTTTACCAATATTGCATCCCAAATAATTTTCCTGCATCTTTTATGCAGATTCTTGCATTAATGTGACCCTGACATCATACGATATTGTATGTTAGTTGTAATTTCCACAATGGAGTCTTAAAAGCACAGATACTTGACATTATTCATTTTTCTTATCACAAAAAATATTACCCCTACCTAATAAGTTAAGGGGTTAAATTTTTTTATGATATGAAAAATATTTAAAACATCAAGACTTGGTGTACTCTATTAGGTATCTGCAATTTCAATGAAAGCAAGGCAAGTTTCTATTTAATAGGCTTTTTATTTGGTTGTTGCAAGAATGTAGTTTGGGCAGCCATGTGCAGTTTGCGGTGGATTGTGGGCAGCGAGGTTATTGTGAAAAAAATTGCTTAAATCAATGTGCAACAGTTTCTCTTTGCCCACTCCTCACTTTAAGAGCTTGCATTGTTGCATTCAGTGCCATTTACTGCACTTATTAATTATTAATTCAAATTATGCTTTCCTATGACCCAGATGAAAAGCTTACAGTTTTTTAAAAATTTGAATAATAAAAGCTATAAATTGCATAATTTTCTTTCATCCCACCCTCATGGATGATTTTTATTTCTTTTTCAAAACAGGAGATTATCTGATTTATTTGTGGCATATTGCAACAATGATGCCTATTTATTAGGGATGGCAACGAATATTCGAACATTCGAATATTCATTCGATGAGTTGATATTTGAATATGAATTTAAGATTCGAATATTCTGTGTTTTTCAGATTTCATAAAAAGAAGTACTGTGATTGATAAATTTTGGTTAGAACAGTGCTGGAATTATCCCTGTTTGATTTACTAGCGATCAATTTCGATCGCCTGATTTCTTTCACTACTTTCTTATCTTTTAGATTTACTAAATTACATGTATATTGTTTTGAGTAAGGTGTTAAAGAATTGTACAAAAATGTTTTATGTATAATACAAAACGTACTTTCACAGTTTTTATTTGTTAGATACGATCGGATCTAGAATGGAGGACAAAAATGAAATCTAAGAATGTCTAAAATGCGTAAAGAGTATACTTATCAAAATAAAATTAATTGATCATTGAATGAATGTCCGATAGAATTAATCTGTAATTAATATTGTAAAGGGCCTAATTTCAGAATAAATGTGTAAATTACTTGATTATCTCGGGTTGTACATAATCCTGAATTTTATATTCATTATCGGGAAATTAGTTAATTATCTAGGAAAATTGTCTATGGAAATATTTGTTTACATTATATCAAAGATTATAATCATATCTCTTTTTAGGCAGATAATTGTACATTATTACACTTATTGAAATCTGAACAGTTTACCGTTACGACTATCTTGCCTTTTGTAAGATGACTGCTTCCTCAGTTGGAGCTACTATAGATACACATTTCATTAGTTAAAATTATACTTTTCTACTTTTAAATCAATTATTTATTTCAAACATTGACAAATATCAAATGGAATTTCTTATTGTACACCTACAAATGTCTTCATTCAATTTTACTTCCAATATAAGTATACCTACGCTAAACCTTTCATGAGAGTAGGATGATGCATATTCAAAATAAAACAGATTTATTTATTTTATTGAATATTCGAATATATTCGAAAACATTCATTGAATATTCGATTATGAATTATTGACAAAATTGATATCCCTACTATTTATACATTTTATTTTATTTTATGCAGCTTAGCATTCCTTTGTAACATTTATTATTTTTTTAGATGACCCAAAACTTGTTTCTGGGAAGCAAAAAGATATTTTTGAGGACATTCTCGAGGACCGTCGTCACTCCAGTGATGCAAAATGGGCATGGCACACTCGAGATGTTCCTCTTTATAAAGAAAACAAACCAAGATCACCTGAAGAGATCAAGAAACATGTACTACACAGTGATAGAGTCAAGTATGCCATAGAACAGGCAAGTGTCAATCATCAGAAACATTGTCATAGTTGATAGTCATGAATGTTTACAGTTAACATGTATACAATCATTTTTTATGATCACAAATTTAATGGGGGTTTTTTTTGTTTGTTTTTTTCTTTTGTAATTCAATCTCACTTGTTTTTTTTTTTTGTTTTTTGTTGTTTTTTTTTTTAATCATTGCAGTTTATTTTTCCAGTTTTGAATTTTTACTATGAGAATACAATGTAAAGGAAAATTTGACTAAAAAATGGGGAAGGGAAAAAATGTCCACATAAAGAATGTTTAAGTGATGACACACCATTTCTTCATAAAGGATGAGGCCTATATTGTGATGGGATCAATCAAAAATTGATTAATTTTTAACATATGTTAAAGGAATTCATTTTCAAAATTTTTCATTGATCTAACTTAAATATTATTCTTTTTCTTGGTTCTTTGAATAGACAATGAAGGCACAAATAATTAAAAAGTGTATGTATTTAAAAAATTATGACATTCAACCTTATGTCTTTTTGCTCTTGATGTTTGTCATTATTGTAAATAAATGGTTACCATTTGACAATGTAATAATATTGGCATTCAGGAAGTCATATCCAAAAATTGCCAGTACATGTACTATGTTTAAAGAAATTTTGGTTGATGAACTTATGTGAAAATTCTTGATTTGTGTTTTGAATTGTATTAAGATTCAAAACCTGATAATATGTTGTGACATTTACAGGTATATTGATATAACAATTTTCTGTCAAATTTTAGCTTTTAGTTAATACTAAGAATATACTGTTTTTACAGGTTTGTGAAGAGAGTGGATTGCCAATGGAGGAAATTCACAAACAAACAGTGGAGATCCTAAATGAAATGGCTCACAATCTAAGCATAAATGCTATCCGGGGTTTTGCAGTGTTTCTTGTCAAAGTTATGAAGGCCCTCTTCAGAAGAATTTATGTCAATGAGGAAGGTGTACAAAAGGTCCTGCCTCTTCATATCCTCTGATGTTCATGTGAAAATTATTTATATAAGGAAATGCTACTAATGAATGAACAGTGAAAACATTATTCCTATGAAGTAGTACTTTATATAACAGATACATTTAATTATCATCCTGGTTTGACTCTTTATTCACAGTATAATAATTTCCTGTTCTTTCCTGATCTTCACCATTCACAACATAGTAAACAAATTAAGACTGTGCTCTTTTCTAAATTCAGATTAAGTGAACTGCATTATGAATATGAATACTGGGCACACTGTTTTGCAAATTACAATCTTCATTTTTTTTTTAGGTTCACAGTATGATTAAGGAGTACCCAGTATTGGTGATGCCCACACACAGAAGTTACTTTGATTTTCTGCTGGTCTCATTTGTTTTCTTTGCTTACGAGTTACCCCTCCCAGTTATTGCAGCTGCCATGGGTATCAAATTTTAATGCAATTGAACAACCACAATATCCTCCTCCTCCCTCTCTGACCCTGAAAAATGCATGTATGCCTGCAAAAAAATATATTTAAAAGATAGATTAAATTTAATTACATTGAGTAAATATTTTCATTATATCTTTTGTTTCACTTTGTTAAATGAGGCACCATTTAACTTTCATTTCTATCTTAAAATTTGTTAAATGCACAACACTGAACAGCTTTGAGTTTATTTATTTATTTATTTTTTGACAGACTTCAGCAGTATGAAGTTCTTTGGCTGGCTGTTGAGGAATTGCGGAGCTTTCTACATACGGAGGAGTTTTGGAGATGACCAGCTTTACTGGGCAGTGTTTACAGAGTACGTACAAACACAGATCTGTCATGGAGACCATCCTATTGAATTCTACGTGGAGGGAACTCGAAGTCGAACACTCAAATCTTACTCACCAAAATTCGGTATATTTTCCTTATCATCTTTGTTCAATAATTTTCATGTACTTACTGTAGTTCGTTTGGTTGAATGAAAGCATGATGAAAATAAATGTACATTATTCCTTCATCTGGGTTTATTTTAAAGAGATTGATTTCTAGGTATGCTGTCGGCATCACTTGAGCCTTACTTTAAGGCCCACATCCCTGATATCATGGTGTTTCCAGTCAGTATTAGTTATGACAAGGTCCTGGAGGAAACACTTTATGCCTATGAACTTCTTGGAGTTCCTAAACCTAAAGAATCAACAGGGGTAAGATATTATAACTAATAATATGAATATTTTTTCTCATATCATAGTTGTTTTCACAGCATTATTTTTTTTTTTATCAATAAATTCTCATCATATTTCAACTCCATCTTCCCCTTCCAATAAAGTCATAACACTTTTCTATATGTAGGGAAATATATATAAAGACATTGCTTTTTTCAGGCATTATTAAAGGCAAGGAATATATTGAATGAGGATTTTGGAAATGTTCACATGTACTTTGGTGAACCAATTTCAATAAGGCAATATACAACAGGAAAGGTGGATAGAAGTGTTCACAGTTTAGCTCCGAGGTAGGTCAGAAATTTTTGTTTGCTATCTTTGATTTAGTACATGTATACAAATAACAAAGAGGAATCATAAAAGACAAAGCCTGCTGACGAGCCTCATTTTAATTTTAAAAAGAAAATGGTATTTATAGGCAAAGCTACTGTTTGATATGAAAGAATACTTACGCACCGCAATACTCTTGCCTTTTGTTCATATAGACATTGCCATGCTTTTAGTTTACTTGTATATCAGAATCATTTTGGTTATTTCTAGATACATAGCTAGTTTGTCTAAAGAAGAAACAAAGCTCCTCCAAATCCTTGGATACGATGTTGTCATGAAGCACCTGTCAAACATGGTTATCTCCCCTTGGTCTCTTATTGCTGCTGTATTGGTTCAGAATAAAGAGGGCATTACAGTCAAACAGTTGACAAAAGAAGTGGAGTGGATCAAGAGGCAGGCCTTTAATTTAGGGGCAAATATAGACTGGCCAGGTAAGGGGTGTTACAGAAGTTACAGAATTTTGTACAGGAAATCTTTCTTCTAGGTTACTTAACAAATAAGCTTGCATGAAGTGATTTGTGAATAATCAAACCAATACCATTATATGCAAAAACAGACACCATACCAACAAGACTGTGGAGTATAGTTGTAATTTATCCACACAAAAGATTAGATATAAATTTTGTATACCAACAACTTATTCCATAATGCTCCTTGTAGAGATTGCCATCAAAGAAAAATGAAAATATATAATATATGTATATTGACATTTTCAGGCAATGAGACAGCTGATGACATCATCAGAAGTGCACTTGATCTTCATAAAAACTTTGTACGAGTGAGCACTGATGACGTAATAGAACTGGTTTCTGTGGTAGCACCTCACCAGAAGGGGACTCAGGATGAGTTGATGCAGTCTGCTGCTCAGCACCTTGTCCTGACTCTATATAGGAATCAACTCATGCATGTCTTTGTTAGAATTGCAATGGTTACCATCAGTATTAATGCCTGTCCAAATGATACCCTGTCATTAGGTTAGCGAGTGTTCCTTCTACACATGCAGGGTTCTCAAAATATTTACGTATTTTTGATTCCTGTAGATTGTGGCTTACTAGTCATGCATTGAGAATGGGAGAACATAAAAAAAAGGATTTGAAAAAAAAATTAATACATTGTATCACAGGAGTTGATTCTTTTTGAGAACCCTGGAATCTGCACATGAAGGCAGAGGCACATTAGTTTAGAACATATTCTATATCATACGACTTTAGTGGAATTGCATAAAAGGTTTTCATTTACATGTACATTTATATTTGTAAGTGTATAGTATGAATGCAATAAGTGATTCAAATAACATGTAAAAGATTCATTTGTAATGTGCTATGTTGCAACCACTGTTTTCTTTTCAGAGGAACTTTTTACCAAATACTCCTTCTTAGAGCAACTCCTCAATCGAGATTTTATTTTTAAGCCTGGTAGTACAAAACAGGTATGTTTTAATTTTTCAGTCTTTTTGGAATTCTATCTTGACAAGAGAAACCTTTTCATTAAATTATGAAAGTCCAAACTGGCATTCCTGTGCTTTGATTACTGGTATAATAGTTCCCAATCAGATTTCATATTCACTTTTTGTAGGACTTTGAAAATGCTGTGTTGACCTTGACTCATAATTGCGGTGTCATAATAAAAGATAACCTAGTGCAGATAAAGAGATCGCAGAATAAATACACCACTTTTTTCAGTCAGATGTTTGAACCATTTCTTCTTGGATACTGGGTAAGTGCTGGCCTGATGCTGAAATTCATATTTAAACATTCTTTTAATTAAAAAATTAAAACTTATTATTCAGTGAACATGGCATTATGAAAAGCAATTACTCTGCTGGCATATTCCATGATTCGTTAGGGTGCATCATGAAATATGCCAGCAGAGCAATTGCTATTAATGTTGTTTTGTTCACTGATCGAATAACAATGTTTATTACTTATATGTGCATTCTATGATGTTGTCAAGAATGACAGGAAAGGCTGACTGTGTGCACGGTTGCTTGTCTTAAAAAAAAATTGATGAAAATAAATCCGCAGATTTACCTAATTAACACACTTTTATTCCATATTAATCAAATACAATATTCACAATATTATAAACACCCATTTTAGTACACGTATCTGTTTACATTGCTGTCTAGGCCGACATCTTGTTACATTTCATTTTCACTCGTCATATTTCACAAAAAGTTATGATGTCATCATTCGAAATATTTTACCTTTGTAATATAATCATACAAAAAAGAAAAGAATTTTGTGGTTTAATATAATTTTTTGCATGTTTTATTCATTTTACAGAATTAAAAACTTTTGAAATACAAATATGAAGAAAACATTGTAGATTTTAGTCATAGCTTACTGAGATATCATTTTGCTATGGACAAAATATATGCCTTCATGTAAATTATATGTGTAAATAATATGTTTATTTGGAGATATTTTTATTGCACAATTCTGAACGTTGCTCACAGTTTTAAAAAGTTTGAAAATATATTGTTAAGCATCATTTCTTTTTACTTCATTTTGGAGATTTTTAATAAAAGCTACAACTTATTCTTTTTATGTACTTTCCTATATACATGTACATTGTATATTCCTGAACAGCATATGTATTACATGTATGTAGTAGATTTCTCAATGTGCCACAAATTTTCATAATCTGTGCATTTACAGAGAGCAAATGCATTCATGGAGTTATACATGCAACTGCTAGGTAAAGGTTTATATACAGAAATAACAAAGAATATGCAGCAATAAAAAAAAAAAAAGGATTAATTACATTTTTGTTAAAGTCATTATTTTCCTGTACAAGATGAGCAAAATTCACATAAATTCTAATTAGTGTTGAGAAATTCATGAACACCGGTATATTTAATTTTTAATATACAGGTGTATACATTTTAATTAATTCATGCCATGGTTAATAAGCAAACACTCTCTTAGTCTCCTGCTTGAGGAAGCTTCACAAGTGCAAAAAATTCTGAATGAAAATCAGATGCATTTACAAGTATATAAGAATTAATTTTTACTTCATGGAACTTACATGTAAAGTAATATGCATCAATTTTTCAGTTTTATGCACATGCAGAGCAGGCTTTTTTAAAAATCCTATATATTAGACTGCATTTCTTCATAGTCCTCAAAAATTTTAATTTTTGTCTTTTCAGATACTCTGTCGATGCATATTATCAACACAAATAGATATTCATAATAAACCAATAGCCAAGCCACCAAAAACAATATCCAGGGAAGCTCAAACCCTTGGGGCTCGATTATTAAGGGAGCGATGTGTCCGTAATCTTGAAGTTCTCTCCTTGGACTTACTGGGAAATGGGCTTCATGCTCTAGTACACATGGGGGCAGTCAGGAAAGAAAAAAGGTCAGATATTTATGTTTTGTTTGATTTTTAGAAGAAAATCAAACTGTTAATGTTCAGTGCTTAAGGTTCATTAGACCTCTGTTCACTCATATAAAATTCTGCTTTAACGATAATGATTTTCCAAAAGAAATAGACATCAAATTTATGGTGAAAAAGCATGCAACTTTTAGCATAACTTGTAGGTGGGGGGGGGGGGGGGGGGGTTGAGGAAATTTGACAGAAATTGCCTTTTAACTTGGCAGTTTTATAAAGGAATAATAGTTATTTTGTAAATCTTATCAGAGGGTCAAAGAACCTCAAGGAATTCATGCTTTATGAATTACCTTGATATTAATTGACTCAGTTTATTCATGTTTGATGATTTACATGTATTTACAGAGATGGACAGACATACATGTTCCCAAACACAATTGTTTTGACCAGTGTGTGTTCTCAGCTAGGTATGTTGTTGTTTCTTCTTTAATATGAGTTTAAACAAAAATTATAAATTGTGTCCAAAAAAACCCAAAAAAACATGAAGCTCAAGGCATTCACTTTCATGAGAATTGGAATTTAGAAAATTATGAAAACCGTTCTTTTACAAATATTAGACAGAAAACCAAAACTGAGTAGAGATTTATGTTAATTTTCAAGAAGTGTCTGGTTTTGGCAAGAGATGATTGGTCTTAGAGCCTGCTTTTATTCTCAGAAACATATTCTGACAGGCACTTGTTATTTACATATCAGAAAAAAAAATAGAATACCTAAAGTAAAATAGTGAAAGTAGTTTAAATTAGAATATTTTTTTGTATTTACAGAGCAGTTTATTGAAGTTCCACAGATTCCCACAACTAGTATCAATGTAGAATCCAAGACAGTTGTCATCACTGCCAAACTGTGACAGAAATATCCAGTACTGTCAAACTGTGACAGAAATATATAAGTACACTGACAATCTGTGATAAAAATATGTCTGTCATTGACAGACTGTCACTGAATGATAACTACTGACAATCTGTGGCAGAGATAATAAGAGCTAAAAAAATGATAATACCTGTTATTATGAACATTAATTAGCACAAAAAAAACAACTCCCTTTGATAACAAATTTATTTAATGATCCTGCTGATTGATTGCCTTTTCGTCTATTGAAAGTGTCACTGTTACTTGTTCAATGTGTAAAATTGACATAATTATGTTGAGGATTAATGTATTGTTGTAGTCCGTATCTATGCTGTCACAGTCAGCATACTGCATGAAGAAAAATGCACTTAGACTGTATATATTTTTTTTTAGATACACTGTACATGTGCATGTAACTTCTTAATGAAGGAGTCAGTTGAGTGTGCTAGGTTTGTGCATTAATTATGAAAGATGCAGAATTTTAAAACTGAAATAGCAGGGACTGTTCAGATTATTTGATGAAATTGCCAAATACCCCACTCCATCCCCCCCACTATCACTAACAAGATACTCTTAAAATGTTTAAATTTATATGTGTGTAACAAAGCATGCTACATGCATACCAGATTTTAACATTATATTTTGCTAGTACCAAATGCTTATCTGCAATATATAATGTACATATCATTTCATTATATGCTTGTAAGGAAAATAAGGACAATTCGATAAATTACAGAATGTCAATACCAGTAACTTTTTTATGGAGATAAACATGTATGCATTTTTGATGCTGCATGCATAATGTGTCATTTACACATATCTCCCAAATTCATCTTTTGTTTCATATCATGAAAATCTGTTGCAGCATTCATACATGGAACTTGCTAAACCCAGTCCCTATCTTCTTTTATAGCAATTTAAAGCAGGTAAGGTTTTTCTGTCTGTATTTTGAATGATATACTGGGTCACTTTTTCTAAGACAATGTCTTAGTCAAGTGACAGGATTTAATTTCACAATTTATTGCAGATAAAGTGTGCATTGTTGAGGAGACTTTTGATAGTCATTAGAAATTGGAATTTTATATTTGTATTTAATCAGCATTTAATATGAAGTCAATCCAACCCAGGCCCGTAGCAATGTTCAAAACTGGGGGAGGGGGAACCTCCAAAAAAGTGATGAGCAACCCCCCCCCAAAAAAAAATGGAAAATCATAAGGGGGAGGGTGGGGGCGAGGGGGTTAGGGGTAGAAGCAGCTTCCAAATGAAAATTTACACACACAATCCATGCCTGTGTAATACGGGCCTGTAATGAAAATAAGATCTTAAATCTGCTAACATGGGTGTGAGCAGATCTGATGTCTAAATTTAATAAGATTAATGTTTACTGAAACAATCAGACTAGAAAATGTAATGTAAAATAATTTAATAAATTAATTCATACATTGAAAAAAAAAACAGGGCATCAATAAGTGTTAACAAAACATTTAGAAGGTGCTATGTCTTAATATTGATCCATCACAATCATATGGCATTATAATGTAAACATAGCAAAAATGTTCTACATTTGTAAATATTCTCATACCAACACATATATTTTTGTATGTGAAATCCAACAGCTCCGTCAACAGACTTGAAATTAAGGTGCAATAGAGAACTTTTTTTTTACGTTGTCTAAGGGTAAAAAAATACATATATGTATAAAAAGTTATGTTACTCCTTTAGTATGTTCTACCAAATATTGTCACTTTTAAGTTTTTTTTATTTATTGCCATAATTATGTTTTTAAAATGATGTATCATACATACAAATTTGTCTTATATTGATAATCAATAAATATTTTCAGCGTTCCTTGAATTTGTTAAATTTGTAAATATTAGTATAAAAAAATCTGATATGCTCTTTTCGAAATAATATTGTACATTCACATTTCTTCATTTAGCAAAAATTTCTTCAAGGAAAATTTACAGTGTATCTTGTAATGCCTGGGCAAGTGAAATTATGTACAATCTACTTATATCGAACATTACTAGGTACCAGCATTGCAAACCATTCAAAGGATTTCTCTCGAGATCAATTCAGCATCTACATAATACCAATAAACGTACATAACAAAAATATAGTTAACAGCAGTCTTAATTAACTTACGAGTCTCTGTTACCTATCAATGTGCAAGTATCAAAGGTACAAAATAAAGACAATAAAATTAGCTACTACATTTATTAAAATTGTCAACTATATTTAGCCAAAAAATAGATAGATTATGTGGACTCCTGTGGTCCAAAAAATGTTAAATTGTGGTTCAAAAAAATTCAGAGGGTGAGGGGATTAAGAAGTTAATTTTTATTTTTAGTTATGATCTATAAAATTTAATAATGTTTATACAAAGTCCCATCAGCCAAGTTTTATTATCTATATTGTGTAAGTAAGAATTTAAAATAATGCATTATTTATCGTACATAGTGAAACTTTGGTCATTAGTGACTTGTTAATTCTTTATAGTATTCACTGTCCTCTGTTTGTGTGTAGATCTCGTGAGTTACAATGTTTATTGATGGTGTGGGGGTCGGGATGTATCTAGTCTCTGTCACCGTGTAAACTATACCCTCCTTGAATGTCTTTAATATGTACAACAATCCACATAAAATAAGAAGAAAACCTGCAATAGAAATATATTAATTATGTGTAGGAATTGATTCACTACAAGCTCTGTGTTCAACTTTAATTGATAAAAAAAAATCCTCTTTTGTTCTGAAGTACTCATATTCTATGAAATAAATCCTAAACATCTTCACTCTCTTGTGCTGAAGTACCGGCATGCCATGAAATAAACCCCACCAACTTCACGACCAATGCAAGTGCTCTGATCCACAAAGGGAAGAGGAGCGGATTATTATTATTATTATTTTTTTTCTGTTTGGTTTTTGTTTTGTTTGTTCGGTTTTTTTTTTTTTGTGCGAAAAATGAAACTAACCACTAATTATCCCTAGTATGATCCTCATCCCCTCCAGGAAGACGGGGATAGAAATGAGGAGGTAGAGGATCCCCTTCTTCCAGTTGTCCATCCACATGACGATCTGCCAGCAGGCACAACAGCACCCCTCCTGTCTGTCACAGAGATCACATTAATTACCCGACCTTTAACTGGTTAAACCATGATATCAAATTTCTAAGTAAATTTACTGTGTTATTTTGATATCAGCTAATTGTTTTTTATAATTTTTTTTTAAAGCTAAACTACCGTATATTGTAATATTTTGTACATAAAATGAATCAACTCACACATTCAGTGATTGTTGCAGCTTTATATATTAAGTCTGTACCCATTTTTTAAAAGAGATTTTACTTGATACCAATGTAGTATTAAAATTCTTGGACTTACTTGCAGCAGACAGATTTATTGATTATCCATGCTAATTCAAAAAATGTCACAACTGCAGATGCTCCGCTACAAAAAATAAAAATTTCCAATTAGGATTTTGAAGGTAATATGATGAGCTGATCTGATACAAGACTATGCATAATATGTACACTGGCCCCCTATTTTCTTTACAAGTTTTAGTTGTGCTTTTATTAGTAGATATCTAAATTTATCTCGAAAAAATCATTGATATAACCAGTGTCAGGAGTGACATCCTTAAGAGAATTATGTTTCATGAATATTGATGTTTTTGTTTGTTTGTTTGTTTGTTTTTTTTTTTGTTTTTTTTGCCACATAGGTCTTCTATTAGTTAAAATCAATGTGTGTGTGCGTTTTTTTAAAAATAACATTTGGTGTGTGTAGCCATTCAAAAACATACAAATTAATTCTATTTAGTGCTTCACTGAAGGACACGGCCATTTTTCGATCCGTAAGATTGTTAAACGCTTTGATAAATTTATTATATTTCATAATGTACAGAAATGGATTGTTGTAGGTATACATGTGCATATATAGTGCTCTTTTCATTGATCCCGAGACAAAGTCAATACCCAAGTGTAGTGTAGAAGCCATTAATGATTCAATTCCACTTATGATAAAATGTTGCATTAGTTAAAGGATTTGATAAAATTATATCATTAATGATGCACTGATAGAACCACTAATGATAAAACGTTAATAGTGGATTTTTGTGGGGGGTGGGGTGGGGGGTATTGGATTCACTCTATATGCAGCTTAACACTGATACCGAAGGGTTTTAAGGTCTCCCTGCCATGTTCATCTTCTCAAATTCTACCCGCTAGAAAACTTCCTTTTTTTTTTTTAGTCGTTTTTGTCAATGTCAACTCTTTGTACTCATCTCCTATCTAGTTTGCTAAGTACGCACTGTTTATTGATTAACCCCTAGAAAAAATCTGCTTATACATGCATATATTTTTAACTCTGTTAAACCTTTTCACAAATACACTATTAGACTTGTGCTTTTATAAACATTGGGGCACCCGCCCACTTCCACCGCTTTGCAAAAGTTTGGTCTAGAATACATGTAATTTTGTTCTTTTTTGCAATAAAACTTTTATAGAACTGACAGAAGCAATTAAGGTATATAAAAATATGCTTAATCTTGTTACTCAATGTCTGCTACATTGTAGCTTCAACCTTATTCCAAGGATCGTATTTATTTTAACATATAGTCAATCACGCAAAATCATGCATTTTGCCTAGTGTACCTACATCAAATAAAATCCAACATATTGAGTGTGTGTTTCTTTATCCTGTACAACATACACAGCTGCTGCCCACATCACTACAATTATATAACAACATACCAAAATTTACTTTTAACCACATTTCTACAGGAAGTATAAATATAAGGCTGGGATCTTAATGAATCCTGTTTTTCAAAACGTATTTAACATAATTAACTTCTGTAGCATGACACTTTATGAAACGACCAGGGAAATGCAAATATAATAATTAATAATAACAATAATATATAATAATTTGTCGAATGAAACTTAATTTAGTTAATATAGAAAAATGGTGTACGATGTTATATATAGATATACGTTAACTTTAGATCCGCGCCCCCACTTACCGGCCAGTGTCGCCAACGTTGACAATCTTGCTATGATGGTGATGTGGCGTAGAAAGGGCGGGGTTTTAGTGGGTGATGCTGTCAAAATGCGGTCTTTTTCTCCCGCATTCGTCGTCATTTTACGCCATATTGCTTTCCTATCACTGAATCATTATCTGTAACAATTCATAAATGATTCACTTGATATGCACGAATGCTGCTGGTGTGGTGACGATTATACTATATTTGGTTCAATGAACGAAAAGATCAACACCGATCCCACGTTGATATAGTTTGTTATGTTGATTTAACTTCTTTTTTACTGCATTCCTGAAACTTTGCTTTTGTGCTATATGTTTACAGCCTTTTATAATACTGAACGCAAGCTGTTGTTATATTCTAGAAATACACACGAATTAGCTAACACATAGGCCTACATGCAAAAGGCTAAAGTCCTCCGTTTTTAAGTAAAACTGGATCATTATTAATGTCATTTGTATTCATTACAAACTTACCTTCCAACCCATAATCGAGGTATTTTGAAATGACACCAAAAATAAAATCATTGACACACGTAGTAAAATTTTAGATTTAAATCGCCTTCCCTTTAAATTGAACCAAAAAGTTTTTATTTCTATAAAAAGTAATTCTGAAGTTCCCAAGAGCGGTATATAAAAAGATAACGAAACAAATCCTCCACGCTCGACCAATTCCTTTTAGTTTCAAATACAGCTACTAAAATAAATAAAAACTAACCTAAAGTACATGTAGAAGTTGCATCTGAATTTAGTCCTATGTTCAACGTCTCTCCGTCTCTAAAATTTATGAGTTATCATTTCAACAAACACATTTGATTAACTATCCGTACCAAAATGGATCGATTTTTCGTATTTTGTCCTTTTGCGAATTCTTTGTTCAGGCTCGAGCACAGAAATACAACAAATGACACAACTCGATATGGTAACAGCTGTTACATGTAACTGTAGTAAACTTACAGTATATTGAGTATTGGGCCATTATACACTTAAGTGTGCTTAAAACCGTAAAGTTCATACTCGTTGCACAATTTGCAGGATAATGAACTCACTATAATATTGCTCTTTCGAGTTAATATAAATTGGTTACTTATCAGTAATATCCCAAAGGCACACGACAAAAAAAATTATAATGAAACATATATCGATTTCTTTTAGTATCCGAATTTTGTTTATAAGTATCCGAATATTGTGTATATCAAATATATGTACACTACATGAAATATCACAAGTGTAATAATTAATTAACCACTATGTTTAATGAGATATGTGTTCTAAAACACTGATGCCCTCTATGGCAGCTCATGGTCAAGGTTTTTCTAGAGAAAGTCAAACTCCAAGGTCAAGGTTATCAGATAAAAAAATTTTGGTACCTTAAGAAAGGGCTTGTCACAGTGAATATACATGTGAAATATGAAAGCCCTACCACCATTCATCCTGAATAATTCCAATGTTAAAGTTTACAAATATAAGTCAAACTCCAAGGTCAAGGTTATTGTTACCCAATGTGAGGTCTTGTCAAAAGGAATGCATACGTTAGATATGAAAGCCGTATTACCATATGGTCAAGATTAATTCTTTTTTTTTTTTAAAGTATCAAACTCCAACGTCAAGGCCATGAGGTCAAAAGGAAATGTTGGTACCCAGAGAAAGTTTCACAGGGAATACACGTAAAGTATGAAAACCATACCACCGGCCATTTAAAAGTTTAAGACAAGAAGATTGAAGTTTTTGCGGAGAATAGCACATTTCTCCAGCGTTACCAGGGGAATCTGTTGGGACGATGTCTATGTAACCAGTCCATTCGAACGTCCCTATATGGTTGCGCGTCATGCTATGGCAAACCTTTGTACGGTCTGCGCACTCTAAGACCCACCTCCCTCAGCCTATTTCGTACCGTTTTTGCACTTATTCGAGCATTGTAACGTCCTCGGAAATGAGCAGCAGTTTGTACAGCCATTTGGAAACGATTTCTGAGATTGACCTGAGCTACCCGTAGCCACTTCTAGCGCGGTCGTGACGTCCTGTTGTCAGCATCCACCGTCCAAGACGAAATATGGTCGACTGTGCAACGTTAAGTTGCTATTCGAATGGACTGGTTACATAGACATCGTCCCAATAGATTTCCTTTGTAACTCTGGAGAAATGTGCTATTCTCTGACAAGTCTAGATTCACCCTTTTCTGACCAGATGGAAGGAGGCGGGTGTATAGGCACAGGGGTGAACGTTTTCCGGATGCATGCGTCATGGAGCGATCAGGTCAATTTGGGGGAGGGTCCACAATGGTATGGGATGGAATAGGTCATGGACTTCAGACGCCTTTAATGCTTATTTACGGCTCTCTAACGGCTATACGCTATCGAGACGTCATCCTGCAACCATATTCTGTATCCTTTGTGCATCAAGAAAATCCTGTTCTACAGCAAGACAATGCTCGCCCACATGTTGCACGAATTTGCCACGATTTTCTGGCAACAAATAACATTGTACCACTTGAATGGCCTCCACAAAGTCCCGACATCTCTCCCATCGAACACTTGTGGGATGAGATTGATAGACGAGTTCGACGACGTTTGTTTGTTTGTATGTTGTTTAACGTCCCTCTCGAGAATTTTTCACTCATATGGAGACGCCACCACTTGCCGGTGGAGAGCTGCAAATTTTGTCTTATACTCGGCACTTACGGCCATTGAGCAGTGAGGGGTCTTTTTCGTGCCAGCACGTACTGCGACACGCGACCACGGTTTATACGGTCTCATCCGAAGGATCGGTCTCCACGTCCCACAGTGGGATTCGAACCCGCGACGTAAGGATCAACTCCTTACTTCGCGACTCTAGAGCAGAAGCTCTAACCACTGCGCCACGCGGGCGACAGTTCGACGACGTCAAAACCTTCCAAACAACAGCTAGGAACTTGCGCTAGCAGTGACAGACGAATGGAATAACATTCCAATAGGAACAATAATCATACTCATAAACTAGATGTTCAGAAGAATCCGCGCAGCAATTACGGCGCGCGGCGGACGCAATCGGTGTTAATGACTTAATTCAAGTGCTGAATTCAGATAAAGGATCCTCCTTAAAGAATTTGTCTCTTTTATGTAAACTACCGAGTTGTCCAATATTTCTTTTTGTTATTTAACATTGCTCGTATGTCTAAAATTTACACTATATTTTTTGTTGATCATTATTCAAATTTTGAATAAAATTCCTAACGTCAATGACAATATGCGTTACTTTTTCCTTTCGGTATATTTAATGTCTCGTTTTTATTCAAGTATTATTTACAAGTTTTCTTGACCAAAACCATGTAAGTGCTTTTTATAGTTTATATTTAAAATTGTTGAATTATAATTCTTTTATTCAATCTACCTATCAATTACAATATTTACGTTGATTGATTAACATATGTAAATAACAAAAGAAAAAAACATTCTCTTAATTTCCAGAATGTAATAGGAGCAATAGACGGGACGTATTCCTATTAAAACACCTTCAACTGATGAGTACTTGTTTGTAAACACTCTATAAATGTCATGGCAGTGTGCGATTCCAATTTAAAATTTTTGAATTTGGTAGCTAAGTGGCCTGGTTCATCACATGAGGCATTTGTGTGGTCCAATTCTGTGCTGTGTCAAATATTTGAGAATGGCAACATTGCCAGAAGTTGGCTAGTTGGTGACAGTGCCTACCCATTAAAGAAATATTTATTGATATTCTTGTTAAACCCAAGTAACCCCCAGCAGGAGGCGTACAACGAAGCCCAGGCAAAAACCAGAGCCTCCATTGAGAAAGCGTTTGGTGTTCTTAAAATGAGGTTCCGGTGCACCGATCGTTCCGGAGGGATCCTTATTTTTCGACCTGAGAGAGCATTTCGGATTGTGGCTGCTTGTGTTGTTCTACATAACATTTGTACTAAGAACAATGTCCCTGTGCCCCGAAACAGGTATCAGTATCGGTTTATTCAACAACCAGACAATGTTGTGTACCAAGGAGTAAACAATGACGGTGCTGAAGTTAGAATATTAATACAAACTCGATTCTGACAAAACTGCTTAAATGCCATCCAACTCTGTATATATTTAAATATTGTGTTGTTCATGCAAATCATAATAGGTTATGTCAATTTTTTATGTTGTGTTTATACACATTGGTGCAAGTAAAAGTATTTCGTTTTAATACCTCCAAATGCATCAGTATATTACACGTGTAACAATCAACAAGAAACAAACACTAAAGTTGTGTTCTCGAACATAAGAAAGGTAATTCATATAAGAAAATACTCTAATACTTCTCAGATTCCGGTTGTACGCTGACATTAACACTGGGAATAATACCCATTTCACATAAATACAAGTCGTGTTTTTCTTTTTGTAATTTTAAGCATTCTTCTTCAACTTCAAGGCGTTTTCGTTCCACTCCCAATCGATCTTCCTCAACACTAAGATGTTGCTTTTATATAAGTAGTCTTTGCTGCTCAACGTAAACCAGTTTGCTTGTAGAAGTAGGAACTTCTTTTCCGGTTTGCTGGAACCCCCTTCCATCATAGCCACTTGTTCATCTATTAAATGAAAATGTCAGTTTCAAAAAAAAATATTGATAAATTCGAAGCAGAAATAAAATTCTCTTTCTCTCTAGTTCGATCTCTCTCTCTTTCTCTCTGTTCACAATTAGTTTAAACTGACTAAATCAAAGCCTTTCTTGTTAAACTACATATTAATTAATTAATTTTTTTTTCATAAAAGTCTTTCTCTCTCTCTCCCCCCCCCCCTCTGTTAATACACTGACAACATACTTTTAATACGACACTTCGAACGACAATAACATATGCTATGTAATTGTATTAATTTAATCCTCTCTGACTTACAATTATCGGTATTTTGTGTAAAAGATTGGTCATTTGTTGGCTTTGGACTGGTTGACGTTGAGGAATCATCCAACACGTCAATGCCACCCTCCACGCCTGTAATTGATGTCTGTCCAATGACCCTCAATCTTCTCGTCCATGGGGCTTATCATGAAACTAGACGGTAGTGATCCTCCACCAGTTTTCCTCTACTCTCTTTTATTAGGGCCAATTTCTTCTTACTCTCTCTCTTGACAGGCAAGTCCATTTTTTATTTCCTCTCCGGGGCGTACATAATTTGAACAGTTGACTGCATTTACTTGTTCTGCAATCTCCTCCCAAGCCTTTCTCTTCATTGATTTGCAAACGACTGTGCTTTGTTTGAAAAATAACAATTGTTTCCTTTTTTTCTAGTTCTGTTAAAACAGATATCTCTGAAGCAGAGAAATTCGGACACCATTTTGTGTTTCGTGGCATTCTAGAACCCTTCCACGTTGTACTTGCACGAGATGTTTATAGCACGGCGAATACAATCAAACACTCGTTTTTACGTTAGCATGGTGAATCTACATTTTTATATAACAAAATCTTGCACAAAAGGTATGGGTGCTCCAATTATTAATATACATCTCATAACAACGTCGTAGAGCGCTCGCTCCGTGATCGGGAGGTCGTGAGTTCGAATCTCGGCCGCGACAGACCTAAGTCGATAAAAAATAGGTAGCAACTGTTCCTTCGCCATGCGCTCGGCACTTTGGAGTGAAAGTTGCGGGTCTTTCGGATGAGACCTTAAAAACCGAGGCCCCGTGTCACGGCAGGCGTTGGCACGATAAAGATCCCTCACTGCTCAATGGCCCTGAGTGCCGAGTAAAGGTCAAAATTTGAAGCCCTTCACCGGTATATGGTGACGTCTCTATATGAGTGAAAAATTCTCGAATGGGACGTAAAACAATATACAATCAATCAATCAATCATAACAACGTCATTGCTGATCATTCTTTTTATGATCGATATTCTCATATAATAATAAAATATCATAACTCAACTTAAACGTTATCAATGTTTATTAGCCTCTTTAAAATTTTATTTTTTAATTTATTCGATTCATTATAGATAATTAATAGAGGTTACACAATCTTCACAATTAATAATTATAAAAAATGAATTTTATTGTATTCAAAGGAATTTTGTAAAATAATGCTTATTAACATAATTTACATTGCATTATATGTAATAATTGCGTGCTAAGAATATCTTGAGATAAGTCGAAGTTGTGATATTTTTGTGAAACAGCAATGACATATGATAATCATAAGTCAAAACTTATGACAATTTTAAGACATGTCTTAGGATAAACCTTATGATAGCTTTTTGAAACTGGCCCCTGAATCCCTGACCTATGGGCCACTTATTTCACAATTTGGAAGAGGCACTCTTTCTCATCATAACTATGCACTGAGTTTGTATTCTAAATACCTAGGAGCAGAGAAGAATTAATGCATTTTCACCATATGACCAATACAGCCGCACCCTAACACCAGGACCCCTACCCTGGAGCCACGAATTTCACAGTTTTGGAAGAGGCACTCTTGCTCATTATAGCCATGCACTTAGACTGTTTGCTAAATATACAGGGTGTGTGAAGAATTTTTGCATTTTCACTACTTATGACCTATTGAGCCCCGCCCAATCGTCAACTTCCCTATGTAGCAATATACCCGTATCACCTGCATATGGGGTTTAAGTCTCTCAGTTGACTTGATACGCAAGAGCATGCTCTACGTATGACCAATTTCTAAAACGAGACAAGCTATTGACAAACAAGTTGATGAAACAAGGATATCAACAGTCTCGTTTGAAGTTATCATTTCACAAGTTTTATGGTCGATACAATGACCTTGTCAGCGCATACAAAATATCTTTGAGTCAAATGCTGACTGACGTTTTACATACTAATTGCTAGGCCATTGTTTATACACTTAACTGTCAACGGATTTTCCCGTTTTTTATCATGACAATGAGCACACGGCGGGTGTGCCTGTGTGACTGGTCGGCAGGGGATGCTCATTCCTCTATGGCACCTGATCCCATCTCTAAATTTTGAGGTCCTTGTTTGCTTTGCTCCAAATTTTTATCGTTTCATTGGACTTTCGAGATTGAACACTGTTCGTTATGTTCATATATCACCGGAACCCCTAACCTAGGGGCCTCGAATTTCACAATTTTGGAAGAGACACCTTTGCTTATCGTATCTATGCACTTTATCTGCTAAATATACTGGGGGAGAGACGATTTTTGAGGAATTTATGCATTTTCAGAATATGATCAATAGCCCATCACTTAATACCAGAAACCCCTGACCCTTGGCAATGAATTTCTCAATTTTGTAGAGGAATCAATGCTCATTACAATCTGCTTGATGTCCAGGAGTGAACAGGATTTTTAAAGATTGCATTAAATTTCATTTTTGTTCCACTTCACCCATAGAGCTATATGTAAAAATTCCTCCTTCATGCCATATTCTTTAATGATTTATAACACTCATATACTTAACTCATATTTATTTTAATTTCAAAAATTTTTGAAAACATTGGATTTTTAGGGCACAATTGAGCATTTCTTTTCCATTTTTGAAATATCTTCCCAACTTATTTTTTTTACGACAGAGAACAGGTGCTCTAGAATAAAGTTCACAATGACAGATACAGTTTTCAGAAACCATGAAGAGAAAAACTAACAATAGAAGAGAGTTGTGGGTGACTTCTTTGCAAGAAGTTATGAATGGTTGGCTTTTTTTTTTGTAAGAAAGGGCATAAAACACCCTTACATTTGATCGGCTAACAATAGAAAAAAAGTGTTCTAGAGGTTTTCTTTGTACGATATGAATGGATTCAGTGTCAAAAATAGACAGAACGAACTTCCTTTTTTTAATATTCAGATTTATAATAAAAGAGTCGCCCGCGTGGACCAGTGGTTAGAGCGTTTGTTCTAGAGTCGCGGAGCAATGGGTTGATCCTTACGTCGCGGTATAAACCGAGGTCCCGTGTCGCAGTAGGTGCTGGCACGAAAAAGATCCCTCACAGGATCGTAACACAGGGCGTTGGTTTTTAAGATTTCATCTGAAGGACCCGCAACTATCACTACAAAGTGCAGAGCGCTTGGTGAAGGAACAGTTGCTTCCTATTTTTTATCGACTTAGGTCAGTCACGGCCGAGATTCGAACTCAAGACCTTCCGATCACAGAGCGAGCGCTCTTCCGACTGAGCTACCGTGACGGTTACACACCAAGAAGTGAAACCTTCAGCAGCTTATACCTTACGTCTGTAGACACAAAACTTCAAGAAAAGAAGAGTGAATTGGTGAAATAGAAAAGATGTTTGAAAATTTTCTGGCACCAGTTAGTGAACCAGATCCATGTGGAATCAGAGTTTTAAGGTGTTAAAACTGCTATCAAATTGGGCACAAAGCTGAAGGTAACTCTGGTAGTCTCGCCAAAATTAGTACCAACTATTTAAATTTCGGACGAGAGAGATTTCATAAAAACTTCAGACAATAGGAGAGACAAGAGCAGAGAATCCGAAAACTCTTTAAAAAAGAAATAAAAGATGTTGAAGCTGAAAAAATCCATGGTTGTATCTTATCAACAGAATATACCAATTCCTTTGCTTCAGTAATGAGAGAACACCGTAGAATATCAAATCTTTCTAAATACTCCAAAGTTCGTCTCTGCTTAGGGACATTATCATCTTCATGAAACACCACAAAAGTGAGATTCCACCTCCATCAAAATTGATGCGGAGGAATTCGCTTGCATATTAGAGTCATACAGTCCAGCAGATGACTGTAAAATCCTAATTCTGAGCCATCATCAAGTTATCCTGAAAACGACATACAACCAAAAAGAATGGAAGATCCACAACATTATCAATGCCAATAATTTTTTTCCTTTTCCTTCAATATTCTATCCTTATCTTAATCCATTTCAAATGCCAGCACAAGCAACGATGCAGCTATCCCCTACATCCGTGCAGTCAATTGAACAGAATCTCTATCACTCAAAACAACACCAATAACCACCATTTCTTCAAGATAAGACAATTTCAGTCTTTTTGAAAACAAACTTCATTTGCTTGCAAATGCAGCATCAGTTCAGAGCATTGCAAAGGTCACAAGTAAATAGATGGAGAAGATAGTGATAAG